GTAAAGATGGCGGATGCAGGATTGCACCCGATCCCGCTCGCTAAGGGGATCGCCGTTGCGGCCGGTAGGATGGAGCGACAGTTTGCGTGTAGCGAGCGGACGGCAATAGTAGTGTTGTGCGCGGCGAAAAGGGCGTCGAAACGAAGCTGGGGGGCGAGACTCAGCTGCGTTGCTCGATGCCAGCCGAGCGGCGCGCGCCGCGGCCGAAGGGGAATTGAGAGACCAGACCCAGGATCGGAGCGCAGCCTTTTCGACGCCTTACGCGACACGGGTGCAAAGTTCAGCCGAAATCTTGCCTTGAGCTGCATGCATGATCCGCCTCTGCTGCCGCTGCACTCACGGCACCTTTTTTCTCTGTCGCGTCTTCTCTGCGTAGCTCAAGCGCCCCAGCAGAGTGTTGTCACCCTTCCCTCACCTCTCGAGAATGTGTGTCACTCCTGCCTCGCCAACAGAGCCATATTGACCTTCTCACTGAACCACTGTGACATTTGAATCGAAAGTTAGCGTTCATATGTTCTATGACAAAGGTGGGGTAAGGATGTGGAGGAAAGTGGGTTGCGTGAGTCGTGAGCGTTGGCTTTGTGGTACGCGTGGGCGAATGCGGTACGAGAAAATGCAGGGCGTCATAGGCGAGCCTCGCTGAAGCCACAGTTGCGCCAACCGAGGCGTCGACACTGACAACGCGGGCCGACTGAATCGCCACGCGAGGCGTCCAAATCGCAAAAAGGTGGAATTGCAATTTCAGTAGCTTGAATGAGTGCCTCGGCTCGACTGGCCACGGAGGACCTGCTTTTCAAAGCGTCAGACGGTCTCTCGAGATTTGCCTAGGCCACCTCAGATGCGAACAGCACACGACGGGCAGGTCCTTTGTCCAACTCGTGTGCCCCTGCTGTCTTGGTGCACAAGCTCCTGTCTGTTCGTCTCTGCTGCTCTGGCGTTGTCCTGCGCTGCCCACCTTGGTTGCGTGACGGGCTAATTTCCATCGGTCAACCAATTTCTCCGAAAAAGCTCCTTGGCTTCATGCATGCGGGCGAAAAGCACAGGAAGCCGAGAATTTTCTTACATCCAGCTGCGGCTCCTGCCTGCGTCTCTCTCGGTACTGTAGCTTGTAGACGCTTTCGACGAGACCTCTAGTAGAAGCGGACGTCATGAAGTGTCCAGCATGTGCTCTACGCGAAGGAGAAACATGGGATGGTGTCCAACTTGTTGTACGACAGTATGGCGACTCAGGCACACACCAATACGTATTTTGCTCGATCCCACCTTAAAAAATTTGAGGGTCTGATCGTCATGCGTCTGCGGCTGAGATTGCGACCGAGACGCGCCAACCTGCGGCACTGGGCCTCAGCGGAGAATTTTCGTCAAAATTTCGCTGCAACCTCGCTCGGCTTCGTCCGAGACCGAATCTGAATCGTCCTTGGGGATCGCAGGCACACGAGCAGTTGGTGATCTGCTGCAGGTAGTTTTCAATCCTGTCCCTTCCGAAACTTTGGGTGGGCTTCCAAGCCATGGCCGGAGCAGTCTCGACCGTCTTACAGTAGCCATGACACTGTGCTCATCGCCGCTCTCTTCGGATTGGATGACATGACAACCCGAAACGGGCCCACTCTGATTCTCCCCGGCGACGTGTGGCTTGACCGGTCGAACTATGGCCGATCCTCGCGTTGAGCCTCCCTCCTTGCTGCTTGGCAGTGATCCAAGCTGCCGAGGTGTGCCTGCGTCGTCGCCAAGGACATGGCAGTGCGTCTCTGACCCCACAAGCTTGCTTGCTGAGTTGGATGTAGCATCCAGACTCGATATGGAGGAGGCGGGGCCCAACATGGCTCTGTGGAGAGCATGTCAGGGTCATGGTCTGCCCCACGGGCCCCCCCCCCCCCCCCCCTCCCCCGAATTTTTCGCAGAGACACGATTGGAGGACGGCGATGCGCATGGCGATGACAACTGACCGGCGACTCGAGTGACCTGGTACCTGCAGCTCGATCCATCGTGCCCTGACCTGGATCGTCAGCCCTTGCGGACTGTATACCGAATGTATTCGATCCCTTCTTTTGTGCGCTTTAACGGTCAAGGGGACCGCCAGCCGATCGGACCATGCTTGAGCTTGATGATGACGGGCCTCGGTCCTCTCAGTCTGACTGCCGTTTGGTCTGGGTAAGCAAGGTTGAATGCTCCGGTCGTGTCGGACATCTCGGATCAAGCTCAGAGCTCCAGAGTCATCCTGTCTTGGCTGCACCTGTTCGGTTGAAGAGTCTCCGTGCCTCACGCCTGTAAACACGAGGCCATGATTTCTGTCCCTTGCTCCCGTAACGTCCGCTTCGGTTCCTTCTAGCAAGGTGTTGTCCGTAAATCCTCCGATCGAACAAAGAAAAACAATCGCTCGAGATCTTCATGTGTCCATCGCCTTGCACTTCTCGTTGCCTCAATCTGTGCCTAAGGACAGCTACACCGAAGTGCTGTTACCGGTGCGAGAGACAAGGTGTCGCCCGTTCCGACTGTGCACGTCCAGAGCGTGTCATTGTACGAAGTGGGATTCCGTGAACCAAAAAGAGAGACCCTCTCTCCCCCCCAAAAAAAAAGGACCAAAACACACCGAAAATTCGAATTCCGCAAGCAGCTCGGAGAAAGGAGCTGCGCGGCTGAGACACTTCGACCGACGGTGGACCAGCCGAATTAGGCCAAACCTGGGCATAGGTGGACGCGTTGAGTCTGACTGGCGGGGAGGCGGGAAGGCAGGTCCACGAGGTCGTGAGGGCAGAGGTTGGGGTTGCCAACCCTCTTGGCCATCTAAGCGAGGCCGATGTTCCCCCGCGACAGGCGTGCTCGACGGTCCCGTGGCGGCGCGTGAGCTCTGACGGTGATTGCTGCCTCGACAGCTTGCCGACGGAATACAGGGCGAGTGCCTATCTCGACCAGCGCTCGCAGCTGGCAGGCGATTTACGGTCGAAAGAACCGATCATCACCAAATTTCTTAGTGTGAGTGCAGTGCAGCGGTCTCGTCCCTCTTCAGTAGTTTTCCTGATCTGCGCCCTGCCTGTGCCTGCTTTAGCCTGCTTTTGCCAGCTCTCAGATGCGCAATTGCGGCCCAAAGAAATTTGTGGCGTCTCGAGTTCGAAGTACTTGCCGTAGCGCTCGACAGCTTGGCAGTCCCCGCAAAGGGCTCGCCTGCTCGAAAAGGCGGGTGGAGCTGCTTCCAACAGCTCGGCTAGGTGGATTGACTTGGCAGCGAGGCTCGGATCCAACAAATCGACCGTCGCAATGGGCGGTGGCATAAAGCGAAGTTCGGTGCAGTCAAGCTGGACGTGCGAGCGAGCGCATTCCAGCCGAACGGAAAGACTCGCCGTGACCCAAGCCAGCCGGTGATGCCGGGAGGTGGCTCATGCATGCACCCGATTTGGGCATCTGTGACGGACCTGCGAGCGAGACGAAAGTGACAGGAGCACCTGTGAGGTGCCGTTACGGTGCAACTCGGCCTCCAACTCCCGGTCACTAGCACGGCTGCCCCACTGCGGAGAGACAGAGGGCCCCGCGGGGCGGGCGCGGCGGTGGCTGCGTGCACTCGGCAGTCGGCAGCTTCAATGCAAAGCAGGAATCAAGAGCTGCGCATCCCAACACGCCTGCGACCACAGCAAGCCAAGTCGAGCTCTCATAGGCTAGCACTGACCACATGGAGGGTTTGCGCTTCTCGATGACCGGCCGATGGGGATGCCGTCAGAAGAATTGGAACCAAGATGGCTTGTTGCCACGGCTCAAAATTCGAAAGCTCCAAAGGCCTCAAACTCAAGCTTTGACATGGACCGCAGCGGCGCACCGTTCTGCGGCGCACGCTCAAAGGGCTCTCCGTCGAATGAAGAGAGCGAGAGAGCGAGAGAGGGACGGGCATCGAGCAGAAAAACAGGCCGCGCAGCGTCGATGAGGGTAGCAACAAGAGAGACGAGAAAAAAAATCCGGGCGAATGAGCCAATCAAATGCGTCGGAGACTGAATAATCTAGGCCTCAGGTCGACGCGTGCCAAATCAAACCTGGGTAGTCTGGGTCCCCGCTTGTTGCATGCCCGCACCAGAGCGAGGAGGCGAGTCGCTCCACGCCGTCCCCACGCTCGGCTCTGCCAGTCTGCCTCAGGGCCGAAAGCCACCGGCGCATCGCCCCAGCCCGCCAGCCGGGTTTGACTGCCCGAGTGGCCGTCAGACGGCTTATTGTCCGAAGTTGGTTCGAATCTCCTCCGTGCCAGTGCGCCACTGTGCCAGTGCGCCTGGGACGCCCAGACGATTCGCCCTTTCCTCTTTTCTCTCTTCTCTTCTTCTCTTTTTGCCCCGCGTGCGTGGCTCGCTAGGCTGGTGGTCGTCGAACCTGCATTTCGCCCCCGTGGCCAGCCCCCATCCTCCAGATCCGGGCGTCTGCGCTCCGCTTGGGGTCCCCAGTGTGTTGATTGGATGTTGGCAGCTCTTCACTGCTGGGGTGCGTCGCGCGCGTCCGCGTTGCTACCCAGGACTGGGCCTTCAGAGCGAGGCCACACTGGCCATCCCCATGCTTTCTATTGTTCATTCGCCTGGCTCCACGCCCGCATGTGGGCGCCAAACGGCACTCTGCCCTTCGTCGTTTCTTTCTCCATTTTTGTTATTGTGCCCTGCTGGCCTCGCTGCATCTGTCGCTGTGCGGTACAGCACAGCTAGCGGCGTCGGTGTGGCGCGACTTTTTTTTTTTTTTTTGCCCCTTCGAGCAGCCCCCCACCACCAACCTCACACGAGCCCCAGCCTCCCCTTCCCCTTTTTTTGCCCCTTCGAGCAGCCCCCCACCACCAACCTCACACGAGCCCCAGCCTCCCCAATGGCTACGGACCCTTGCCCATCGTCTACATAAACCCCCCCGGACTCGCTCGAACCCCATCACCTCTTCCCCATAATCCGTCAAGGCTTTCCCCTTCCCCTTCCCCTTCAAGGCAGCCTCTTCCCCTACCACCTCTCCCTTCACACACCCTTACCTCTCTCTTCTATCTCTTCAAGATGGCTGGAGGTGCTGTTGTCGATACCGGCTACGCCTCCACTGGCCCTGTGGCCCGCCCCGCTAGCGTGAGACAGTCGCTCCCGGCCATTCTGGTGGCCGCTGCTTCCGCTTTCGGTGGTGTTCTCTTCGGTTACGACACTGGTACCATTTCGGGTCTCCTCGTCATGGAGAACTTCCGTGAGACCTTCGGACAGTACTTCGATAACATCCCCTCCAACACCTCCGGTGTACCCAAGCCCGGTTTCGATCTGACGACCAGCGACCAGTCGCTTGTCGTCTCGATTCTCTCCGCCGGTACCTTCGTTGGTGCCCTGGCTGGTGCTCCCATCTCGGACGTCCTCGGTCGCCGATGGGGTATGCAGGTCGCTCTCCTCGTCTTCTGCGTCGGTGTCGTCATGCAGATGGCCACCACTGACTTCGGTGTCTTTACTGGCGGCCGTGTCGTCGCTGGTCTCGGTGTTGGTATCCTCTCAACCATCGTCCCCATGTACCAGTCCGAGACTGCTCCTCGCTGGATCCGTGGTGCCGTTGTCTCCGGTTACCAGTGGGCTATCACCATCGGTCTCCTCATCGCTTCGCTCGCTACCTACGGCACCAAGAACCGCACAAACACCAGCTCGTGGCGCATCCCCGTCGGTATTCAGTTCGCGTTTGCTCTTATCCTTTGCGGTTTCTTCCTTGTCCTCCCCGAGTCGCCCCGTTGGCTCGTCAAGAAGGGCAACCACGAGGCTGCCTCCAAGTCGCTCGCCCGCCTCAACTCCACCGACGTTGACGACCCAATCGTCCGCTCCGAGCTCTCGGTCATCCAGACCAACCTCGATATCGAGCTGACCCACAGCACCGGCTCGTACCTCGACTGCTTCAAGCCTAACGACCGCCGTTACTTCCTCCGCTCCTTCACCGGCATCTTCATCCAGGCCTTCCAGCAGCTCACCGGTATCAACTTCATCTTCTACTTCGGCACCACCTTCTTCCAGAACGCCCTCCCCGGCTCCAACCCCTTCATCTTTTCGGTCATTTCCAATGTCGTCAACGTCGTCACCACCCTCCCAGGCATGTACATGATGGAGCGCGTCGGTCGCCGCAACCTCCTCATCTGGGGTGCCGTCTGGATGTGCCTTTGCGAGCTCATCGTCGCCGTCGTCGGCACTGCCGTACCCAACACCAACCAGTCCGGTGGCAAGGCCCTCATCGCCTTTGTCTGCATCTACATCGCCGGCTTCGCCTCCACCTGGGGTCCCGCTGCCTGGGTCGTCTGCGGTGAGATCTTCCCTCTCGCCATCCGCGCTAAGGCTCTCTCGCTCTGCACTGCCTCCAACTGGCTGTGGAACTTCGGCATTGGCTTCGCCACTCCCTATCTCGTCCAGTCCGGCCCTGGCCACGCTGGTCTTGGCACCAAGGTGTTCTTCATCTGGACCGGCACTTGCGCCGGCTGCGCCGTCTTTGCCTACTTCTTCATCTACGAGACCCGTCTGCTGTCGCTCGAGGAGGTCGACGAGATGTACGCCCAGACCACCGCCATCAAGTCGTCCGCCGCCAACGCCGAGATCCGCGCTCGTCGCTCGGACCTCGAGGGTGCCGTCGCCCCCGTCAAGGAGGACGAGCTCGCCACCCACGACGAGAAGAAGTACTAAAGTGCTTCTCTCACGCACCTATCATGATTCCACGCTGGATCTGTGGCGCACGCGCGCGTCTGATCGCATGATGTTGTGATGCTAGCATGCCTCATCTACAAATCAAACTAGTCACGGATACACACGAATAGTCACTCTGGTTCTCTTTGCACCAAATGCAGTTCCGGGCCTTGCCTGGTGCGGCTTCTCTCAAAATTGTTTTCGATGACAATCTCATACCCATCTTCTCCATTTCTCCGGCTGCTGTTTTGGCTTGAGCATGAGTGTTGCATGATGAATCCTTGGTCGTAAGACCGAGCGGAATTGAGTCCTGAAGAGTTGCGCGCCCGCCGCTGAATTCGACGGCTGCTCGAGCTTGAGCCAGAGTCAGGCGTCGCTGTCAATGGCTGCGCCGGCGTCTCATCCTGCGCTTGATCTTGTCTTCGCCTTTGACCTTGTCATCCGTCCTTACTCTCGTCATCTCAACACGCATGTGCTGGCAACATGAGATGCGACTGTACGTCATTGAACCCACCAATACACCCAGGATTTCTTTCGAGGTTGGTGGGATGAGCGAGCGCAACATCACATTCCAGTCCGACCCCGAGCTCAAATGAAGTTTCCCCCACAGTTGCGCACCGCATGACGGAAGCCTCCCCCTCACCACCCACCAATGCGCACAGATATAAACACAAGCGCACTTGCGCAACCTTGCTCCAGACTCGCCATTGTTCTGTTGAATGAGAATGCATTTCGTCAGGACGAGAGTGCAGAGTTCATTCGGCCCACTGGACCCGCCAAACCCCCCACCAATTTCCTCGTTCCCACCCACCGGCCTCGCGGAGGACGCGGATGGTGCGTGGCTGGGAATCTTTCCGGTGCACAGCGGGCATGGATTCCGCAGCATCCGCAACGAGCCTTTCCAACTCGCCAGCGCGGAACATGTGGTAGTATCGGTTGTACACGGGCCGTGATTCGTCAGCCTCCTTCGCAGGCTGCTCTGTGCTCGTCGAGCTATCTCCGACGCTAAGCTCGGACACGCGCGATTCGAGGCTGCGCGTGTCGACACCTGCAGCCGCACCGTCTTTCCGAGTCTTGGCTTTGGAAGCGCGAGGAGCTTTGGGCTTCTTGCTCGCCTTCTGCCCCGGCGTGGTGAGCACCCACGGCACCAGCACATCCTGGTCGTCAGTCACGCGCACTTGGTCTGCTGACGCTTCCGCTTCGTCTGCGTGTGGAACCGGCTCGCACGGCTGCGCACTCGCCTGTAGACCGCTGTACGAGACCAGACGCTCCTTGGCCTTGTTCCGCAGCGGGTCGTGGATCTCTGGCCGGCTCTTGAGCGATTCGGGATTCGGCGCCTCGAATTGGCGCTTGCCTTCGTCCTTCTGCTCAAGCGCCCAAACAAAGATCATGAAGCGCCCGCGGCCGTAGCTTCCGTGCAGGCGAGAATCGACTTCTTTCGCGTCTTCTGCACTCGCATCAGCGTGGCTGTCGGCAGCAACGGGGGCAATGATGCGAATAAGCTCTTGCACCGACGCGCGTCTTCGCTCCCAGGTGGAGAAATGGTGTATTGTGGCGATGCTGATCGCATAGTCGAATAGACCTGTTCGCAGCGATGACTGGATGGCATCTCCAACAGCAACCTCTTGGCGTCTTGTGCCCTTGGCCTCGCTTGACTCCTGCGCACGGCTGCCCTCTAGCATGCCAAAGTTGTCGCGGGCCAGTCCGACCAGATTCGACGAGCGATCGACTCCGACAGTGAGTAGGCTATTACCTTCCTGGTCCTCCGTCGAAGAGGATGCCGTCAGGCCGAGCGTCGAGCGAAGGGGAAGGTACTTGCCGTTGCCACAGCCGAGATCGGCACCCAAGCTGCCTGCAGGCACAGTGCAGAGGAACGCCGGGACGAGCGGCCACGGCTTGTACCGCGTGCTTGAGAAGTGGGGCGCAATCGTTTCGTAGATTCTGTATCAGATGGCGAAGCACTCAAGCATCAGCCTCACACTCGATCGCAAGCGCAAGACGCCAAGGGCTCGAAGGAGCGAGAGCTCAAATTGCACCTCGGCGGTATGTGGACGAGGCTACGCACTTACGCATGGACGTTCTGCTGCTCGTAAGAGAGCGGGTCAAAGGCTGCCTGCCCCGACGGCGCTGTTGGCTCAGGCTTGGTGATGCGCACCCCCAGCTGCTTTTCGGCCCAGCCGGCGAGGCCGAGCACCACTTTTTCGAGCGAGTCCAGGCCCGAGAGCCCGGCAGCGATCGCCTGAGCCTCATCCGACGCACTTTCGAGACGAGCACCCTTAACAGACGCCTGTCCTGCAGATGACGCGTTGGCGTCCGCCTCGAGCAGCCATCCGCAACCAGCGGATGCTTTTGAGGGCGAGATGGACGCATCAAAGTTAACCGTGCTTCCATCGTCGGTCGGCGTGCGGAATGCCAGTTGCAAGCTGAGCGTTTGCCGCGCCTCTTCCGCAGCGTTGGCTATTGGGACGCGGAATGCAAGGGTGACCGGGATGCGCGTCGGGGTGGAGCCGGTGGCGGAACCCAGCAGGTCGTCGAGGGACAGCTCGGCGGACCCGTTCGCTTTCGCATCGGCCTGCGCCGGCTCGTCCGGCTTCGTGGCCACGGCTGCGTGCATGAGCTCGGTCACCTTGACTTCGTCCCTCAATATCTCGATGGCGGCAAAGAGTCTGGCTAGCGTCGATGTTGCTTGGCTTGCGACACCGGTTCCGTCGGTGCCATCACCGGCTGCGTTTGTCGAAGTCAAAAGCGGCAACGAGTCGACAACAAGACCTTGCGACTGAGCGCTGCGGACACTCTCGACCGTCTGGGCTAGCGTAAAGATGCATCGTCTGGGCTTTTCGTCGTCTTGCATCGGGGACTGTTTTAGTCTTTCGGCCCAAGAGGAAGCGAGAACGTCTTCGAACCAGGTTGCGCCTGCAGATGCGATGGCAGGAGCAGCGGCAGTGTTGCCACTAGGCGTGGTCTCTTTGAGGTTGCAAATCGTGGCCAACTTGGCTGCGGTGGGTCGAGTGACGACGACGGGCGGAGAAAGGCGCACGACAAAGTGCAATGGAACACGCTTCTCGGCATTTGCAGGCGAAGGGACGGAGCCTAGCGAGGTCGCCGGGTCCTTGGCCGATGACGAGAGCAAGAGCTCCTCTGCCTGCGGTGTCAGAGAAAAAGAAGGCTGGACAGACCTGGCGTGGCCGGAATCGGCCGAAGGGAGATCAAGCGCCTGCACTCCCAGTGAGAGCGTGTATTCCTGTCCTGACGTGGCGTCTCGGGCGAAGACGGTGTGGAGGAATGGCTTGTCGGCGTGGAGCTGGTGGAGTCCATGTCCACGATCGAGAACGGCGTCCGGGTTAGAAGACGAAGATTCCGCTTCGGATACTCGCACCACAGCCGAGCAGAAATCCTGCATGGCAGCGAAGAGATCAGTGCTCCTTGCCCGGTCGGCCGAAGCCTCGGTAGCTCTAGCCTCAAGGGCGTCCAGTGCGAGAAGGTCGGTGAGGTTGGTGGTCCATTTCGCTAGCGCTTGAGCAACCGCAGTGCGGTCTTGTTCGATCGCGCCCGGTCCGTCGTTGCCGAACAGCTTGTCCGCGATCTTCTGGATGTCAGTCTCCAAAACCAATCCCAAACGAGGATCACGCACGTGTTGTGAATCCGCAGAGTCGGTAGCATACGACAATTTCAACTTGATCCTTGGGCGGAGGCTCGCAGCCGAGCTGCTGCCTTCGAGGAGGAATTCGACATCGATGACGAGGATCTTGGCTCCGAGAGTCAGCGTGCGTGTCAGCACACCTGTCGAGCCCGATGCTGTAGGCTCATCTGCCACTTCCGGGGCCGGGTCGGAGAAGGTTTCGAGGCCGAGCTTGCTCGCTGTGTGCTCTAGCGTGCTGCACAGGGCCTCAAGAGTCTGCAGGGCGTCGGTCCAGCTCGAAGGTGGAGCGGCAGATTCGCCCTTACGAAAGGTGCCAGCTTGAAGTGACGGAGGGAAGGCGAGGGAGGAGCCGAGCAGGCCATTGGTCGAAGAAGCCGGGTCTCGTTGAGCCTTGAACGGAGCAATAGAGTGTGCAAGCGCCGTGGTGTGCGTAGATGTTTCGGCCAAGAGAGAGATGTACCGACGCAGCTGGTTTGCAGCCGCCGCATCGTTGGGTTGCGACACATCCGAGGGCGCTGATGCGGGTGCTTTGAGCGCTGGAGTGGTGGCTGCAAACTGCGAGACAGAGCGACGGATCTGAGAGATGAGCTGCCGGTAATCGTCTCGGGACAGCCGGCCGTCTGCGCTCGATGCCGAGTAGAGTGACTGGGTTGTTGCGTTCAGAGGATGGATGTGCGCAGCCGCTTTCGTTTGGCTGTCCAGGCTCTGCTTGGCCTCGTGCAGCGCATCATACAGCGGCTCTTGCGACGTCACAGTCGCATGCTCGGTTGTGCTCGAAGCCGGAAGAGCCGAAGTGGATGCTTCCGGCATGACCTCGCCAGCAACTGCGAGACCGCTCGGAGCTTCCGACGCCATCTCGACCTCGTGTGGATCTTGCATTGGCGATGGATGGTCTGAGGCGCGTAGGAAAGGTGTCGGGGAAGCCAGCTAAGGACGGCTGATGGGCAGGCACCCCTTTCTCGAAAAAGTTGCCCACGGCCGCTTTCTTCGGAATTCGCCCTTCGGCCTCGTGCTTAAGCTGTGCCTGCAAAATCGCGATCTCACGTCCGTGCGGTGCTCGACTGCCGAGGCGCCTCCACGAGACCAACACGCTCAACCGCCTGCTCGTTGCCGATACCCCTCAGCGATCCGTCCCACTCGTCCCTGCAAAACCTCGAACCTCTCCCATCATCACTTTGGGCCACTCCGGAACCTTGCTGCCTTTGCTCGCGCCACCGTATCAGCAGCTGGCGCCCGCCTCCGTTTCGGTCCCCCGCTTCTATACGCCGACTGCGGTTGGGCAGTGAGTGATTCCTCCACAGTCACAGCCACAGTCACAGCCACAGTCACAGCAGCTTTGTCCGGCACACGGCTGCACTTGTCGCCATCGGCATGCCTCCGACAGCGGAATACAGGGCGCCCTGGCCGGTTTTTGCGCTGGCATGGTCAAATCATCCGTCCACCTCCTCGCCCTCCTCCTCATCACAACACCTGCGCAATCCATCCGGCTCAGCACGGTACGTCCCGCCTTCGCCCTCGCCGCTAGGACGCCACGACGAGTTTGGTGGACTGCCAGCTTCAAGCACGCCAGGACCTCCAGATAGCGCTAGAATAGCCGTGGGCTCCTTCGTCGAGCAATATACCAACCGCATCCAGATCCTCGGCTTCCATCCACGCGACTCATCCTCCCTCACTCTCTTGGCGGATGCATCCCACCCATATCCTCCGACGAAACTAGGTTTCCAGCCATCCACCCTCTTCGATGGCTCATCCAGCGAGCGAAGAGATGACTCGCTCGACAGAGAGTCCAGCTCCGGTGACCGCGGATATGCGTCGCCCACCACCAAGCTAGCCAAGCGTGGCAGCTGGGGCGCCAAAGTACGCTCCTCCCTCTCTTCTGAAGGTGGCGAAGGACCAGATCACTACCCAGATAGAGAGCTGCTCGCAAGTACAGCCGACTGTCTGCGTATTTGGGAGATCCATCGCAACGAATTCGCCGATCCCTACCAAGCCGGTTACGTCGGCGGGAATACGGCAGGTGCGTCCAAGCCGGATCCACAGCAGCTGCCCTTCGCCTTGCGCGAAAAGAGTGTCTTGGCGCACTCAAAGAACACAAAGAGTCCACCTGCTCCGCTCACCTCTTTCTCGTGGAACACGCCTTCTCCGAATCTCATCGTCACATCAAGCATCGACACCACCTGCACAATCTGGGATCTGCCCACGCGCACAGCGTTAACGCAGCTCATCGCACACGATCGCGAAGTGTACGATGTCGATTGGTGTCCAGGCTCGGCCGATGTCTTCGCCAGTGTAGGTGCCGACGGCAGTGTGCGTGTTTTCGACCTGCGAAGCCTCGAACACTCGACCATCATCTACGAGACTGGCACTGCCCCCGGCGCCACCGAATCACGTCCAGGCACCAGCATGTCGACATCTTCCAGGGCGACGTCAACACGCAGCGTACCTGCCGCTCCTCTACTTCGGATCGCCTTCAACCCATGGGATGCCAACTACCTGGCCACCTTTCATCTCGAGTCCGACTCGGTGCAGATCTTGGACGTCAGGGCACCCGGATCGCCCATCCTTGAATTGCGCGGCCACTCTGCGGCAGTCAATGCCATCGCATGGGGCCCGCCTTCGGTCGGCGCCGGAGTGCTCGGTCCAAGCAAAGGCATGGTATGCTCGGCCGCCGATGACGCTCAAGTGCTCGTTTACGACCTGGCGTCCACGACGCTGCGCACCGCATCGGCACAGGGAAGGCGCAGCAGGAACGGCCATGCGCCCTCGCCGGCGCCCGGCTCGATGGGCTATTCTCACTCGACCTCTTCCTTCGGCGGCACTGCCAGTCCGGCGCCCACCGCCAGCCTGGCGGGCAGCATCGGCATCGGTGCCGAGATTCCCTTCCTCGCCTACACCACCCCGAACCAGGAGATGGTCAACAACGTCTCGTGGCTCCGGGCCGGCGGCGGCGGTCTGCCTCCTGGTGTGGGAGGCTTTGGCGGAGGCGGAGGTTCCAGCGGCAGCAAGAGCGTTGTGCAGGAGTGGAACGAATTCACAGCGGGCAGCAGCGGCGGCAACACGTCCGGATTCGCACCTCACGACTCGGACTGGATCGCGCTTGCAGCAGGAAACTCGGTGCGTGCACTCAAAGTCTAGTCTGTCGGCGACGAGCCGCTCAAAGTCGATGCAGGCCTTGTTCATGTCTCACACCCGAACGCCATGCACGACGATTCCACGCCAGCCGAGGCCGATAGCTGCCTCATCGGAGAATACAACCTTTCTATTCCAGGAAACACTCGGGGAGTGCCGCGTGGAATTGAGTCAGCTGCGCCTGCTTTCACTTGTCCTTGTCGTCTTTGTTCTGCGCGTCGTTCTTGGCATCGCCAAACTTGATCGCCTGTGATCCAAACGAGAATGCGCCCGGTTTGGACGCGGTGGATGCCGAGAGGTTGGCAAAGTTGGTCGTGGTGCCCGATGGCGAAGAGGCGCCAAACGAGAAGGTGGGGGCGGCGTTTGAGGTCGAGCTGGAGGATTGCGTGCCGAAGGACGATCCGAATGCGCCTGCTGGCTTGCTTGCTGTCGATGCACCGAACGAGAAGGCAGGCGTCTTTGTCGAGGTCGATGTCGAGTTACTCGCTGCAGACGATCCAAATCCGCCAAAAGCGGGAGCCGCTTCCTTGGACGAGCTAGAAGAGACGCCACTGCCGAAAGAAAAGCTGGACGCAGTCTTGGCAGCTGGGGCAGCGGGCGTAGAAGAGTCGGCGGGTTTGCCAAACGAGAAGGAAGGAGCGGCTGTGGTCGCAGGGGGTACCGCTTCCTTCGGCTTGCTGGTGGAGAAGTTGACCGGCTTGCCACCGAACGAGAAGCCGCCCGAGTTGGCGGGAAGGTCCAGCTTGGGGGCACCAGGCATGTTGCGTGCTGCGTCGGCCTTGCCCTTGTCCTCATCGGCCGAAGAGGTGCTGAGCGGCTTGCCGCCAAACGAGAATCCACCTCTAGGCATGGAGAACGACGGCGGCTTGACGGTTGAGCCTGATGCCGAAGCGCTGGCCGACTTGGAAGCGGTCTCAACCACCTCGACATCGTCATCATCGTCATCGTCTTCGTCCTGTTCGTTGTCGTCCTCGTCGTCGATCTCATCCTCCTCCTCGTCATCCTCTTCTTCGTCCTCTTCATCGTCTTGGTCCTCGTCGTCCTCATCTTCATCTCCGCCTTCATCGTCCTCGTCCTCGTCTTCTGCGTGATCGCTAGCGGCCTGTGTGGAGTCTGCTGCTGCGGGCTTGCTCGATGTGATTGAAGATCCGAACGAGAATGCCGAGGGTGTGCTGCCGGACGGCTTTGTGGAGGTCGACGACGGCAACGGCGAGAAGGAGAAGCCGCCGGTGGCTGGCTTGACGGCAGTACTGCTCGAGCCAAATGAGAAGGACGGAGCAGCAACAGGAGCTGCAGGCGTTGTCGTCGCGGATTTTGTCGCCTCTGCAGGTTTGCCAAAGCTGAAGCTCGGCAGGGAAGAGGAGGAAGCTGGCGAAGACGATGGTGCCGCAGTGTTGGAAGACGTGCCATTGCTCGATGGTTGGAAGGACGGAGCGCCTGCAGAGAGCGCGGAGGAAGACTTCTTGTCTGCTCCTTCTCGGTGCTTGCGGTACTGGTCCTTGAACGAGTCGAGGAGGCCGGAGAGGTCGGCGAAAGGGTCGGCGTCGAGCTGTTCCTTGATCTTCTGGGCCAAAGTCGTCTGGAAGGAAAGGTTCAGACCACGAAGGGATCGGAGCTTCTCTTTGGCTGCAGACGAATCAGAGCTGGAAGCGCCGTTGGCCGCAGTGGTCGATGCTGGTGCAGCGGGAGACGCGGATGAGCCGCCGACGATGCCGGCAATGAAGCTGGAAGTCTTTGAGGGCGTAGTCGAGGCGGCGGGAGCGGCTGGAGACGAAGACGAGGAGGCAGCCGACGGCGAGAAGGAGAAAGCTGGCGAAGAGGTTGCAGCTGTCGATGCAGGCGCTGCGTTCGTCGACGGGGCGGCAGGCTTGGCGGCACCAAATCCAGTGAATCCGCCGAACGGATTGGCCTTTGCGGGTGGTTGAGAGGCGATCGTGCTGGCACCGGTCGAAGCGCCGAAGTTGAAGGTGGGTGCTGGCGCAGCGGCAGCTGGGGCTGGACTCGCTGAAGAGGTGGCGCTGCCGAATCCCGCGCCTCCACCGGGACTTGCAAAGGGGTTGGCGCCACCGGCGGATGCACCGAAAGGTGACGAGGACGGCGTAGCGCCAAACATGTACGAGCTAGCCGCGGGAGCTCCTGGTGTTCCGGGAGTACCCCTTCGTTTGGGAAGTCCCCGAATGACACGTCCGGCAGCAGGCGTGGCTGGCATGGATGATTGTGAAGACGGCGAGTCGTCATCGGATCCGTCCTCGCCGTCCTCCCTGCGAATCTGCTTTTCCGCTTGACGCTTCATTGTTGTCGAGCTCGTGCTTATGTGGTTCGCCTTAGCGTAGCTTGATGCAAACGCGAGTTGTTCTTCGAGAGCCGCTGGGAAGAGTGAAGATGGTTGGCAACGTCGAGACGATCAGTGAACCCAGCGACGAGGCCGCACGGTCGCCGCCTCGTCTCGAATTCTTCCCACTGCGCCCCGATGAGATCGGATGCAAAAACAGCTTGTCTAGGATCGCCGATTTGCTCGTTCGACTCTCAAGCTGGCGTTGTTTCTTCAGCGGAATCCAACACCTGATACTCGCGCAAAACATTCCGGTCAGTCCGCAGTAATGCCGCAGCACTCGGTCTCGGATCCGAAAATTCGAATCTTTGACCCGCGACAAGGGAGGAAATTTACGAGGGGCAGCGCAGGGCAGACGAGCGCACCCAGTGGCTGAGAGGAGTCCTCGGCGCAGGGCGAGCGGCGCCCGACTAGGCGCGAGAGATTGATCCTGTCCTCTCTTCTCTCCCCACCAGTCCCATCAAAGACAACGTCAAGATGAGCAAGATCCAGGTGTCCAGCGTGCGTAACACCCTCAAGGAGCTGATCCAGGCTTCGGAGGACAAGCGCCGAAACTTCAACGAGACCGTCGAGCTCCAGATCGGCCTCAAGAACTACGACCCCCAGCGCGACAAGCGTTTCTCGGGTACCGTCAAGCTTCCCCATGTGCCCCGTCCCCGCATGAGCATGTGCATTCTGGCCGACGCCGCCGATGTCGACCGTGCCAAGCTCATCAACCTCGAGTTCATGACCGTCGAGGACTTGAAGAAGCTCAACAAGAACAAGAAGCTCGTCAAGAAGCTCGCCAAGAAGTACGACGCCTTCCTGGCCTCCGAGGCTCTGATCAAGCAGATCCCTCGTCTGTTGGGCCCCGGTCTCTCCAAGGCCGGCAAGTTCCCCACCCCCGTCTCGCACAACGAGGACCTCGAGAAGAAGGTCACCGAGGTCAAGAGCACCATCAAGTTCCAGCTCAAGAAGGTTCTCTGCCTCGGTGTCGCCGTCGGCCACGTCCAGATGACCGACGACCAGCTGCTGGCCAACGTCATGCTTGCCATCAACTTCCTCATCTCGCTCCTCAAGAAGCAGTGGCAGAACATCAAGTCGCTCCACGTCAAGTCGACCATGGGCAAGGTCTACCGCCTCTTCTAAGCGGTTGTTCGCCATGTCTCTTTCGGCCAGCTTGGAGGGTTTTCGAGAATTCTGCTTCGGTCACTTGCATCCCACAAGGCATTTACGCACGCTTACACCCAGTTCCATTCGATGCCTCGGCTCGTGGCCGAGGAAGCGACTTGGGATGAGGGGAGCTAATCTTGTGACCTTACTCATCCCCCCCCACCCTAAAATACAAAATTGCCGTTGGAGGCGCACGCCGCCGTTCGCATTAGAGCGGCGGCTTGTGCTCTCTGCTGTCGGATACTCTGCGGTCTGTGCACGTCACGAGTGTGTACGAAGGTTGCAGTTGACGCCCGGATGGCCGGTGAGGTGGTTGCGGACTCGATCTCAACGATTTTTTTCTTTCGCGGTGGACAAGCAGGAATTGATGAGCGATGGGTTGTGATTTGACCAAGGGCGGAGTGGATGCAAGGGCAGGCTGGTGAACAGGCATTAGAATACAAGAAGAGCTGCAAGCGGCTTGCACCCTGCACGCCCAGGCGAGAATGAAAAGGCACGAGGGTATGCAGCCGCGACTAGGAGTGGGTGGGGTCCTCGTTGGCGACGTTGAGCAGAAGGGTGTCGGCGTCGAGCAGCACCTTGTTGTGGGAGCCGGCCTGGGAGAGGATGGTGGCAATGTCGCGAGCGGCCTCGAGCTTACGGAGCTTGAGGAAGCCCTTGTTTTTCTTGACGGCCTCGCCGATGAGTTCGGCGGACTTGGCCTCACCCTGCGCCTTGACGATGATCGAGGCCTTCTCCTGGATGGCCTGGTCGACGAGGAAGGCGGCACGCAGCGCGGCCTGCTGTGCGATCTGCTTTGCCTCTACGGCGTGGGTGAATTCGGGTGAGAAGGAGACGTGGGTGATGGAGACGTCGTCGAGGACGAGGTTAAAGCGCTGCGCGCGTGCGGTGAGGTTGTCGCGCACCAATCTCGACACCATCTCTCGCTGGGTGATGAGCTGGGAGGCGTTGAACTGCGCGACGACCGACTTGAGCACCTCGTTGACGATCGAGGGCAGCACGCGCTCGTCGTAGTCGGTGCCGAGCTCGCGGAAGATGGTGGGGAGCGCATCGACGCGTGGGCGCGAGAGCACACGGCAGGTGAGCGAGACCATCTGGAGATCCTTGGTGCCGGTGAGCGAGGCGATGCTGCGAGGCTTGGCTCGGACGTCGTAGTCGATGGGCTTTTCGAACCAGGGGATCATAAAGTGGGTACCTTCGTTGAAGATGTTCTCCTTGATACCTGACAAGCGCGAGTACTTGATGGCACGGTGACCACCGTCGACGTTGAAGAGCGACATGTTGATACCGAAGCCGAGCGCGACGAGCGCAACGATACCAGCCGAACCGCCGAGGATGTTGGCGAGGTTGGGCGGGCCTCCACGTCCGCCGCCGCCGCTGCCTCCACTGCCTCCGCTGCTTCCGCCTGGCTTGCCTGCATTGTTGAACTGCTGTGACGCCTGCTGAGCCTGCTGTCGCAGACGCTCGAGCGTGCGGAAGATGTTCTGTGGGCCACTGGGTCCGCGGTTCATGGTGCTGCGTGTCAGGTGGAGACGTCTACTGCGGCTGACTAGGATGATCTCGGGTGGTGCTCGAAAGCTGCTGTGCGCGGAAAAGGGGCCCTACAAAAGAGAGGCCTGTGTCAAACGCGGTAGATGGATCGCAAGGGTAGCAGCCGAGAGCGATGAGGATGACGACGACGAGAAGTGAGTGGAGAAGCGATGGCCTGCAAAGGATGCTGTTGGGCCGCGCACGGCTTACGGGCCTCGACGGCGAAGAATTCTCGAGCGGTTGACCAAAGCGTGCAGCCGCTCTCCAGACGCCCTCTCTCTCGCTCCATCCATCGCGGATTGGCTCAGCCGCTCCTCCGCCCTTTCTAAGCCTGCCAGGCTCAGCAGCAGAGTCGCAACCGCGCCAAAAAGCAAGGGTCGATCACCATTTTATCGTGCGGGTGAAGCGACGCGAAGAATAGGGTCGAGTGCGAGTCCCGACGCGGAGCCGCTTTGGATGCAAAGTCGAGCACAGACGTTGCTCCGGCTGCTCCTCGACTCCACATCTGCACCCTTCCCTACACCCCAGCTAGCTTCCATCCTCACCCTCTTTCCTCTCGTCGGCAAACATGACCGCTCGAGAAGCAAGGACGGTGATCGTCGTCACCGGCTCCCACACAATCACCGCCGGCTATGGCATCCACGAGATCCTCAAGCGTCCGTCCATCTCCTTAACAGCACGCGTCGGCCTTCCGCGTTCGGCCGCGTCCGGATCGTCGAGCTCGTCTTCGGCTCCCGACTACTCGCAGTACCTGGTTGGATCTGCGCTCGACGAGGCGGAGCGTCGCGGCGATGATGTCGCCATCTTTTGGCCCATGCGCAAGGGCTACGTTCGCGATTGGCAGCAGATGATCGCGCTGTGGAACTACGTTCTCTTCCACCTCTTGCCCATCCGTCGCTCGCACAACGATTCCAACGTGCTCATCAGCTTGCCGCTTCCCATCTCGCGTGCAACACACGCCTACCTCACCCAGATCTTCTTCGAGCACTTCAATTCGGCAGCCATCACCATCGCCGAGAAGCCGCTGCTGTCGTGCTACGGCGTCGGCACCATGAACGCGTGCGTCGTCGATCTCGGCTACGAGAGCTGCGACGTGACTCCGGTGATCGAATGTGTCGTTCAATCCAACGCCAACGTCAAGACCGACGTCGGCGCGCGCCACTGCATCCTCTACCTCGCCCAGCTCCTCCGCCGCGATCAGAGCGTCGCCAAGGCGGTCCAGACGCTGCTCCGATATACCCGCAAGGCCGCATCGGCGACGCCGCGTGAGAACGACGACACGGCTCTCAGGAGCGCCATGTTCTCGCTTGCCAAGCAGCTCGTCGAAGAAGGACTGGTGCTGGACGAAGACGCGGTCAAGAAGGGCGCTGGTGGCCTGCTTTCCGCCGCCGACGGCGAGGATGAAGAGGGCAACTTTGACATCGCTGCTGTGCTCGTCGACGGTGCCAAGAAGCACGACGACGAGGACGAGGAGAGGCGCAGAGCGTTCGAGGCCAACCAGGGCGAGGGCATCGACGAAGCCGTGCTCGCCTCAATCACGGGCGAGGACGGTCAGCCCGGCGGCTCGACGGACGACAAGGCGGTGCTTGTCCACTTCCGCGGACTCAAGCTCAAGATCGGTCCCGAGCGCTTCCGCTTCCTCGAGCCCCTCTTCCGACCCGAGCTGCTCAAGGATGTGGCGGGCGCGGCTGATCTGCACGTGGGCGACGAGCCGTTCGGTGCAGGACCCGTGGTTGCCGAAGCTGATGGCAGTGCGGGCCATGCCACGTCGAGCTACGACAGCTATCCGATGCCCACTGCGATGCCCGACTGGAGCCAAGCTGTGCCGCTGCCGCTGGCGATCGCCAACGCCATCTCGCGCGTCGAGGATGCGGATCGTCGGCCACAGCTCTGGGAGAACCTGATCTTCACCGGCCATCCTGCCAAGATCAAGACGATTCAGATTGAGGCCATCTCTTCGCTCTCCGAGTTTGTCGCTACCGAGCAGACCGAAGCGGCCCAGGTCCTGGCCGAGCCCAACCCGCTGCAGGCGCGCAACGTTCGTGCGCTGCGCGTGCCCGACTACTTCTCCGAGTTCAAGGACCGCACCGACCTGGCGCCCTTCCTCGGCGGCACAATCTATGCCAAGCTCGTCTTTGGCGATCCGCAGGCCAAGGCCTTCATCACCAAGCAGAACTACAACGAAGCCGGCCCCAACCAGGCGTTCTCGGTCAAGCTCACCACCTGAAGTCGGATGCCGCCGTGCTCGATGGCGTCCTTGTATTTTTAGAGCTCTTGCAACAGTCACTCTTTCTCCATCATCCGCGCAGTTGTGTGCGCTCCCAATGCTGTCCTCTCTGTGAAGCATCATGAGCATGAGCGTATCAATTTAACAAATCAAAACCGCGCGCCTACGGCCACACGCGACACGACACGAGTCCTCAGAGCGCAGGGTCCAGCAGGGTGATTTTGTGGAGGATGCGGCCATCAGACCAACACCTCCAGCGAAGATGGGTCACATCGAAATTTTTGGCTAACAACGACGAGGCTCTCTGCCGTCACCTTCGTCTCGGCTGATCCGATCAGACTACGTTGCAGCACATCGCAATCGGCCGTCTGCCGAAAGCTCTGCCTGCCTGCCTGCCATGGCGCTCAACGCTGCGGACGCTCTCTTCATGGACGAGCTCTTCGCCGACCTCGACGCTTCCCACTTCTCCATTCCTCCCTCGCAGAGCCCGCCAAAGCCCAAGCCAATCCGCCTACAAGGCTCACAGACATCGAAAGTGCAGAATTCATGTCCCTCCCGCCCTAGAGCAGCCCTCTCCGAAACGACTCGCTTCCAAACTCAGCCAACTCTCGACCTCGATCTAGAGGACTGGTTTCAGCAGCCAGCGCCGCCCACGCCAAAGCTCGCGTCACGTCATTCGCCATCGGCCGTGAAACGTCAGAAGTTAGATCGCGGTCTCGAAGCTACCACCAGTACCGGTGCGTCGGCTTCCAATACGCCTCGACAACCTCGCGAGCAATGCACGTACGTCCGGTGTCGTGTCGTGGCAACAGTCCACGGCTCGTACAACGTTGCCAGTGACACGCACACCGGCCCTGCACGCACACGGCCCGAGCACCTTCTCGTTCTCGAAAAAGACCAACTTGACTCAAGGAGCAAGCGAGCAGACGGAGTACGACCTCAGGACGCTCAGCAGGCCGATGTGTATCTTGCTTCTTTGCGCGACGACTGGATGCAGACTATCGTCAGCACCGGCGACATCGTCCATCTCGTCGGCCGCTTCGAACGCGACTTGAGAAAGGTGCCAATCCTCCTCGAGCAGCACAGCAATGCAAGCGCATCAAACAAGGGCAGGTCGGCACCGCACCCTGCGATCGAGATAGCACTCGAAGAACCAGCTGCTAATCCGGCTCCCCCACCTGACGTCCGCGCAGAATCGGTGGAGAGCGATGACGAGCTGTGGGATGATCTCGCCTCGATGCCGTCCTTGTCGCAGTGCGCCACCCAGGAGATGCTCGCGTCCGATGACGCTCCACAGGCTCAGCTCATGATCTTGGCTTCAAGGTCAACAGACGCCGACAGCGCAGATAACGCTCTAGACAACCTCCTCGTGGTTCATCCCGACGTCTTGGTGCCGGCCACCAAAGTCGCTGATGTCGCCTCATGCATTCGCAAGCCCGTCGTTCAAGACCGACTCCGCGGCGCTTCCGATACAACGGTCAGCCTTGTGATGGGCAACATGCTCCACGAACTCCTCCAGGCCTGTCTCACCGCGCCACCTCCCCCAACCACCCAAGCCTTCCCACCACCCAAATTTGAGGACGGCGAATCGATGCCTACCGCAGAAGTCAAGGCCGTGTCTCCCTGGCCGGAGCGATGGCAGGGTATTGGCGACTTCAGCAGAGCCTTTGTGGACCATCAGATCGAAGAGCAGGTGCGCTCCAACGTCGAGAGCCTGTATGCCATCGAGCTCAGTGCCGAAGACGCCACTGCTCAACTCCGCGAGAAAGCAGCTGCCTTTGCTCGCTTCGCGCATGTCTTTCTACAACACGAAGCCGAAGCTTCTTTCCATCCCGAGGCCAATCTTCGCGAACAAAGCCGTGGCCCCGAGTCGAAGCCGGCAAAGGTGCGCATTCGCCGCATCCTCGATGTGGAAGAGGAGATCTGGAGCCCGGCCTTTGGGCTCAAGGGTAAGGTCGACGTCTCGGTCGAGTGCGACATCGCCGAGGGCTCCGACCCGAAGCCGTCGCGCAAGGTTGGCTCGAATAGCAACGGTGCCTTTGCGCGAGGCGTGCAGAAGCAAGATTCGGAAGCGCCGCCAGCATCCAAGGTGACCACATCCGTGGTCCCGCTTGAGCTCAAGACGGGCCGAGCCGAGGTGGTTTCAACCGAGCATCGCGCACAGACGATGCTATATACGCTCATGATGTCAGACCGCTACGCCACACGAGTGAACGACGGACTGCTGTACTACTCCAAGTCCGGCGAGATGCACCGCATCAGCCGCAGCCGCAACGAGGTTCGCAGCCTCATCATCGGACGCAACGAGCTGGCTCACTACCTGCGTCACAACCCGAGTCGGCTCGCCAAGCCCGACCCCGAGGCGGCGCAGACCGATCGCGTTCGGGTCCTGCCACCCACCATCGACAGCGAGTACAAGTGTCGCAGGTGTTACGCCGTCGACGGGTGCATGCTGTTCCGCCGCGCCATCGAGAACGTCGTCGAGCCGAAAGAGGAGTCGAATACGTCACACGAAGACGTCTCGAGGCTCAGCGTCGCGGAGGCACAGGGCACGGACCTGGTCTTGGCGAGGAGGACGCCGATTGCGGATGTGTACGAGCAGAAAACGTCGCATCTGACAGCCGTGCATCTCGAGTTTTTCCGCAAGTGGGACCGACTCCTGAATCTCGAGGAGGAGGACGCCGTGCGCATCCGCAGAGAGATGTGGACCATGTCGGCCGAGCAACGCGAAAAGGCAGGACGATGCTTTGCCAGCATGCGCCTGGACCTCAACGCCTTGCAGCTTGAGGAAGCCTCGGCAGCGCCGGCATCGTCGTCGATGCGCCGCGTCGTTCACCGCTTCGTTCGCCACTGCCAGGCGGGACAGGATGCCGAGGCGAGCGTGCTAGCTGGTCACATCTCGGTCAACGACCCCGTGACGATCTCGATCGAGCCGGACATGCTCTCGGTCGCGCAGGGATTCGTGACCCGAGTCACGCCCACATCGGTCGACATCGGCCTAGATCATTCGCTGGATGCGGTTATGCAGCGGGCTCTCGAACGAGATGCCGAAGGCAGTGTTGACGGACCGGTAGGAAACCAGGTTGCTGCGGACCGTGTGGTGTTCCGCATCGACAAGGACGAGTTCGGAAGCGGCATGGGTCGAGTTCGAGCCAATCTGGCCGCGCTCTTCCTGACGCCGCAGAGGGGCGGTGATGTGAAGCGGCGCGAGCTCGTGGTCGACATGCGTGCACCGCGGTTCCTCGAGCCTGTGCAGGACGAACGCGTGCGTATGGTCGTGGCGGAGACGCGGGCGGACGCGAGCCTGAACGAGGATCAGCGTATAGCGATTGACAAGGTGCTGTCAGCCCAAGACTATGCGCTCGTGCTCGGCATGCCCGGCACGGGCAAGACCACGACGATCGCCAAGCTGATCCAGCTGCTCGTGCGGCTTGGCAAGCGCATCTTGCTGACGAGCTACACGCATTCTGCCGTCGACACGATCCTGCGCAAGCTCGCCGAGGACGAGCCCGCAAAGGGCGAGGAGGAGGCGATGCGGATCTTGCGTCTGGGTAGCAGGGACAAGGTGCATGCGGACGCGCACCAATTCCTGCTGCCGCGCTGCTCGACACTGGAGGAGCTGCGCGAGGCATTCGAGTCGCCCAACGTGGTGGCAGCGACGTGCCTCAGTGTGCACCACACCTTCTTCTCGTCCGGCATGGCCAAGCTGCGCAGTCGGCGTGGTGCGGACTCGCCATCCGAGTCGGCTACCGATGCGGCGCCCGAGTATCTTTTCGACTACTGCATTGTGGACGAGGCGTCGCAGATCCCGCTGCCGACGTGTCTGGGGCCGCTGCGGTTCGCGGACAAGTTTGTGCTGGTCGGCGATCACCATCAGCTGCCACCGCTGGTGAAGAACGCCGAGGCCAAGGCGGGCGGGTTGGACGTGTCGCTGTTCAAGCTACTGTGCGAACGACACGGCGATGCAGCCATGGTGGCGCTCAGGTCGCAGTACAGGATGAACGCCGACATCATGCGGCTGGCTAACGAGCTCGTGTATAGCGGGCAGCTCAGGGCGGGCACGGAGCAGGTCAGGGATCGAAGGTTGGAGCTTCCGCATCTGGAGGCGGCTTTGCAAGGCGCGGGAGTGGGCGGGTGGATGGAGGAAATACTGAAGCCGGAAAGCAAGGTGAGGTTTATCGACACGGCCGGATTGCCGCTCGAGATGGTGGGAGAGAGTAAGCACGGCGAGCTGGTCAAGAACCAGTTTGAAGCCGAGCTCGTTATTAGCATTGCCGAGGCGCTGTTACGTGCAGGATGCAGTGCGGATCAGGTTGGGGTGGTGACTCCGTATCGGCAGCAGATCAAGCTGCTGCGTTCGTTGGTGGCGACGCGTGCGAGCGGGGTTGGGAGGCACGCGCTCGAGGATGTCGAGATTTTGACCGCGGATCAGTCGCAGGGTAGAGACAAGGACGTGATCATCGTCACGTTCACGCGTGCCAACCATGTACCGTCATCCACGGGCGCACGCGGCGGCAGCACAGGTGAACTGCTCAACGACCTGCGCAGACTCAACGTCTCGCTCACCCGCGCCAAACGCAAACTCATCCTCATAGGCCATTCCCCCACGCTCCACGCATCCAGCGTACTCAGTCCCCTCCTCGACCTCGTCAAACAGCAGGGCTGGATCATCAACGTCCCCTCACCCCACCCCACCCTAAGCTCACAGTAGAGACCCCACACTGTTTGTCCACATCGGAAGTGCAACAACGTTCACGCAAGCCAGCTTTTCAGACAGAGACGGGAGTGCGCGACCAAATGCAAGTGTATGTTTGCAGGTGTGCACAGCTAAAAGGGTGACGTGGATGTGCGACGCCGGATCGAGACCTGCTCGAGCCGGACGTGCAAGCGCTGCGCGCGGCCGTGGGACGAGGATGGTGGCGCCAGGCCGAGTCCCCGTCGCCGAACCAAGCCACGCGCACGCCTACATCAGGAAGGGGAAAAAGATAGGTGGAGAGGAGGTGGTGGTCGTGTGTGAAGTTCCCGTGTGTATCAAAAGGGGGAGACGCGATTCCGAATGGCCATCGTGGCGCGCGCAGCATGCAGACCAGCTACAGTGCACGACCAACGACTAAGCCGAGCCCGACTCGAGATGCGGGTTCTAGGAACGGCGCGAAGTCTGGTAGATCTTGAGCGAGTTGATGGACCAGTAGGCCTCGCTGAAGTCCGGGTTGTTGCCGAGGTAGGCCTGGCACGAGCCCTGGCCGGTCATGGCCTGGCACGACTGCGACTGTCCGTTCATGGCGTTGTTCCACACGGCGCCCGAGCCGGCCCAGTCGCCGCAGACGGTGTTGGTGAAGACGACGACGTGGTTGTAGAAGTAGTTGCCAATGTTGCACTGCGAGGCGGGCCAGTGCGCCATGGGCGTGCCCCAGCCGCCGTTGGACGGGTCGGGCGAGCCGGAGCTGATGTCGCTAGGCACCTGACCCTTGGGGAAGAAGTAGGTCGAGATGCCGTCGGACTCGGACCAGTACATGACGTGGACGCCGCCGCCGTTCTTGTTGTACTGCACGCCAAAGTCGCCGCCCTTGGTGGAGGTGACGCCGCAGCCCTGGTTGCCCGTGGCGTCCGAGGCGCAGTTGGTGGCGCGGCTGTCCTGGAGCGTAAACTTGCCCGACATGTTGGGCTTGGCGGGCACGGTGCAGCCGCCGGTGGTGTGGATCGAGTAGGTGTTGTACGAGTAGTCGTTGACGCCCTCGATAATGTCGATCTCGCCGCCGTTGGGCCAGCCGCCGTTGGGGTTGGTCGGGGTGGACCACCAGGCGGGCCACACGCCGCAGCCGACGGGCATGTGCTCGGCGTCGAGCACAAAGATGCCCGTGGTGAAGGAGTCCTTGGTGTTGATGCGCACCGACTGCGCCCAGCCGTTGCCGGCGGTGATCTTCATGGTGGCCTTGCCGTTGTTGGTGCCGATCAGGCCCTGGTTCCTTGCCTGGTCCTGGCCGACGTAGGTGATGGAGCCGTGGGTGGGGTCGGCGTTGGTGAAGAAGTCCATGTCGTCGAAGAAGTTCGAGCCCGAGTACGACTTGACCAGCTTCCACTGCGAGGTGGAGGCGGACGACGAGGACGAGGACGACGAGGAGCTGCTCGACGAGCCGGAACCGTTCGAGTTGGAGCTCGAGCTCGAGCTGGACGACGAAGACGATGACGAGGAAGAGCCGTCGCCGTTGCCGGAGCTGGAGCTGGACGAGCCCGAGTTGGAGCTGGAGCTGGAACCGGAGTTACCGTTGCCGCTGCCGCTGCCCGAGCTGGAGCTGGAGCTGGAACCGGAAGAGGAGCTGGAGCTGGAACCGTTGCCGCCCTTGACGCGGTAGGCGTTGGAGGTCTTGGCGGCGCTCTTCTTGGGAGTGCAGGTGTTGCGCTTGTTGTGTGCGGCAGCGATGGCGGCGACCTCCTCGTCGTCTGCGTTGATGGTTGCGTTGTTGATCCTGCGGTCGAGGAGGACGAGGTCGTCGTTGTGGTGCTGCCTGCGCGAGTGGTGGACGTGGGAGCGGATCTTGTGGCCGGTGATGACGGAGCGAACACCACGGCTGGAGCGGCCCTGACCGGGAGGGACGGCGACGGGGCCTTCGGGGCCAGCCGATGCGACCGAGATGGAGGCGGCGAAAGCCAGAGCGAGAGCAGCGAGGTACTTCATGGTGATGATTGTGATGTTGATAATGCTGATGGAGCGAGACAGGATGGTGATGCAAAGGATGGCAGTGGAGATACGAACAAGACCGGCTTGGATCGAATCGAAGGTGACGAGGGTGTTTGTTGTCGAGAGGAGAGAGCTACGGATCAACGGAAAGCGCAAAAGCACGAGGAAGGATGCGAGGGGGTAGGTGGTAGAATGGAGGATAGGGTTATGCTACAGCAAGGAAGATAAAGGAAGAAGGAAGGAAGAGGCGAGAACCAGCTCGTCGAGTAGGGATGGGGAATCGCAGGGATACACACGGAAATGGGGAAAGGGGGATGAGGATGGAAGAGGAAGGGAAGGAAGAGGGCGACCGGACGAGGGCGAGGATGGAATAGGATCAAGCTCTCTGCATGGCCAAGCGCGAGGAGCGAGGAGAGGCGGCGAGGAATCCACGCTGCGCCTCTTGGCAGTGCAGCATGGGCTGGTGCTGAACCCTGAAACCGCCTCTGTTCCCATCCAAGCCCCGACCAACCGAGCGACTCGCTGCGCTGCGCTGCGCTGCGCTGCGCCTGCCCTGGCCCGCCTCTGCTTTGCACGGTCTTTCTCTTCGGCCCGCCTCCGCCTTTGCATCCACGCCCTGGCCCGACGAGATCTGGTGTCTTGGATGCAGTCAAGCTCAGCATGCGAGGCGAGACGAGTCGTTCCAGCCTCACTCATCGACGGCTCATCCGAAGCGCGTTCCAGGGCGACAGATCGGATCAAGCGAATCATTTTGCGATTGAGGTGGCATCCGCCAAGAGCTGCTGGCCATGCAGCGATTCGGAGTGCAGCCGGGGGGGCTCGGCGTGGGTGCGAAATCGAAGGTGCGTGTGCGTGGCCCTCGTTCTTTGTTCGCACCTCACAACGGGCTCACAAAGGGGACGGCTCGATGAGGACAGCAGAGAGAGGCAAGCTCAAAGTTCGCCGAGCAGGGAGTGGCCAGCCAGGAAAAGCCAGATGCCAGCGTGCCAGGCCAGGGCGCGTGCAGCCAAGATCTCGGATTCGAGTGCATGTGCAGCGCGTGTGCATTCGCGCTCTTGCGCCCCGCGTGGTGCTGTCTGTCTCTCGCTTGCAACCGGCGCCTGTCGATCGAGACCTGCCAATGCTGCCAGCACCCTCGCGCATTTTGCACTATCCAACATGCCTGCCCGACATGCAAGCCGTGAATGAACTCATCTCAGCTTCCTTGTTCCAAGGTGGGCGCAATGCAGGTCCATGCCAGACGCAAGCGCTTGGTGCTTGGCTGCGCCAGCTGCTTGGCGCAGATGCTAGCTCCGAGTTGCTGGCACATTGCGCAGATGGTGCCAAGTCGGCTGGCCGGGCTTGCGGCTGGCGACGCTGCGAAATTTCCCACTTGCGCTGTCATCGCCGAGCCGAAGCCCGTGCAGCGCCCCAACGCACGCGTGCAGTCCAACGCGGCTCATCCGAGCGCTGGCAGGCTGCAGCTGCAACGCTGTCAACGGAGCGCTTCCCTCCCCGTGTCCCCTTTTTCGCCTTCCCCCCCTCAATGCCCCCCTGGAAGCTTGGCAGCGGTTGCGCATTTCCGCACAATCTGCGCTTATGCGCCGGCACAGCCGACCGGCTCTGTGAGAAGCATTATTCACAGCGCAGCCGACGGCCACCGCCACCCCTTTGCAGGCGCCAGCACGGCCTTGCACCGATGAGTGCTTGGATCGCTCCTTCTGAGACGCGATCGCTGGGTCCCAGATCCAGCCGGCCCCTTGCGAGTCTCGATTCTCTCAAAGTCGAGTGTCAGCCCCGCTCGACCCGCTGAAACACGGCTTCCTCAGACCGCAAGCGGTGGCAGGCGCGACAGTGTGCTTCATCGGGCGGCGCAGCGCGTCTCAGAGCAAAAGACGGCTTTTGCCGAGCCACAAAGGGAGGGCGCAGCGGTCGGTGCTCGAATCTGCCAGAAAGGCAAGAAGGCAGAATGCCCGAGGCAAAGGAGACGCGACAGTCGACCGGCGCGACGCCCAACTTTCGACTCCGCCACCGCTTTGGTGCTAGCCGCCACCCGTCGAAAATCATATCTATGTTAGATCCTCGTCGGCAGCGCCATCTCATGCGTCGCCATTAGCACACGCTCAAAAGCAAGCTGGGCAGAACCTTGAATCGATGCAACTGACAACATTCGTCTACATTCTTGGCATCACATGAGGAAGAAGAGGATGGGTATCGTGAAAGGCTCGCGTCTACCAGGCAACGTACGCGAGGAAAGACCGGGGGAAGTGGCGCACAGCCAGCTTCCTCAGCTCCTCGAGCACCAGCATGCCCACACCGAAAGCGACGGGGAGGAAGTAGTGCTCGACCTCGACGCCGCGCGTGAGGAAGACGCGCTGGAGCGCCGGGATGTAGCTGAGGAACACGGCGATGAGCAGCGAGAGAGCCATGGCGGGCAGGAGGTACAGGTTCTGGGTGCTCTTCTTGCCGATGGGAGGCTGCTGGACGATGCTACGGCTCTGGGTGCGCCAGCCGAGCAGGTTGAACCACTGCTGAATGACGAGGTTGAAAAAGTACACCGCATTGGCGCGGTAGAGCACCTCGTTGAACAGCGTCGGGTTCGAGGTCTGCACCTTGCCGGCGCCATAGGTGAGCCACATGTCGGAGAAGGCGACGCCGTTGCGCTGCATGTACCAGAACGCCATGGCGCAGCTGATCACGGTGAGCGGCATGCCCACAAACAGATAGGCGTGTGCCAGCAGCCTCCAATCCGCCAGACGGTCCTTCTTGATGTCGCGGGGCTTGCGCTGGAGCAGGTTCGCTTCGGGCTGCTCATGCACCAGGCTGAGCGACGAGATGGCATCGGTACCCACGCACACAAAGATCATCTGCAGATTGCTCAGGATCTGCGGCAGCCCAAAGAAGAAAGACAGCAGCACCGCCCACAGCTCGGCGATCGAGCCTGCGGGAAGCAGGTAGCCGATGGTCTTTTTGAGGTTGACAAAGACCAGCCTGCCGTAGAGCAGCGCATCGACGATCGACGAGAAGCTGTCGAGCAGCACCATATCGGCCGCCTCCATGGCGACGGCCGAACCACCGCCCATGGCAATGCCAATGTCGGCCTGCTTGAGGCTGGGTGCGTCGTTGACGCCGTCGCCCGTCATGCCGACGCACTCGCCGCGCGCCTGGAACTCCTTGACGATGCGCAGCTTCTGCTCGGGCGTGGTGCGCGAAAAGACGATCTCGTCATACCGGCAAATCTGCTCCCAGTCCGACTCTTCCATGCGCATCAGATCGGGGCCGGAGAGCGAGAGCGCGTTTTGTGGACGATCGGCATTGTCCGCCTGCGTGTTGTACACGGGCAGCTCCACCGAGTGCAGATCGTCGAAGCGCTTTACTTTCTCGGCGGTCACAATGCCGCACTGGCGCGCAATCGCCTCGGCGGTGAGCTGAAAGTCGCCCGTCACCATGAAGAAGCGGATGCCCGCGCCGCGACACGTGGCGACCACCGAGGGGATCTCGGGTCGCGGCGGGTCGACGATTCCGACCAGACCCACCACGGTGAGCTGGGTGTTGGCGGCCATCACGGCATCCTCGAGCGGGATCGAGGCTTCGAGCTCGCCGGCACGGATGATCTTGCGAGCGAGCAGCAGACATCGCTGTCCGCGCGACGACCACGTGGACTGCATGGCAACAATCGAGTCGCGAACCTCGTCGGTCATCGGCACCACCTGGCCGGCAGCGTCCATGGCGAAAACAGCACGTTTGAGCAGCACATCGGGGCCACCCTTGGCGAGCAGGATCTTGTCGTTCTCGGCATCGAACGCGGCAGCCTCGCCGGTCGACATGACGGAGCCCACCAGCTTGCGAGCCTCAACTGCGTCGGCGGTAGCCTCGGCACGCAGGCCGACGAGCTGGAGCATAAACTTGTTCTTGGAGTTGAAGCTGAGCTTGTACTCTGTATCCCACGGCCTGTTGGTGTCGGCGACGGGCTTGATGAGTTCAGCCATCTTGAGCACGGCCGAGTCGGTGGCGTCTCCGTACACCTTCCTCTCGTCGACGGGGAGCGACATGGTGGCTGCGTCGAACACAGCTGCGTTGCATACGGCGCCTACGAATTGGAGCTGCTGGAAGGCGTGTCCGACAGGAGCGCCGGTGTTGACGTGATCGCGTGCATCGGCGGGGGTGCTTTCGAAGCCGAGCACGCCGACCGAGGTGGCAGTCATGCGGTTCGAAGTGAGCGTGCCCGTCTTGTCGGAGCAGAGGACGGATACGGAACCGAGCGTCTCGCACGTAGACAGCTGCTTACACAGGATCTTGGCGTTGGACATCTTCTTGGCGATGACGGTGAGCGAGAGCGTGACAGCAACGGGCAGACCCTCGGGGATGAATGCGACCAGGATGGAGACGACGTTGACGAGGAGTGCCGAGACGGACATGAACTCGGGATGCTTGGGGCGCAGGTAGGCTGCCCAGATGATGACGCAGATGACGGCGAGCGCCATGGCGATGGCAGCGATGGTGGTGACGAAGAATCGTACCTCGCGCTCGAGCGTCGTGAGACCCGCCTTGGGTCGGTTGGTCATGGCAGCGATTCTGCCAAAGACGGTGTTGTCGCCCGTGGCCACAACAACACCGATGGCCGAACCGGAAACACAGCTAGTACCGGCAAGCGCAATGTTGCGCGTCTCGAGGTAGTTGTCATCGGACATGTCGACCGTACCTGCAATCGCCTCGGCCTCGCCGGTCACTACGCTGCGGTCGAACTTTGCCTCGGAGCAGGCGATCAACCTAAGATCGGCGGCGATCTTGTTTCCGAGCGACACTACGACGATATCGCCCTGGACAAGGTCGTGTGCCTCGATGCTGGCATGTGCGCCGTTGCGGATGGCGGTGACTGCGTCGGGGAGCATGCCTACGATGGAATCCATGATGCGGCTCGTGCTGAAATCCTGCCACGCGTTGAAGACGGCCTGGATGACGACGACGACGAGCAGCACCACTGCAAGTGCAAGGTTGGACGTCTGCGGGTTGGGTTCGCCGAGAGGCTTCCAGGCGACGAAGGCAAGGATGGAGCAGACGATGAGCAGCGAACCGAATCCGCCAAAGATGTAGCCTGCGATCTTGCGGAGCAGCCTACGCGGGGGTTTGGACATGACGTTCTTGCCGTACTGCTTGAGCCTTCTCTCTACCTGGTCTGGGTCGAGACCGGATTGTGCCGAGGTGGCGGTGCGCGAGAGCACCTCGTCGACGCTGAGCTTGTGCCAGTCGAGATCGGCGAGCTCCTTGACGGCCTTTCGGTCGCTCTTGTGCGTAGGGTCGGCGAGACCGCCGTGGGAGAGCTGGATGGAGAGCGTGCGGAACTCGACGGGCACTTTGGCGGTGGGGTCGATGCGTGAGGGTGCGCGCAGCGAGGCGGCGATCGAGTGCGTGCGCTCCAGACGCCGTTGGGTGGTGGCGGACTCGTCAAAGCGCGTACTGCGCGACGTGGCGAACTTGGCCATGCGCGGCGCAGGAGCAGGTTCCACCTCGCCCTTCTCTGCGGACGACGCCGAGCTGGACGATCGCGATAGCATGCCCATGTTTGTCAAGCGCTAAAGGGGAAACAAGGGGAAACGGTGAAGGAGCGAGACTGGAAGAAAGACAGGGCGAGGGAGGCGAGCTTTAAGTAGCATCCGCTCCAGGTGCAGAGGTCAACACTTGCTCATGACAGCTGCAAGCGGCTGTTGCCCAGGGTGGGGGCACGTTGAAAGCCGGACACCTTCATGTTGTGCGCAGGCGCTGCGAGGGATTAGGGCTAACACCTGTGCACTGAGGGGTTAGGGCTAACAGCGTGCTGCGCAGACTGGCGTGGCTTAGGAACGCGCCGCACAAATCGCTCTGCTGTGCCAGTGGCAAAGTGGCGGCGAAGAGCATGACTCTGTGGGCGAGGGGCGAATGCGCATGAAGCGGACTCTGCGCTTGGCGAGGGTTAGGGTTGTCGGCTTCCATGCATCTCTCCCAGCTGTCAAATAAAGGCAAACCCGACGCTGGGCTCTTTCGCCTCGCAGCTCGGACCGCCGGCGCGCGGGTCTGACCCTCAACCCACTCTTCACTGCGCCTTGGGCGATTCACCCTTTTGCCCTCGCTTTAGCTCCTTGCGCCGAACCCAACCTTGCGGTGCGCTGCGCTGCGCATGCGAACGAGCCCACATCGAGCCCCGATGCCCACTCTCACCCAGTCAGAATCGCTGCCGAGCCATGACCGCTTCACTTGCCTAGTCCTGAATCCCTTTGTTTGGATGGATGGCTCCCTCAAACACATTGTGTCAGTTGCCGTCATAATTTGTACAGCGAGCAAAACAATTATCTGCGGCCATAGAACCTTGAAAGCACCGCATCCCGTCCGATCTGCGAAGTTAAGCAAGGTATCGCCTAGTCAGTACTGCGGTGGGGGACCACGCGGGAATCCTAGGTGCTGCAGTTTTTTTTTTGGGTTTTTTTTTTGGCATTTTTTGCTGCCTTTTTTCGCTTGATTTTTCGGCGCCAATTCACTCGTCGACTTGGCGTTGGATCTGCGGGCTGGGTTGTCCTGCCCCCGATCCGGCTTGACGAGATTCGGTTCAGGGTCCAGGCTGAGCCTCCGTCTTCTTGGTGGCTCCAGGCCATGCACGGTTCTTCCTGACGCTGCGCATCCCATCATCCCCACCAGCTTTGTCTCAGCTTAAGCGAAGATGCCGCCCACACCATTCGCACCGAGCCACGCGACGCCGTTCAAGTCGACGCTGTCGTCCTCGCAGCAGCCGCACACCAACCACTCGCCACTGCCGCCGCAGGCCGCACGAACCATCTCGGTGGCCGACATCGATGCTACGCACTGGCGGTACCACGCGGAAGGCGGCAAGAATCTGCTGCTCTCCTACGATCCCCCTGCGGGCATTGAGGCGCCGCCATTCGTGACGGCACAGGGAGCGTATGCGCTGCGCATTCCCAAGTCGCTGCCGCCCGGCTCGGAGGAGGTGCAAGACGACGTCGACGAGGCAGAGCGCTTTACGCAGCACGTCATCCAGCCGCTCCTCGGCGACTCGGAGGTGCTTCCACACTGCATCCGCATTCCCATCGGCACAGACCGCGATCGCACCGTCATCGATACGCTCGCAGCGGCTATTGAGATCCACCGCCCTGCTGCACGCCGTTCGGACCCGGCTCGCATTCGCGCCGAATCGCTACGCTGCATCTACGCCGTGCAGGACATCACTGCGCGGTCTACTTCTGCGAGCGGAGGCGATGTGCTGTGCGTAGAGATCAAGCCCAAGTGGGGATTTCTGCCACGCATCGACGCCATCCCATCGACGTCGGATAATGTCGACATCAAGACGCGCTACTCCCGCTTTCGCATGCACGCCGTCGCACGCAATCCCGCACTCACCCGCGAACAATTCGATGCGCTGTACGACCCGCTCGATCTGTACAGTGACGATCCCGAACGCGTGCGTAGGGCGCTCGATGCGCTCTGGACCGACTGGATCGCAACGCGTGGCAAGACCAACAATCTGCGCGTCTTCTGCAACGGCGCACTGGTGCGGCCAGACGACGCGCGCGCGCTTGCCGATGCTGCTGCGACCCTCGGCGCGTCTGCCGGCGAAGGAGTGGAGATGCTGCGGAACAATGTATGGACGCACTTGGTGGTGCAGGTTCAGCGCGAGCTCTTGCGGCGCTCGTTGGTGCACGATGGCACGCAAGTATCTGTGCTGCATCGGCTGAAGCGGCTGCAAGCCGCGCTGGATCCGTGGGACGTTGAAGGTCTCGCACACGCCTGGACCCAGCATACCGGCTCACACGTCCTCGGCCAGCTCCCCAACGATAGTGCCGCTGCCGAAAATATCACGCCAGCGGCCGCAGAGCTTCTTCCGCTTGTGCAGCCTTTGCTCGATGGCGCGCAAGCATCAAATGTACAGCAGGCAGTGCAGGCTTTTCTCGTCTCGGCCAGCTTCAAGGACTGCTCGTTGCTGCTGCGCTTCCCACGCGCGGCTGAGGCGTCCACATGGATGGTCGACTTGGACCGCAAACCCGCCACCAAGCTCGCAAAGATGCAGCAGACCGATGCCGAAGTATGCGCTGCCTTTCGAGGCTGGCTTTCTGCGCAGTCATCCGCACCCAAACCATCGATCAGCTAGCTTTTCCGCGAACAGAGAATGACATTGAGTGGGGTTTAGATGGATCGAGCATCGGGACGTGATTGTTGGAGGTACGCCTGCTTGTCCTTTTCGAACGCTTCCTCAGATGTACTGCACCATCGATCGGTCAGCTTTGTGAATCATCGTTTGTGAAGGAAGGATGGACTTACTAGACAAGAAGGCATTTGCTGAGGTCGTTGCGCAGGTCACGGCACGCCCAGAGCATCGAGATGGTTCGGGTCTGGGTGCATTGTGCGAACGCCTCCATCTGCGCACGACACTCGGACAGAGCTTTGGCTTTCGCCTGCTTCCGAAGCGTATCCTCCTCCCGATTCGAGATGATCGGCTGCGGCCCACTCGGTGTCGATGCTGCGCTCATCGTGTCGTATGTGCCAATGTGCAAAGTGTGTGTGGGGGTTGAGAGTGGAAGGTAGCAGCAAGGTTGGCATTGCAAAACCTTCCCACATCCTCCACTTTTGCGTAAGGACCCCGACACAAAGCATCACCTAAGACCTAAGTAATCTAACAATCTCGCCGTTTGGCCCCGATGAATCGCTTCCGCCTTCCCAACATTGCCCCCTCAAACAATCGCCTCACCCGGCTTTCATTCGCACCCAAAGCTGTAGAGTCGAATCCCTGAGATCATTGCATTTTCAGAAAACAGGTGATGGGTTGGGGCGGTGTGATAGGGGGGGTTGGGCATCATTGTACAGAGTAGGAACGGATTGGATACCGCTCTTTTGCTCGGCATTGCGCATGGCGGCGATCAAACCTTGCACACACAACAACCGAGAAGAGAAAAAGAGGGACGAGGGCCACAAGCCCTCGAATGCTAGCGGATGGAGAGAATAGGAACGACAAAAACAAGCTTAGACCGAGGTGAGGGGAGCGGGCTCCTTGAACTCGGTGTTGCGTGCCTTGACACCGGCGTCCTCGGCGCCAGCGATGGCAGCACCGCCGTGAACCTCGAGCAGCTTGTTCAGGTCGTCCTTGGGCGCCTTGAGCACCTTGACCTTGCGCACGTAGACGTCCTTGAGCGGGAAGATGCCCTGCGTGGCCTTCTCGACCTCGCGGCCAATCACCTCGGGGATGAGCTTGGCCACAAACTCGCGCAGGTCGCACGAGTTGGCCTCGCGCTGCACAATCTCGAACATCTTCTGGCGGATGGCGCGGATGTGCGACGACTTGGCGTACGTGTTCTTCTTGACCTGGTTGGCACGCTTCTTGGTGAAGGCAATCACGAACACGCGCAGCAGGTAGCCGTCGGTGGTCTTGACGTCCTGGTGCGCCTCGATGAGCGACTGCCACTTGCGCACGAGCGAGCGCAGCTTGTCCGAGGTGAAGTCCATGCCGTAGAAGTTGGTGAGGCAGGTGCGGCCCTGGATGCCGTCGACCTTCAGCTTGAACTTGCGGTACGCCTGCTCGTCGTCCTTGTTGAGGTCGGCGAGCGAGGCCTCCACAATGCGGCCCTTGAGCGAGTCATCGGCGTTCTTGAGACCCTGCGAGCGGTTGACAAACGTCTTGCCAACGTTGCGGTTCTCGAAGAAGGTCGGGGCCTTGATGTCGTACCAGTCCTTGCGGGTGAAGGGGTCAACAGCCCTCTTCTTGTTACCCTTGCCCTTGGAGAGCTTCTTGTTCTTGCCGACAGCTGTCGAAAAGCAATGACGTACGTGATTGGGGGAAAGGTCAGCATTCGGTCGTAGACAAGGTCGGGTGCGAGCGCGGTGTTGCAACACAAGAATGCATCGACGAGGCAGCACACGACAGCCGAGTATGATGGCGTGGTTGAAAGCGCCACGAGGGTGGGACTGTGGCGTTTGTGGTGGTTGGTTGGTCGACCGTTGTCGTCGGCGCGGATCGACATGGGCTGGCGGTGGGACTACATCGATGAGGCCTTTGAAAGTGAGTCGTGGCCTCCACGTGATGATGCCGGCTGCCGTGGTGGCGATGTACGTCATGGGTCTACTGATTGTGCAGAAGCTTTCGGGTGCGCTCCGTGAGGCACTTTAGGGATAATGCATGCTACAGCAAAGGCGCCCGGTCGGTGCAGCGAGGCAGGAGCGGCGAATCTTTCGAGATGGTGTAGCCGTCCAGATGGAGCCGTTCAGGCGGCGCAAGAATGGTGGAGATGAAGCGAAGCCTTGGTCGGCGACAAGCTGATCAACCTCCTCATTGTGAGATTCGGAGGTTGTTGGCTGAATGTCTAGGTAACGATGCGCATCGAGAGCGTCGCAGAAGCGTCTGTCGTGCTTGAGGGCATCCTCGATATATCGTGCTGGTCATCATGTCGATATCAAAAGCGTTTGTCGAGAGTGCTGGCAGTTGCGATACGACCTTCTGGTCGTCTGTAATGCTTCCTGCGTGGTCGGCGTGGATGTCGTATGTGTGTGTGTGCGCTGTCGTCGATGCATTGATTCTGTGTGTGTGCTGCGCAGTGTTGCTTGCGGTGATCACTTACCCATGATGAATCGATATGTCTTGAAGAAGGATGGATCGGTGAGGGAACGGACGATGTCAAGCTCGAAACTCGCCCTCAACCTCGACCCGACTGGCACTGCTTCACCTGCGACTCTGCCGCTGGCCGCTGCCACAGCTGCTGCCAGGCTGTGAGGCTGCCTTGGCTCGCTCTCTCCGTGAAGAGGCTTCCTTCGACTCGCTTCCTGATTGCGCTGCGCTGCCCTTCGCCCGACTTCAAGGCCCGTTGCAGCCGCCCGCTGGTCCCAGCCCTTCGCCTTCACCGCAAGTGTGGGCCAGCGTCGATGCACTGGCGCCGACAGACTTGGGGCAGCAGACGGCTCTCCTGCGCAGAATGTCGAAATTTTAACGTGACCATCCGATCTCGGCCGAGCTTTGGGCCATCACGTGATCAGCACTAAATTCAGGTTGGCCGGATTTTGAAATGATACGCATTCGCCCAAGCAACACCGAATTCAAGTGCTCTCCGAACTCGTCGCGGCCGCAAGAAGAAAGTCACAATTTCGGCAGCAGACTGCGATGCGTGGCCCCAAGGGTGTCTGAGGGCGAGCCACAACGAGGGCTGCGTCGGCCAGGCGAGAAAGTCGAGGAGAGTGCGACTGGCAAGCGCTTCTGGCGGGCCTGGGTCGGGACGAGTAGGGGTGAGAGCGGCGAGACTCGAGCTGCCGTTGGATTTAGGCTGCGATGGAATCTTGGGCAGCACAGCGCGATGTGACGGTTGGAGCTGGCCGAGCCTCAGTGAGAGCGGCGCCCGACGCCGTCGAGAGCTGGTCACTTCCACCTTGGTCTCTCTAGCCGTCACGATACCTTTCTCCACCAGTCATCACCCGGTGTTCCATCCTCAAGGTAAGTGGTGCATCGAAGACTCTTGTCGCACACGTCGTCATCGCAATCGCAGCTCTCGCATATCGCACGCACCAACATCCACGTCGCTCCACCACCGACCGCATCCACGAGACACGATTTTAGTGGAAGCAACCCCGCAGTACAGCAACAATAGCATTCCGGTATCTATCAATCACGCACGCACGCACGCATACGCATCGACACCATCGGATCCAGTACTGTACCTACGCCATCGCAGCCGCAATGCTGTTCGCCTCATGTCGCTGCGATCGTCCACTGCAGAAGAATCCTACAAATGGCACCAGCATGTTGTCATGACGCCATGTAGGAAAGGTGCCGCTGCAACGACACGAAACCAAAAGCACCCGCCTGGCGTCCGTACTGTTCGTGTTGGTCCAACATAGCTGCAGACGACGATACTTGACGACTCCGACAAACAAGCGCAAAGTTGCTCCACTCCAAGTCCCCTATCGCCGGGACACGGCATGGCATGTTTCTCGACTGCATGCTGCAAGAGCAGGCATATGTTGGCCGCATCCAGCGCATCTTCTCGGGCAGATCTCGATCGACACGCTCGTCCGACAACTCGGACCTACTCCAGCTAGTGCCACTTGAATCGAACATGATCATGCGACACTTGCGGCGCAGTACGACACACATCTGCTTCCTCTCTCAGCCGATCTTCGACTTTGCATGCACCGCCAGCACCGACTTGCGATGACGATGTGGCGTTACGTCTCCTCCTATACGCCCAAGGACCCAACCGACTGACTCTTGATCCACTTTTCGCATCCACCACCACGCAGACTCCGTCCTCATATAGTCACCATGGCTTCCGTCCAGCAGAAGATCTTCCGCACGGCTAACGCCCCCACCGGCCCCGCCGACGAGGTCGAGACCGTTGTCGCTCAGGCCCTCATCGACCTCGAGTCGAACGTGTCGGAGCTCAAGGCTGAGCTCCGCCCCCTCCAGATCTCGTGCGCCAAGGAGATCGAGGTGAAGGGTGGCAAGAAGGCCATCGTCATCTTCGTCCCCATGCCCCAGCTCAAGGCTTTCCACAAGATCCAGCAGCGGTAAGCATCTCTCGTCTCGACACACAGCCACATCATCTTGCAGCAGCCAGCAATGCCAAAACCAGCAGCCAACAGCTGGCAGGAAGGGGGGAAAAGAAGGTCACGAAGGGCTTGGCCCCACGACGCATTGCACAGCTTGGCATACGAGGGAGGGCAGACGTGGATCACACCCAACATTGGCAGAGGATGCAGTTGCTGCAGTTCGAAGAGATGCAAAGCAGTACAGCACGGACTACGAAGCCGTACAGGGCGGCATGCCGTGCAGGGACCAGGCATGCAAGCGATGTTTTGGCTGCTGCTGCTCTCAACGATTACAATCGACGCACATACTGACCCTTTACCTGTCGCTCCTGTTTCACAGTCTCACCCGTGAGCTCGAGAAGAAGTTCTCGGACCGCCACGTTGTGTTCGTCGGCCAGCGCCGCATCCTTGGCAAGCCCAGCCGCAAGAACCGTAACCAGCAGCCCCGCCCCCACTCGCGCACGCTCACCGCTGTGCACGAGTCGATCCTCGAGGACCTCGTTTACCCCTCGGAGATCACTGGCAAGCGCACGCGCGTCGCCACCGACGGCAGCCGTCTCGTCAAGTGCTTCCTCGACTCGAAGGACGCCACCTCGCTCGAGTACAAGCTGGACAGCTTCTCGTCGGTTTACAAGAAGCTCACCGGCCGTGACGTCAGCTTCCAGTTCTCCTCGGACAACTAAGCGACCGATCCCGCCTCTTTTTCGACTTCAGTCTTCATGGTCACCGTAGACATGTAGCATCATCCTTTCCGCACCACCAAAACTTGTCCCGGAGCGCGCTGTGCTACTGTGCGAGTAAAGACGCTTCCGTGGTTCTCCTCATGCCATGATGCAGCTGCAGTTGGCGAGCTGTGCTGTGTTTGGCAAAAGTGCGCTCTTGCGCTCTTTCATCTCTCTTTCTCATTCAAGCGTCTTCCTCTAGTGGAAACGTTGTGTAATTGTTCCCTCCCCCCCTACCATCATCATCATCATCATCGCTCTACGCACATGCACACGCCCCCAAAAAATCTCAACTCTTGCTTCTCCAGAACCACGAACGGCGTTGCGGTGTTGCACCACTAGCCTGAGGCATGACTAACTTAGCCTAAGAGGAGGTGGCCGCCGAGCCAAGCCGAGCCGAAAGAGGATGTGCGGCGAAGAGCTGTCAAAAAGCCATTCAATGATTTTCCAGACGCCTAAAAAAAGCCGAGGCGAAAAGGCACAACTGCGAGGCGCTCCACTGTGAAATCACAGGCGGCCCACGCGCGAAATGAGGAATGAAGCGACGGGCTGCTGTCAGCCGCGCAATCACCAACTCACTCTGAAATCAATAATGCGAGCGAGGATTAGCAGCAGGAACAGCATCGGCTTCGATGCCGGCAAGCCCCACCTCCTTCTGCCTCTGCAACATCACATTCCCGTCATCCAACGGCCGTGGCTGAGCCGCCTTTGTTTGGCACATCCGCTGCCGCTGCTGCTGCCGCTCTAGCGAAAGGGGGCCGAGCTCGAGCTGAGTCCGAAATCCTCGAAAAAGCGCTTCAGCAACAGCATCCCACCCGCCCATCCTCGACCCCCGCCTTCATCGACCCATCTCATCTCACCTCGCCTCACCTCACCTCTTCTTGGCATCCGCTCTCGCATCCGCATCCGCTCTCGCATCCGCATCCGCTCTCGCATCAGCACCAACAGCGGCGACCCATACCGCACAACCGCAACACAATGCTTTGATACCCGCTCGACAGACCCATTCCTGCAGCTCTAGCTCCCGCAAGGCCTCGCTCAAACACACTTGGCCGGCGCTCGGACCGCTCCCAATTGCGGTTACCGCTCCACTCGCACCCCGCACTCATCCGAATCGATCCGCACCTCATCCATGTCGTCGTCTGGACTACCAGGCGGCAGGGAGACCGCTGCATCGTCCTCAAACCCCCCTCTTGATCACGACTCCAGCATCCGTCGACTCGAGGCAGCATCGCCGGCCAGCCCACCCCCTCGCCCGCCCCGTGCAAGCTTGGATCGCTCGCGCCTGCAGCTCATGCATGCATCATCTCCACTATCTGCACAGGCCGCCATCTTGGAAGAAGATCCCGTTCCGGTGGCATCCCCCACTGTGCATGCAGCCACCTCCTCATCCGCGGTTCCACCAACGCCGTCCTTTGACGCGCACCTTCCCGCGCATCCATCCTCGGGCATCGCCCACATCGCCCTTTCACGCTCCCAGCCCCTGCAACAGCGTGCAAGCAATCAGGATATGCGCTCTCACCGCGCCTCGCCCGATGAACCCTCCCACACCATCAACCGCCTCCCCTCCTTCTCATCCTCCTCCYACTCGTCGTCGTCGTCGTCCTCCGCCGCCGCCGCAGCGCTCCAGCCAGCTCACTCCTCCGAGTCTACAACGGCCACAACATCTCCGCAACCCTACACGGATGAACATCAACAAAATGCATCTCGATCATCGCCTTCCTTCCGCGCAGCACCAACGCGCATCCCGTCTATAAACGATCGAGCGCCTGCCTACGCGCGTGCCAACATCCCCGCCTCTGCATCCTTCTCAAGCTCATCTGGCTCAAAGCAACACTACTCGTCTTCTCCTTCCTCCTCCGCCATCCCAGACCCGCGCGGCTCTCCTCGCTCCACTTCGACTCCGTTCGCGCGTCCAGCCGTTTCATCGTCCGTCCCTGCCGCACTCTCATCCCAGCTCGGGGCACCACCATCAACATCCCCGCATTCCACCTCTCGCGCCTCTCCAGATATGCACTACACACGTTCCGTCCTCGACTCGAGCCCACACAGCTCGCCCTTCTCGGCACGTCGCGACGCCAGCTTCACGCGCCTTCGCTCCGGCTCTGGCTCCATCAGAGGCAGCCCCCGCTCGCCCGTCACTGGCGATGCCGAAGTCTCTCTCAGCGTGCACGTCTGGTGGCCATCCACTGCAAAGAGTGCCTCCTCCACCCTCGCCAGGGCCCCGCTCTTCCGCGATGCCGCCACCGTCAAGCAGAAGCTCTCCATGCGAGCCACCTCCAACCAGTCCCGCGCAGCCGAGATCGGCCACGATGCCGTCTTTGAGCGCGCTTCCTTCGGCTTCCGCCACGGCGGCTCATCCTGGCTGCGCGAAAAGCCAAGCAAGAGTCGTCTCAACTCGCCCTCGTCCTCCGTCGGCCCTCTAGGCCAGTTCAAGCGGGCCACGCTCTTGTTCCGCGACAACGGCGGCCTCTCCATCTTTGGCGAAGGCAACGCCCTCACTCACACGCTCAACTGCGCCGCCCTCTCCCACGCCGACGTCCGCGCCGTCGACGACTCGCTCTTTGGGAGGCCGCACGTCCTCGCCGTCCGTCCGCGCCAGTCACGCGCTCGCACCGAGGTCTCCATCACCACACGCAGACACGAAGCCGCATCGCCCAACGAGCGCACGCATCGCCCCGAGCCCATCTTCATCGAGTTCAAGTCCGAAGAGCAGCTCCAATACGTGCGTACCCTCCTCCACATCTTCGCCAGACCCGACATCTACGGTTCGCCCGCCACGCTCGACACCGGCGGCACGCATCGCTTCTTCCGTCAGCTCGACATCACCATCTCGGACGCCAAAAGCATCATGCCGCGATGGCCCATCGAGGACACCACCACCGATGTTCTGCCTGCCTCTCCCATCCGCTCGGCCAATCATCCGCTCATACACAGCAGCCAGCCCGCTTCCCCCACCGTCTCCAGTGCAGGGGGCGCTCCCAGCATCGCCAGCGGCGAGCTTCCAAGGTCGCTCTCGCATCAGCTCGCCTCGCTCCGCTCCGACGACAACGAAGATTCGCAATCGCCTGGCTCGGAGCCGCTCACCGAAGACGGTCTCTCCGGATCCTCCCGCGCAGGTTCACAGCCTGGATCGCGTCCAGGCTCCCGCCCCGGCTCTCGGCCCAGCTCACGTCTGCGTCACAATGCCAAGCCCTCGGTCAGCAGCATTCGCCACCATCCAGATCTCGTCGACGACAGCAATGCTGCCAGCGGATCCAGTCGACCGGCTTCGCGCACGGCCTCGCATTACGACGCCCATTCCATCGCCGAAGACGATGCAAGCTCCATCGGCGATCACCACACCGGCCCCCTTAGCGGTCACGCCGGCGCCAGTCGCTTCGCCTCTACCCACACCTCCACCAGCGAGGCCGCACCGAGCATCCATGCCGGCCTCAGCCACAGCTCGAGCTTCTCCACCACCTCTCGCGCCTCGGCACAGCGACGCGACGACAAGGATCGCTTCGAAAAGGCTCGCTTCGACCGCTACTGCCGCATCCGTCTCGATGGCGAGCTGGTCGCACGCACCAGCCTTTCTCAATCTGCCATCAACACGTTTGCCATCGACAAGTTTCATCTGAAAGACGTTGGCGATGCACGGTCGCTGCTCATCGAGGTGCTGCACCCCACGCAAAAGACCACCAGCTCGCTCTCGAGCTCGGCTGCCAACGTCGGAGGCAAGTACATCCTGCTGGGTCTGGTCGAGATCCCCATCGAGACGCTGCGCAGGAACGAAGAGGTCGAGGGCCGCTTCCCCATCTGGTCCATCTCCACCTTCCCATCGCACCACGGTGCCGACGACGCCGATGACGGAAGGATTCCGACCACCTTCCATCGCGGCATCGTCGGCGAGATCTCGCTCTCGATCCGGCTGCACGAGGGAGCCGTGATGCCGCTGAGCATGTACGAGGAGGTGTATGCCAGGATTCACGCTCCGGATGCGGCCGACATGATCAGCGAGCTCGCCAGCACCATGCGCGAAGATGCCATCATCTCGCATCTCATCCGCATCTACGCCGCTTCGGGCACCATCTCCGAGCGCATCTCGGCTCTGATTGAGGCAGAGAGTGCCAGCTGGGGCGAGAAGATGGAACCGGAACTGCTCTTCCGCGCCAACACGCTCTTGTCGCGCTCCGTCGACCACTTTCAGCGGCTTCGAGCGCTTTCTTGGCTTGAAGAATGCCTGGGCCCGACCGTACGCAAGATCTGCCACGATCCTCTCGCGCCGGCTCGATCGGAATCGTCCGCTTCAGTCGGCAGCGCGGGAAGCGAGGAGCCACACTTCGACTTTAGCACCTCGATCCGCTCACCGCCGTCGCTGCCCGCCAACGCCATCGACACCATTCCGGACGGACCGATGACGACCAACTCGCTGCGCAAGCTCAGCGAGACCATGTGGCAGAACATCTATCGGCAGCGTCACAGCTGCCCTCCTGATCTGCGCATGGTGCTGTACCAGATCCGCTGCAAGGTCAACGAGCGCTACCGCAGCTCCAAGTCGACGCGGCCGGGCATCCAGGGCGTGGGTGCGTTTGTGTTCCTGCGCCTCTTCTGTGCGGCGCTCAACGCTCCACAGCTCTACGGGCTCACACCGTCGCAACCGGACCGAAGTGCGCAGCGCAAGCTGTTGCTGCTGAGCAAAGTGCTGCTGGCGCTCGCCAGCAAGAAGGTCGCGTTTGACAAGGACAAGGACTGGGAGCTGATGCCGTTGAGCGATCTGCTGCGCACCTACTCGTCGGCGTACGACGACTACATCAGCGTGGTCTCCACCGAGCCACCCACTGCACCGCCAGTGCAGCTGCTGGGAACCAGGATCGACGACGACGCCGAGATCCAGGCGGCGGCATTGCGCAAGCTGAGCTCGCTCTCGCCCTTGCATCGCGAAGCGATCCCAAGGGCTCCGTATATGATCGACCAGTCTCAGGCGCTGGCTGCATTCGTGGCATTCGTCGCCGATGCGGCCGAGGAGCGCGAGCATGTCAAATCTCCTCTTGGCTCTGTCGACGGCGGATGGGCGGCTTCGGAAGCTGGCGATCACGATGGAAAGTCTGATGCCAAGGAAGCGACGACGATCCGCCAGAGGACACACGAGTTTGTGCAGATCTGCTGCCGCATCGAAGAGGCCGCAGGGATGTGCATTGACCAGGCTGGGTACGATCCGCGGCCGATCGCGATGGAGCGTCTGCAACGTGCTGCGCTTTCGAGCCTGTCTCGGTACGGCGGCTCGACTGCCTCGTCTTTGCTCATGTCGTCGCCCGTACGGGGAGGGCTGGATAGCTCGGCAGCATCGTTTGCGTCTTCGACCTCGAGCTTCGGCACGGTGGTTATGGGTGGCGAAGCCCACGAGACGTCGCCGAGATCCTCGCCGGCGCGGCTGAGGACCCGCCGAGCCACGGTGAGCGCGGCGCAATCGCGCTCGAGGGTAGACGACAAGCAGACCCCCGAGGTCGATGGCGGATCGCCACGAGGCGGCAGGAGGACTAGCTTTGGTCTGGCACGCTCGAGCCGAAGACCATCGCAGGCGATGTCCGAGATGGATGTCTCTGTCAGCCCACAGACTGGACCTGGACACGCGAGGAGGATGAGCGAGATGAGCGAGAGCAATGCGCCGACGCCGCGCCAACGCACGTCGATCCAAGCGCTGGCTCCGATGCCGCTGGGCGCTTTGTCACACCAGCGCGCCACGTTTGGTTCGAGTCGGAACGAAGAGGACGAGCACGGGTCGGACGACGAACTGCGCCAGGCATACCGCATGCTACGCGCCGAAGAGGCGGCGACGGCCAAAGCCGCACCGGCACGCGAGAGTGCGCTGCCTTCGGGCGCGGCTGTGGGCTCGGATGCGGGTAATGTGGGCGCAGCGATGGTGCCGGATGCCAGCTCGACATCGGCGGCATTGGGGTTGGAGCCCATGGGCGCTCTGTTGGAAGCTGACGACGGCTCGACATTCGAAGCGGTGTATCCGCAGCGCGGTTTCGCCTCGCCGACGGGCAATGGCCCGCCTTTGTCGCGAAGTGCACGTCAGTCGGTGGAGCTGTCGCGTCCGGCATCGCGAAGACTCAGCGCCAGGGCGTCGTTCACGGCGGGCGCAGGCAAGGCACCTGAGGCGGGTCTGGGCGGTCTGCCGACGCGTGCAGGCGAGTCGGACTCGTCGCGGCGACACTCGACGGACCAGCCGTCACTGCCACGCAACTACTCGCTGCCACAGCCACCGGGCGATCGTCGAATTTCGGCCAAGGACGAGCTGCGCGACAGCCCCGATGGGTTTGGGACGGTGGTGGAGGATGCGTATGCGCAGACGCGCGCTGCACTGCCACCGTCCGCATCGATGCCCGTCGTGGGAGCATCCGAAGCGAGGCGTGGCAGCGTCGGTGGGGGAGCAGATGCCGACTCGGCGCAGGCCAAGAAGAAGAAGTGGTGGAAGCCGTAAGGCTGGAAAAGAATGCAGACGCTAATATGAATAATGCTGTCGTGGTGGTCGAGCGGCGTGAGTGTGAGAGCTGTCTGAAGCCAGCAGGCGTTACTATACGCTGGCTTTTGGGTGACTTGAACGTGAACGTTTCGACGGAAGAGGCAACGTCGGGAGACTGGTCGGATCGTTACATGGATTGGTTCTTCTACGGCGGCTGCGTGGTGTGAGGCACAGCGAGGGAGAGGTGTGAAGGTGTCAGCTAGCTCATACGTCCGAGATCCGGGACGAGGGGGGAGTCAGGGTCCAAGGGTTTTGGTGGGGATGCGGCTCGTGCGCGTCGCTTGTGACTCGTGCTCAAATCGAGTAGTCGAGTTGGGACCATCACCTTCGTTGTCTACATCGCCTTTACCCAGCCGTGCACCGCCCAAGCACGGCTCACCACCACCTGCCTCGCAAGCTCAACAACGCAGCTTGAATCGAGTCATACCCGCCGCTGAGCTCGGATCTCGACGCTGGCGCAATCGCTTCTAGTCGTGCATCGACGACGCTTTTCGCAGCCGGTGAACGCAGCTCAAATTGACCAGCGAGGATCTCTCGAGCACAGACGATATCGCCATACCATCCAACACCTGCAGGCCATTTCGCACGCGGTACACGCAGGCACACGCCAAACCGCTCGGGACGAACAACGCCTCTCTACTGGAGGATTTGCGGCATGACTTCGCGCTCTGCCTCTTCCGGGGCGATTCCCGCGCTGGACCATCTGATCCTGCTGGTCAACGACCCACGCACGGCATCTTCGCAGATCGAGAGCGCACTGGAGCGAGCGATCTGCACGTTCTCCGCGCTCGGCTTCCAAGTTGTTCGCGGCGGTGTTCACGCGGACGGGATCACATCCAATGCGCTCATCGTCTTTGCAGACGGAGTATACATTGAGCTGGTGCAGTTCGAGGCAGCACCTGGGCTCTCATCTGGCGAAAAGCAGGCGGATTTCGAGGCGAGGAGGAAGAAGCACTGGTGGTACAACTCTCGTCCGGGGTGGATCGACTGGTGTCTGCAGGACGGTATTTCGGACGGGATGATTCAGAGCATCAACGACAATGCGCAGCGGTTGCGACAGACGGCTCTCGAGGAAGAGCAGCGTGAATCGCAGGACGGGATGCGAATCGTCGCACCCCGACTTCACTATCTCGCCCCGCAGGAGGGAGGCAGAGTTACAATGACGGGCGAAGAGTTGCGGTGGAAAGTAACCTTCCCCTCCCCACCCTCGGGCACCGTGGGCAACTCGAGATCAGCTGTGCCGTTTTGGTGTGCGGATCTTACGCCTCGCGAGTTGCGAGTTCCACTCACCCGGTCGATGCACGAGAATCGCTCTCCCGGCATTGCAGAGATCACCCTGCTGTATGCGCGCGATACAGTAGCTGCGTATCTCGACGTAAGTCTGGCACTCAATCAGCCGATTGATGCTGCCACCCTCCCCATCTCTAGCGAGCTACAGCTCGTTCCCAACCACATCCCCCATCGACTTCTTGCTGCTCCAGCCCCTGCGCCCAAACCAGACGCGACGCTGGCAAAGGGCGAGGGACATCCTCATCACCAGGCGGGGACGCCACAAAAGTTCATCAGGGTGGCAGTAAAGGTCGCGGAAGATCCCCAGGATTTCGCCTGGATCGAAAGGCATGGAGAGGGGCTGTACGAGGTGGCCATTTACGGTGCGTATCCTTAGCTTGCGAAGGTGGAAAGATCTAGACTGACGACGCTTTTGTGGATTGGGGTCAAAGTCGCGGCGGATAAGTTGCCTGCAACAGCTCCACCGGATGGAATCGGTACGTTCCACCCCCGAACACACACTTACTCCCCATTCGGATGGCAGGCTGATTCCTTGAAATTGGAGTATGGCAGAGCAAACCACGTTCAGCGCCGGGTTTGGACGCATCCGACTCAGCCCGATCCTGCACTAAGATTCTAGCTGCGCATAGCGAATCCAGGCATCCTTGGACGCGGCACGACGCACGAGGATGCGGTCACCGCCGTCGCCAAAGTATCCCTGCTTTGCCCACGCATTTAGGTCGGCGAGACTGAACGGACCGAATGTCTGAATCTCGGGATCGACGGATGTGCCCTGCTCGCGTGCGGCTGCAGCGAGGTAAGCTGGCGTCCAGCGGTACTCCCATTCTGCCGTCGTCTGTGCCGGGTCTACAGGTTCTGTCGGCGGATCGAACTTGGCCGCAGGATCAAAGGTGTTTCTTACCAGGCCCGATTTATGCACGTCGTGCAGCAGCGATTCATACGTCCGCTCGTAGACGTCGAGCCTTCCAAAGCGACTCATCAATACCGATGCCAGATGGGTTACACTCTCCACCTCGCCTGCCGCCTTGTCCACGTCTTCCCTCCGGCCGCTTTTCTTTTGTCCGGAAAGCTGCTTGCCGAGGCGCTGGAGTGTGCGCTGCACGGTTTCGGTGCGATGCATATGCTCGACCAGTCGACGCTTGACATCGTCCTCGTCGCCGTCTTGCTGTGCAGCAGTGGCTTCGCGCTCGCGCAGCGCGCGGTCACGCGCTTGCTGCGCACGCCGCGCGTCGAGGATGGTGGTGCGCGAGTAGACGCCCGTGAGCCAGGTGTCGTGCTGCGCGTGTGGATCGCGCGCGTGCTCGTGGTAGTTACCGTCGGCGTCGAACGCGCCCGTGCGCATCTCGTCGCTCATGTTGAACCCCGTCACTTTGGGCGCCTTGGCGCGTGGCTGCACCGTCCCGCCCGGCGAGGTGGGCGGCGTGCGCTCGGCGTACGCATTGAGATCCACCGCTTCGTCTTGCCCGTTGGCGGAGTGAGCGTCGTCCTCGAGCTCCAGATCGGGATCGGCATCGTCATCATCATCGTGCGCGTCGCCGTCGCCGCGCACAAGATCCGCGTCGGCATCCGCGTCGAGCGCCGACCGCTTCTTGGAGCCAAATTCCTGGCCCTCTTCCAGCTCGCCGAGCTTGAGAAAACGCTTCTTCCCCGCTGCTTTGTGCTTGTCCTTCGACGGTGCTGCATCGTCGTCTGAGCCTACGTCGAACATGTCGTCGTCATCGTCGTCGTCGGCATCGTCTTTGGCGCTCGCCTTACGCCGGCGCTCAGCTCGGCGCCGATGCGAACCTGCATCCGCACCGGCGTCCGAATCGGCGTCGTCATCCGAGTCGTCGCTCGCAGAAAGGTCCTCGCCCCGGTCGTCGATGCGCCCACGCTTCTGGTCCTTGCGCAGCCGCCGCCGGTCCTGCTCTTCGATCTCGGGGTCGCCATCAAAGTAGTCGGTGTCGGCGTGGCGTTTGGCGGTGCGCCGTGTCGTGTCGTCGATGCGTACGCGCTTCGAAGATGAGGGACCTGGAGCTGAAGAGGAGCTCGAGACGGCCTTGCGCTTGTCCTGTAGGCTCATTGCGACGGGCGATGCTTGGGTGGTCGGCGGAATGGATGGATGATGGCGTTGGAGAGGAGCCAAGAGCAATCACGAATGTGGAGTTTCTCAGGGTCCTCGTAAAAATCGAGCCAAAAAAGGCGATTTAAATCGTGCTTTTTTGAGGCATTTTTTTACTGGAAAAGAGGGTCCGTGCTCCGAGTGCTGCTCTGCTGACCCTTTTTTTTTGGGTCGGAATCGCCCGGCGAAAATAGGCTCGCGGCTGCAGTCGGCGACATCCGAAGACACCGATCTCGTGACCGCAGAGAGAAATCACACCTCCTCCCCTTTATCATCATCACCACCATCAACGAGACGCAATCGATAACGACATGCTGCGCTGCACGGCTCCTTGAACAGCTCCACGCAAGTGGAGTCGATCACACCAAACAGCCCACTCAGGCTACGCAGCCCACAGACCACCGGCGTTCCCCACCTGAAATGGTCTCACCACTTCTTTCTCGCTCAACATGACTGGCGCCGCCGCAGCACCCCCTGCCATCAGCCCATTCGAAATCGCCAACATCCAAGCCACAGAAATCGAGGCCATCCAGACCATTCTCGACCATGACTTTGTGCCCATCCAGCAGAAGGCGTGGAAGGGCGCTGCCTCGGCACAGCTGCACGAGTTCCAGGTAGTCCTCCGTCCGGACGAAGAGCGTCTCAAACCGCTTCTGTGCGCCTACGTCACCTTCCGCTTGCCGAAAAACTACCCGCTCGTGCCTCCGACCATCATCGTCAAGCAGAATGACGGCAGGCATCGCGGTCTCTCCACAGACCATCTTCACAAACTCAGCCACGAGCTCAACCAAAAGGCAAAGTCGCTCCTCGGAGCAGAGATGATCTGGGAGCTCATCACCACCGGCCAGGAATTCATCAGCATCCACAACGCCATCCCCAGAGAAGTCAAGGACGGCGCGCCCTCGCTCAGCCTCGAACAGGAAATGCAGAAGCGCGCAAAGGAAGAGCAGGAGCGTCAGCATGCTCACGAGCAAGAGGAACGCATCCGTAGAAAGCATGCTGAAACCTTACGATCAGAACAGCTCGCCCAGCTCATCCAGGAGGAGGCCAGCAAGAAAGCAGCGCTGCTCAAGCAGGAAAAGGAGCGCAAGCGAGAGAACAGCTACTTTGCCAATCACGGCCCTACCAGCCCGGCAAATCCATACCCTTCCTCCTCCTCCGCCGCCGCCTCTACCAGCACGACAGCACCGGCCGCTTCCGCCTCGGATGCTTCGCGAATCGAGACCTTCCTCGACCCCATCGAACACAACGGCAGGGTCACCTCGGTCCTCCGCGTCGGTCCCGTCCTATCCAAAGCAGGTCTCGCCATCCGCCATCTCGCCGAGCCCGCCCACGACGATCCGGCCGACTCACGCGTGCCCTCGCACACCTGGATCCTCGAACACTACCTCATCGCATCCCAGCACTACGCCTACTCCGCCGGCAAGCGCAAGCTCGAAGAGGTCGAGTTCGAGTTCGACAAGCTCGTCAAGGTGCGCGAGCCCGGTCTGCTCAACGTCCTCGCCAGCGCCGTCACCCGCGTCGCAGAGCCCCAGGGCTGGAAGCTCAGCGTCGTCACCGAGCGCACAGATGGCGTCGCCCTCCGCGGCCTCCTCCAACAGTGCGACTCGCTCCCCTGGAAGCGCGTCCGCCACCATCTCGCCGCTCTGCTCAAGACGCTCGACTCCCTCCATACCCGCAACCTCGTCCACCGCAGCATCGATCCCGACTCGGTCTTCGTCGAAGCAGGCGCGTCCACATCCATCCGCCTCGCAGGCGCGTGCTACTCGCGCCGCCTCAAGGACATGCACAAGTCGAACCCGCTCAACGACATCGTCGGCCCCATCCAAGACGACGTCCACCCAGACGCCTGGAAGCCGCCCGAGGCCATCGACCAGCCACTCTCCTACAGCAGAAAGCGCGACATTTGGGATCTCGGTGTGTGCGCCTGCCAGATGCTCTTCGGCCCGGACTGCATCGTCGAGTACGACATGCCAGAGCACGCCATTCGCAGCTCCAAATCGCTCGCTCCTCACGTGCAAGCCTTCCTCTTGCTCATGCTCGAGCGCGCCTCAAAGAAGCGCCCCACTGCCGCCGCCCTCGTGTCGCGCTTGGAAGAGCTCATCCTATACGAGGACACCGAGCTCTCACAGGGCTCCTCCACCAGGATGGCGCCTCAGGCTTCCGCCTCAAACGCTGCGACCGACTTGGTCACAACGAGCGCCATCAAGGCCACCCCTCGGCCGGGAACTGCTCGACAGAAGAGCGATCCTAACAACAAGACTCTCGCCTCGCCCAGCCCCAGACTCGGCAACCCGCTCGATTCGGAGGCGTTCGGATCGCTCTGGCCCTTCCGTGCGCCTGGCGGTCCTGGCGCATCGCATGCCGCTTCCTCTTCGCGCTACCTCTCCGACTTTGAGGAGGTCGAGTTCCTCGGCAAGGGCGCGTTCGGAAGCGTCGTCAAGGCGCGCAACCGTCTCGACGGCCGCTTCTACGCCGTCAAAAAGATCAAGCTCTCCAGCTCGCCCGACGAGGACGAGCGGACGCTGCGCGAGATCAGCGCGCTCAGCCGTCTCGACCATCCGCACATCGTGCGATACTCGACGTGCTGGATCGAAGAGACGCACGTGCCCATCACAGGCTTGACTGGCAGCGACACCGACGGCTTCTCCTCCGCACACACGCTCGAGACCAACACGACCACCAGCAAGACGCATGCCTCCGGACCCAGCCTCTCCATGTCGGCTTTCCGCAACGGCTTCCAGCGTCCTGCCGCGTCCAAGAAGCCAGGCAACGGCCGCGACGATTCGTTTCGTGCCGTCCCGGACTTTGACGAGGATGACGACGTCTTTGCCTCGGGCGCCAGCTCGTCTCGCCTGACAGGCAGCTACAGCGACATCCGATTCGCAGACGATGACGACGACGACAGCAACCCAAATCCGCGCAACGCCAGCGCTTCCGCCCGCGCCAAAGCCGAGACGTCCTTCAAGGGCGGTCTACTAGCGCTACGCACACCCTCGGACGCCAGCAGTGACGATGATTCGGACAGCGACCAGTCGAGCTCCGACGACGACTTTGGGGACGATGACGACGACGACGACTTCAGCCGCATCCCTCTGTCGTCGCGGCGTGCCTCCCGCGCGGGCCGGTCCATGTCGAGGAGCGTCAGCGTCGCTCGACCGGCCGGCAGCGTTCCCGTCCAACGCGTGCTGTACATCCAGATGGAGTTTGTCGAGAACCGCACGCTGCGCGAGGCGATTGAGAAGGGGCTAACCGAAGACGAGGCGTGGCGCATCCTGCGTCAGATGGTGGAGGCGCTCGCCCACATCAGCAGTCTCGGCATCATCCATCGCGACCTCAAGCCGTCGAACGTGCTGATGTACGCCAACGGCGACGTCAAGATCGGCGACTTTGGCTTAGCTACCAACGCGCTCCAGATCGCCGATGGCAATGCGGGCACTTTGACCGGCACTGCAGAGCTTGCCGAGAGCACCGATCTCACCAGCGATCTGGGCACCTTCCTCTACACCGCCCCCGAGCTGCGCGCCAAGGGCGGCACCAAGTACAACTTCAAGGTGGACATCTACTCGCTCGGCATCATCTTCTTTGAGATGCTCGCGAGCCAGCGCGTGTACCGCACGGGCATGGAACGCATCCTGCTCATTCGCGAGCTGCGCAATCAGGGTGTGGGGCTGCCCGCGGTCTGGCCGCACGCCAAGCTCGAAAAACAGACGGCGCTGATTCGGAAGATGCTCGACCACGACCCCGATCGAAGACCGTCGCCGCTCGAGATCCTCAAGAGCGACCTGCTGCCGCCCAAGATGGAGGACGAGTACATCGAGGAGTGTTTGCGCCTCATGGCGAATCCGACGAGCGCGTACAATCACCAGCTCATGGATGCGCTCTTCAGCCGAACCGCAGCGGATCTGGTGCGCGACTTTACCTTTGACACGGGTGCCGAGACGGACCGCGATACGTCGTTGACCAGCGTGGTGTGCGATCTGATTCGCAGTGCAGCGCGCAGGCACGGAGCGGTCGAGTTTGCTGCGCCGCTCATTGTGCCGCCCAACGGGCTGTACACGGCGAGCGAGAAGATTGTGCAGATGCTCGACCGGACGGGCCGCGTGGTGCATCTGCCGTACGATCTGACGGTGCCGTTCGCGCGCGTGTTTGCGCGCAGCAGCAACCAGCGCTTCAAGCGGTACGAGATCGGCAACGTCTTTCGCGAGAACGTCGTGGCGGGCGGACAGCCACGTGCGGTGCTGGCGGCGTCGTTCGACATTGTGTCGCCGGAAAAGTCGGCGGCTGCCGAGGCCGAGGCGCTGGCGCTGGTGGAAGAGGTGCTGGACGAGATCCCCGGCGTGGCGAGCGAGAACTGGGTGATCCACATCAACCACGAGGTGATCCTGTCCATGATCCTCGACCGCATCCCTGCCAAGCACCATACGGCGGTGCTTGGCGTGGTGGCGCTGCTCGCCGGATCCAAGACGATGCAGGCGGCGCGCACGCAGCTGCTGCAGCTCGGCCTGCCGCGCTCGACGATCGAAGAGCTCGAAGCCTTTAATCTCAATGACGACGTGGCTGCGGTGCACCGACGGCTGGAACGGCTCTTCCCGCTGGACCAGCGCACGCGGCTGGCCAAGGCGGTGTCGCAGATTTCGGACGTTGTGGCCACGGCGCGCTTCTTTGGCGTGCAGCGCCGCTTCCTCTTCTCGCCGCTGCTGGCGCAGTCGAGCAGCCTGTACAAGGGCGGTGTGCTGTTCACGGTAGTGCGTGCGGGCAAGCGGCGCGACGTGGTGGCGGCAGGCGGGCGGTACGATGCGCTGCTCAAGCACTTTGCCAATCCCTCGACGGCGTCTGCGGCGCCTTTGCACGGTGTGGGCGTGCAGCTGGCGGTGGGCAAGCTCACGCTGGGCCTGTCTAAGTACCAGGAGGTGCAGGTGCCCAAGCTGCTGTCGCGCACCGAGGAGGAGCGCAGCTTTGGGCTGTACACGCCGCGGCGGTGCGACGTGTACGTGGCCTCGACGCCCGGCCTGCTCGAGACGCGCATGGAGATCTGCCGCGAGCTGTGGGCGCACGGCATCGCGGCGGATCTGCAGTACGAGCACGCGACGTACGACACGCCCGAGAGCGCCGCCGCCACGTGTCGCGCCGAAGGCATCCTGCTGCTTGTGTTTGCCAAGGCTCGGTCGCCCGTGCTCAAAGTCAAGGTGGTGCTGCAGCGCGCCGAGTTTGAGGTGGCGCGGCACGAGCTGGTTGGATTCGTGCAGGACCGCATCGCACGGCAGCGCAGCATCGATCTGCAGGTGGCTGGCTCTGCAGGCGGCGCCGCTGGGTCCGGCCGATTCGGTGCGGTGGGGGCGGACGTGGTGGGATCGCGCTCGGCCACAGCTGCGTCAGGCGCGCCGGGCTCGCTTGGCGGAGGCCATCATTTCCACCACCACCACCACCACCACGCGCACGGCGGCTTCACTCGCACGTACAGCGGCAACGAGGTGATGCCGTCTGCGACGATCGCGGTGCGCGAGCGCGAGATGCTGCTGCCCGAACGCCCGATCGAGCGCTCCAAAAAGGGCGACAAGAGCCAGCAGAACCGACCCAAGCCGTCGAGCCGACAGCTGGTGCTGGACAAGGCGAGTCGGCAGGTGAGCAAATTCGCGGACCAGCTGCAGGCGGGCAACGTGCCCATTCTCGCCGTCGACTTTACCGGCGCCAACTTCGACCGGCTCGCTGCGGCGCTCACGGCGTGTCTGGGCAGCCACGGCGGCGCGGGCGGTGCGGGCGAGGGCGAGGGCGAGGACGAGGGCGCCTACATGTTCCGCGCGTTCCTCGAGACGCTGTCTGCCGACGAGCGCGAGTATGCGCGGCTGATCAAAGCACGCGCCATCGCCGCCGCGTTTCCCGACAGCAGCGCCGTGGGCGTGGTGGGGTGCGGACGGGTGTTTCTCTACTCGCTGCGCGAGGACCGAACTGCATTGATCGGATGTGGGCGCTGAAGAAGCCTCAGGGGCCGAATGCATTTAGAATCGGTGGGAAAATTGCAAGTGTCACAGATGCAGATGGAGTGCGGGCGTGTGCGGACGGCGATCAGTGCGAGCAGGGTGACCAAGGTTCGAGCGCGGGAATGATGAGATGTTGTTTCCGTGCATGAGCCGCCGGGATGGCTTCGATGTGACATGTCGCGCTGGATGATGGCGGCGGCTCCCATCAACAAAACAAAACAAAATAAAATAAAATAAATAAATAAATCTCATTTTCTTGAAAGGGGGGGGTGGCTTCCCCTTGCATTTGGGGGTGCGGACCTCCTCACGGCTCTTTGTGTTTGCTGGCAAGCGATTGGGGGATTGAGATGGTCCATCCCACGCTCTGGGGGGCGGAGCGGCGATGCACGAACCTCTGCCCGCCCGGCTGCGTTGGCCTATTCGCTCTTGGGCTTGCTCCTGCAGTAAGTTAGCGCAAACTTCCCCTACGCTGCTGTTGCTGGCAGTGGAGGCTAAACCGGCGGGATCCACTGTGTGTAGACGTTGTGGGCGATGTGTGCTGTTGATTGTTGCCATCCCCCTGTCCGCCGAGTGGGGGGCTGTGATATATACCCAACTCTGCTTCCAACTCGGCGTCTTTTGTTCGCTCAACACACTCTCTCCACCACTTTTCTCTTTACCATGGTTCGCACGACGTTGATCCTGAGCGCACTGTTGGCGGGTGCCGTGTCGGGGGCACTTGTTCCACAGCACGAAACGCTCGCTCCCGGTCGAGAGACGCACATTGGAACACCGGTGCAGCACATCTCTCCGGACATGGTCCCACTTTCGCACCCACGCATTCCCGTTGCACCACAGGCTGTCCCGCACGATGCTGTGGACGAACCATCGGCGTTGGTGAATGCACCGGCGAAGCTCGAGACGCGCAAGCACCACAGCAAGGCCAAGAAGGTCAACGGAGGCAAGGTGACGTACTACTACGGGTCGCAACTGCTCAACCCCGCATGTCCCGGTGCACCGACGCCGAGCGACTCGAGCATGACCGCCGCCATCAGCTTCGACTCGCCCTTCCAGTGCGGCGACCGAGTGAGGATCTCGGATCCCCAGGGCAAACATGCCGTGGTGACGGTGGTGGATCGCTGCGCGGGTTGCACGTGGAACTGGATCGACGTTACCAAGGGCGTCTTCCAGGTGTTCTCGGACCTCGACACCGGCGTCCTCACCGACTTGACCATGACCAAGCAATAATTTCCCCCCGCATCTACAAGTCATCCAACCTAGAGGGAAGAGGAGGGAGAAAAGCGTGGTTGCCTCCCCGTAAAGCAAAAGGGTAGAGCCGCAACACCTTGATCTTGCTCCTCTTGCCATTTTTTTTTCGTCGCTCGCATGTCACGTTCTACCCCACAGCTCAACGTATACAAGTCCCAGTCCAAAGTCCTCCGGCTGTGAAAGGATGAAGTGAGCCGGAGTGTGGCAGTGGAGTGGATCGTGTGTGGAGCAGAGGGATGGATTTTTGAGAGCGGCACGGCAGCTGTCATTCTGCGCGCACGCGCCATGCTGACACGCTCCAAACCACTCCACAGCTGAGCTACCGACACACCACCATTGCTCGTGCAAGCGATGCATCGACCCACCCTCGGCCATTTGCGGTGCTTTCTCCCCACTCGAGTACTACCCGCTCGTTGGATGTCCAGCATGTCGTTCGAGGCTCGTACGGCGTTTAAGGCGCTTTCGCCGCTGGTGCGCGACGACTCGATCCGCGAGCTGAGCTCGCTGCTCGCCACGAACCACGCTTTGTACCACTGCTTCTTCAACGCGCGCGGGATGCACAATCACCTTGCGCACCAACTCATCGCCGACGTGACGCTGGGTGCTACGCCCGCGGACCTGCGTGCGCACATGCAGTATCAGCGCGACCACTACCTGGGCGGCTTCAACCTCTCGCGTCGCGAGCGGTACGATCCCCACACCACCGCCAACCTATCTGTGCCTAAGATTACAGACGATAATTGGGGCGATCATCTGGGTCGACCGAGTCACTACTGGACGTACCTGCACTTTTTTGAGCACAAGCTGCAGGAACGGGGTATGGGGGGGGTGTTGGAGGAATACGTCTTCAGCGCAGAAGCGAACGAGGGCGGGAGGGAGATGCTATCGCGTTGGTATGGGGGCGTGCTGCATGCGGCGATCCACTTTGGGTATGCGGTCGAGACGGATGTGGTGGGCGTGGCGGCCGAGGCGATGGCTATGGCTGCGGTGACTGCGGCGAGGCATACGTGGTTGACCCCGCACGACTGGCTGATGCAAAAGCCGAGGGCGCAAAAGAGCCTGTTGGAGCTGGTGGGAGAGGTGCAAGCTGACGACCGAGTGGGTGTTGATGCGCTAGGCCTGCGCGAGGCTGATACGCCCCTCGTCGACGAGCCGTTCGAGAAAGGTGGGCGCGCGTATGGTGTGGTGCACGAATACATCGATGCCTGGAACGTCAGTGATGCTAGTCAGGCCAGCTCCGAAGTGGCGCTGCTTGCAGCACTCATGCTCGGCGCAGTGCCGCCCAAAGACGACGCTTATCATCACGATTTCTTCCTGTGAGTCCGCCCCTTCCCCGGCAAGGCCATGCCCACTTTTGGCTGACACACGTGGCTGACACTTGCACAACAGGATGCACGTGAACAACGTGCATCTCTTCACGCCGCTGCTGCTCGAGCTGCTGCCTGCGTCGTCGCATGCCGCGATGTTGCGTGCACTCGGCGCACACTTGCTCTACTACTACCTCGTTCGTGGCCGACCCACCTTCACCTCCTCGCACTTTACCAACCCGCTGTGCACGCGCAAGTTGGGGTGGGACGAGATGTTCAAAGCCTCGCGCGAGAGCGTCGACGAGCACCTTCCCAAAGCGGTACGCACGCTCTACATCCACAGCCTCACCCATCCACCCCACCCGCACCGCGGCCAACTCAACACGCTCCTTGGGCTGCCTCGCGACGATACGGCGCTCGACGACGTGTACAGGGCCACAGCGCAGCAGATGGTCGATATGCACACGGGCCAAATCCGCCAAAGCACACACGACCTCATGGGCGCACAGCAGGAGTTCTGGCAGTTCCAACCGTTCTTTTAGCGCTTCAATGCGAATCCTCAATCGGTGGTGTGGTGCCGCGTGGTGGTGAATCGCGTGGGTCTCGGGGACGGCGCGCGTCACTTGGCCTTGAGAGGGTCGTGGCCCCAGTCTGGAAAGAGGCGCAACGGTGGTGGTCAGTCTTGGCTATGCTCGCAGCCCCACAGCGCGCGTGCACGGGTCTCGACAGGAGCAAGAGGGCGGCGATAAGAAGCAGGCTGACAGAGGCGCTGGCGAAGGCGGCGTCGCGAGGGCGCAGCGCATGTGCGCGCGGATGCAAAAAATCAAACAATCCAGAGTCGTGCTCGCACGCAGCTCAGCCGGCAGAGACGTCTTCCATATCGTCGTCGTCGATGTCTTCATCACCCGTGTCGGCGTGTGTCCCCGCAGCAGCTTGCGTCTCTGCGGTTCGCGTCTCGCTGGCCTCGGTTGGCGCTGCGGACTGTGTGGGTGGCGCGCGCTGTTCCGGCTGAGTTTGGGCTTTCGCCGAGACGGTGCTGTCCATTTGCTCGACCCACTCGCCTGCCGCCTGCTTGTCCAAGCCAAGCAGCTGAGCGAGCAGCACGGCGCACTTGAGCTTCTCGCGCTCGGTGCTGTGCATGAGCTCGACCGCCTCGTCGCTGAGCGTCGCATCGGGCGCCTTGGACAGCAGCAGCGACAGCTTGAGCGACTCGGAGAGCAACGACAGCGTCTGCACCGACCGAACCTGCCATTTCGCAACCATCAACGTCAGCTCCACTGCGCATCAAAAGCAGTACCTAAACAGAGAAGAACGCACCATGATATCGGCTCTCGCTTCGGTCTGGAACGCCTCCTGCGCCACCCGGAACTTGTCCTTGTCCGCAATCTGTTGGCGAATCCCAAGATGTCAGATCCCAAGTCTCTACGACGAATAACACCGTGTGCGTGCGGACTTACACTGGCGAGGCTGACGAGCTCCTTGTAACTGGTGAGCAGCGTGTCGATCTCGGCGTCGATGGTCTTGTTGACGCCCTCCTCGAGCTGGTCGAGGTACTCTGCCGACGAGAGGCGCGCCTGGGCCGATGCGAGCGACGACGCTGCGGCCGTCGAGGCGGTGGTAGCCGACGACCCGATCTTGCCCAGATTGAGTGCGGTTGGAAGCGCGACGTCCGAGCGGAATGTGGTGCCGGAAGCGGCTGGCGTGGACGACGACGAAGCCGACGATGCCGCTGGGTCGGATGCACCATCTTTGCAGGGCAGGAAGCAAGCGGCGGCGGCGGGCGAGTCGAGGGGCGTGTCAGGACGTGTTTGTCGGAAAGGGCGAAGTCGGTTGTAGGCAGCAGCAGCAGCAGCCGCCTGCTGATAAAACGGCCGCAGCTCTCAACTCCGATGCAGTGAGACGTGGCCGCAATGAAGTTGTGAAGCACTCGACGCGTGGGGGAGGCAAGGAGACGAGGGGGAAGACAGGTTACTCACTCTTGAGGCTCTTGTAGCTCTTGGTCTGCTTGAGCTCGTCGGCCGACTTTTTCTGCTTGAGATGCTCCTCCTGGGCGAGGTGGCGCTTGTTGTAGCTGACGACCTTGCGCATGTGCTTGAGGTCGTCGTCGGTGTACTTGTCGTCCTTCTTGTCCGGATTGCGCTTGAGGATGTCGACGATCTTGGTGCCCGAGTTGTGGCCGACGGTCTCGCCGTCCGAGTTGCCGTTGGTCCAGCCGGACGAGGTGGAGTCGTCCGACTTGAGCCACTTTTCGAGCTCGGGCGCGGTCATGTTGACCAGCTCGTTGAACTCCTTGATGACGTCGGCGTCGGGTTTGACCATGGTGGGCGATAGTGTGGGGGTGTGATTGTCGATGTGCAAAGTGGAAGCTGCAACTGGACGGGACTGGTGGTAGTGGGGAGCTGAGCGACCAAGAGAGCGGCGTCGGCGGTCAGCGCATTGGGCGGGTGGACGGGCGGCGGACTGCGATCCAGGGTCCTGCTTGACTCGTTGCCGTTGCCGTTGACGTTGGCGCAAGACGAGGGATGGATGTGGAAGCGCGTTGAGTCAGCGTTGGCGTCATGGAAGCCGGCAGCGTCCGTTGGCATTCGGTGTTTGAGAGTGGAGATTCGCCGCCTTTCGCGAGCCAGCACATCTGTTAAGGCGGTTCCTCCGAATCGCGATTTTGCCTCATCGGGTGCCGCCTTTGCGCGAGACGCCGATCTGGCCCGCGGCGTCTTTTTTACGCAGCAGTCGGGGTCCAAGCCTGCACGGCGCACGGACGCGGCGGCTATCCCGAGCCTCCACTCGCGGGCATGCTGCCGGCCCTGAGGCGGAAGCTTGCCGCTCAGTCACATGTCGGGTTGGGCCGACGTTGCAGTTGCGAGCCTGGTCGGGCCAACACGAGTCGCCGTCCAATCTTTCCTCCTCACCATATCTCCCCTCTCTCGCAAGCACAGTCGCAGAAAGCCAACATGTCGAAGCCCAGTATCAGCCTCACGCACGCCTTCACCATGACGCTGACCGTGGGGGCGCCTCACGCTCTACCCGGAACGCCCGTCGGTGACCGATGTAAGTCTTGCTTCATCCCACGCACCTCGTCCCAATTTGACAAACTGACTTCCTTTCTTCGGGTCAGCCTTCATCCCGGTCACTGGCGGCACGGTCGAGGGCGAAGGCGTCGAAGCCAAGGTGACTCCCAACGGCGGAGACTTTGCCATCGTCCGAGACGGCTACGGCAAGCTCGACGTGCGCGTCCATGCCATCACCCAGGATGGCGAGGCGCTCTACATCCAGTACTACGGTCACCTCGAGGTCACCTCCGCCGTCGCAAAGAGTACGTCCCATCACCACACAAGGCCATACAGATCAAACACTGACGTTTTTCCATGCCCTACAGTCCTTGGAGGCGACGCTTCAGCCCAGTCGACCAACTTCGACGACCAGTACCTTCTCGTAAGTGCCCGCACCTCCTCCGCCACCTTTCTAGTAAGGGTTCAGTCGCTCAATCATGTCCTGGCTTCCGTTTGGCAAGACAACCCCCGTGATCGAGGCACCCGCCACCTCGAAGCTCGCCTGGGTCAACCGCACCGTCTTTGTCGGCAAGGGTCGCTTCGAGATCTCGTCCGACGGCCTTGCAGTAGGTGAGTAGCAGCTTTCGCATCGAATTCGAGCCAGGGCTTCTTGGCGCTGACCCCTTGCCTTCGCTTGCCGTAACACAGTGTACGAGGTCTTCAAGGCTAAGTGAAGTGACACCCAACGACTGGTATTCTCTGACAGCAGATGCACGTTGATTCCTTGCAAACCCTGCAAAAATGAACAAAAGGACTCGAGCTTGAGGACAAAGCTAAGATGCGGCGGTGAGGCCTGTGCCGTCGACGACAAACTGCCAAAACGAGGCGTCGAGGTTGAGCAGCTCGTCCAGCAGCTGCGAGTCGGACATGATGGTCTGGCCGCCGCCGGCCGCCTCCACGGTGTTGCCAAAGCTGCTGCCGGTAGTAGCGGTTGTGCTGCCGTCAGCGGGCTGTTTTGTATCGATAGGAAAGCGCATTTCCCACCACATGGGCTCTCTCGCCACTCCACCCTCCATGCCCAACCCCGCCGAGGTGGCCGGCATGGAAGCTTCCGAAGCGGGTACGCTGTGCCAATACGTCGGAGTCGAATGCGAGTGGGTCGCTCCTCTGGCTTGACCCTCCCTTCGTGCTTGCATCGTGTCACGGCCGCTCGACTCCCACGCACGCGTCGCCAAGGCCGGCGAGCCTTGACTGCTGCTCGTGTGTCGGTCCGACGGCGTCCTCCCGCACGCGTCGCTCGCCGAAGCGGCCGAAAGCAGCGCCAGTCCTTCGGCAGCCTTGTGCATCTGACCCGAATTCCCCTCCGACTGCCACACATCATTGGCATCGTCATCGTCATCCGCACAGCTCATCGGCTGCTCAATCCCGCCAAACCGCATAGCCCCATTGAGCACCCTCGCCGTGCGCCGTGCCATCACCTTGTCCGAAAGCTGACTCACCGCCTCAAAGATCGTCACAATGTCCTGTCGAAGCTCGTCGGTGCGCGACGCCATGACGCCCGCGCCTGGCTTGGTGCGCTGCGAGTGCAGCGACAGATTCTGGCGGTGATGCGAGCGCACGAGGGGCACGGCGAGGTTGACGGCCACCTGCATGCTCGACTGGCTCACCCAGGAGATGTAGAAGTGCGACCACGGCTGCGACTGCAGTGTGCGGATGACCGGGATGAGTCGGATGCACAGCCGTGCATTCTCCAGCACCGCCGCCTCGATCTCGGCCAGAAAGGTGGGCGGCAGCCACGCAGCATGCATGTGCTGCACGTGGTCGATGCTGCGCTGCGTAAACTGGGCGAAGAAGTGCTGGTCCATGGTGGCGGGATGCTCGTGCTCGTCTTCGCGATGCAGATCGTTGAGACTCTGCAGTCGGTCGGACAGCAGCAACCACGCACGACACAGGATGGACGTCTTGTAGATGTAGGCGTGGTTGACCATGATCATGGTAGCCAGACGCTTGGCTTGGATCGAATCAGCGCCGTTGGCATCCGCGTTAACAATCTGGTCATAGCCGAGACCCGCTTCGGGCAGCGAGCTGTGGAACCACTCGTTCAAGCGCGCCAGGATCTGGCGCGTCTGACGCGCCATGTCGCGCATGTCTTCCTTGGTGCATCGTGCGAGCGCTTCCGGTTGCAAGAGACGAGACTCGGTCCTGCTGATGAGGTCGACGAGTGCCGTCAGCTCGTGGCTGAATGACCACGTGACAAAGACGTAGGTGCGCACCACGTCGCGTTCCTCCTCCGTCTTTGGGCGCCAGGGCAGGTAATGCGAGTTGGCGGTCACAGCGCCCGGCAAGGATGCGGAAGATTGCGCGTGGGCGCCGATAGCCAGCGAGAGCGAATCTGACTCGGGCCAAGCCGAGAGCGGGGGCAGCTGGCCGACGTTTTCGAGATGCGCCCTGCCGAGGTTGAAGGAGCGAGTGCGCAGATGCGCGAGCTCCTTGCGGCAGTGGAAGGCGATCCACTTTGTGGTGAGGATGGCTTCCATCATGAGCAGCCGGCGTCTCTCGACCTGGTGTGGTGTGAGGCCGAGCCAGCAGGCGCGGAACTCGTTGTCGTAGCCGATGCGCACGGCGTGCGAAACGGCGCGTTCGCAGTACCGGCCCATGAGCGCCTCCTTGCCGATGCAGCGAAAGTAGAAGCTGATGCTGAGCATGATTTCGAGGAGGTCGCAGCTCTCTGCTTCCGTGCGTCCGTCACGCAGGGCGGGCATGGCGTCGGCCATGCTGACGGCCTCCTTCATGAGCTGTACATGGAGCGTGCGGACGGGGATCGGACACTGCATGATGCGCTGGCGATTGTCCGAGAGCAGCAGCGCCGCGTTGGCGACGATGCAGAGCACCTGGATGGCCAAGATGTCCGAGATGGCCTGGCGCTCGTAGGCGTGTCGCCAGCGCGCGATGAAGCGAGGCGGCTCGATCCAGGGCATGAGCCAATCGCCTTCGACGAAGAGATAGTACATGATGGTGTGTGTATCGACGAGCGGCGGCAAGAGGAAGCGCAGCCTGTGCCAGCGCTGCCTGTACTCCTTCGAAGGTGGATCCACCTCACCTGGGCAGTCTTCGTCGAGGTCAAGCTTGTAATCGCACACTGCCGGGCTGGATGGGGCGGAGCCCGACGAAGTGCGGCCGGACTTAGGCCGATCGCGGGACCGACGCTCAAGCATGTCTTCCAGACGAGCCAGGGTCTGCTTCATGTGATTGACTTCTTGCTGGATGTCTTGATCTGGTTCCATACGTGACTGAGAAGGTCGAGCTGCTGTTTCCGGCGGTGGTGGCGGTGCTTCGGTGCGTCTCCTCTTGGCATGTGAGCTGTTGAGAGTGTTTGCGTTGTGGAAGGCCTGGCTTGTGGCATAGTCGGTGAGGCCAGGCATCGAGGCCGACGATGGCAGCTGGCGTGACTTGGCAGTCGGATGGAGGGGCGTCGAGGTGCCTGAGCTCGACGACGCAGGCTGCGCACTCGAAGGCGCCGCGCCATTGGGATCGGCGCACTGTTGCTCGGTGCCGCGCAGCACGCACGACGAGCACGGCCGTGCATGATCGCACTTCGACTTGCGCGTCCGGCAAGGGAAGCAGCTCACCTTGGTCCTGCGAGCCGGCGCCGGCTGCTGGGGCGATGGCGACGGGGATCCTGGCGACGAGGCAGACGTGCGCCGCATGCTGGCGGACGGGTTCGTGGATGCGGAAGCGCCGTTCATGGTGCAGCTTGTCGGCTGTGCCCGGATGACCCTCGGCGTAGAAGCTGTGAGTTGCAAGCGAGATGTAGAGGAGGACGACGATGCTGCCGAAGGTGGAGCAAGAGTCCGCCAGCGGCTGCTCCGAGCGTCTCTCGATTCCTGCTGGATGCACCCGCGGAATCGGGACCCACGAAATTGATACAGCCGCGGATCTCGGCCTGCCCTCCCGCGGCATTTCGCCAGTCCCCCTCTTCTTTTTTTCCTTGCCTGCTCGGAATGGGAATTTTGACTGCGTGGTCCCAGCTCGTGACCATCACCTGTCACCACCCTAATCACCAAACCAGCTCTCACGCCACTGTCGGAGGAGCCGACGATCTTGCGCACTTCCTCAGACATGTCCGACGGCTTGGATCTGGACCAGCTCCAGGCTCAGCTCGAACTCAAGCGTTCGGCGCTCGCCGACAGCATCCTCGCCAAGCTGCCTGGCTTGAGCGCATCCGGATCCGCCGAATCGACCAAGCAGTCCGCTGCTGCAGCATCATCTTCGAGGCCACGCCAGGCGAATCTCGGCGTGGGAGCCACGCCCAAAACATCCGACGCGCCCGATGCGAATGGCAAGCCAAACAGTGCGGCTGATCTGCGACTCAAGGGTGCGCTGACGGCCAAGCGCAAACGCTGGCAAGACGAGCCGGCCTCTCGCGGTGGAGATGGCTCCGATTCGGACGCGGAGGATGTCAGCAGAGCCGATGCCATCACGGCGAGCAAGAAGGCCAAGCAGCAGAGCGGTGGCAGTGCCACTTTGACTGCCAAACCTGCCAAGAAGGATCCGTTCGCGAGCACGGGCATCGAAGCACAGAGGGCGGCGCAGAACCAGCCGCGCATCGTCGTCGTAGATGGAGAGGAGGTGGACCTCAGCAAGCTGTCCAAGACGCAGCGCAAGAAGATCAACAAGCAGCTCAAGGCGCAGCAGCAATCCAACGACGACAACAGCGCTCCTGCTGCCACGTTCAAAGCGCCAGCAACGTCGGCCAAGCAACAGAAGCACAGCGAGTCGCAATCGCCTTCGACGCCCAAGCCAGCGGTCAAGCAGAGCCCCGCGAGTCCCGCAGGCGGGGCACTCACCGCACTGCAGGCGCAGATGCTTTCGAAGCTCTCCGGTTCTCGCTTCCGGACGATCAACGAGAAGCTGTACACGACGGCGTCGGACGAGGCGGTGCGCATGATCGATGCGTCGCCCGTCATGTTCGACGAGTACCACCAAGGATTCCGCGAGCAGGTGCGCTCGTGGCCCAAGAACCCGCTCGATCGCATCGTCGACATGTTCGACCCCGCCTCCGCGGCCAGCGTCACCAAGGGGAGTAAGGCGAAAGCAAAGTCGACGGCGAGCGCGGCCGTGTCGAAATTCACAAAGCAGAGCAAGGCGCGCTTCACGCCCGGCGCGTTGGTCGTCGACCTGGGTGCCGGCGAGGGCGGCTTGGCCAAGAAGCTGGTGCCCAGGGGTGTGAAGGTGCTGTGCTACGACCTGCTCACCACCAAGGACGGCTGGGTGAGGAAGCAGGATACGGCTGCCATTGGCGGGCTGCCCCTGCCGGGGTACTTTGACCAAGACGATCCGCTGGGGCTGCAAGCAATCCCGCAAGATGCCGCACCCGGGGTGGCGGATGTGGCCGTCTTCTGCCTCAGCCTCATGGGCACCAACTGGATCCACATGTTGCTCGAGGCCAAGCGCGTGCTGCGAGTCGGGTAAGTTTCGACGGCCACAAGTGGGATCCGCAGGGAAAGATGTGCTGACGCTTGTATCCCCGAATTGCGTTGTAGTGGCGAGCTGATCGTCGCCGAGGTCTCGAGTCGGTTCGATGGCTTTGAGGCGTTTGTCGACGTCGTTCAGATGCTCGGCTTTGGCCTCGAACACAAGGTGAGCTTGCGCGCCCCTCTGCCACCAGCCTTCTACATGCTAATACTGATTCTTATGCTCGCTCTTGTTGGTTGGTTGGTTGGTAGGACGCTTCCAATACGCACTTTGTGCTGTTCGAGTTTACGCGCCTCGGCCACGCCGCACACGCTGCTGCGCTGCGCAACACGGATGCGCCCGCGCTCGACCCGCACACGGCCACGCTCGACCAGCTCGCAAGCCATGGCAAGCAGCTGCTCAAGCCGTGCATCTACAAGCGTCGCTGATCGCCTTCTCAATCAAATGCACAGTCGCATGGAAATCAAATTGAGCATGCAATTGCGTCGGGATGCTGTCCGGGATGCCCATGATTGCATGGTGCTAAAGTTTACTTGTGGGCATTGAGTTGCGAGGCGATGCGGGCACGCAGATCGTTGAGCCTCCACAGCGCGTTGGTGTCGGGATTGGTTCCCAGGCGGACATACTCCTTGGTTCCCGTTGCGGCTGTATCCGAGGGGTTGAGGACCACCAAGAAGCCCGGAGCTATGGAGGCGAGCAGGTCGATGGCGGCGCGACACTCGCGTGGGCTGAGGGTGATCTTTGTGCTTTTGCTCAGCTTGGCCAGGAGGTCCTGCATGGGAATCGTCGGAGACCGCGTGATGCCCGTCGACGACAGCGTGGTGCCGTTGGAAAACAGCATAAAGAGGATCGAGCACAGCTCCGGCAACCGCGATACGAGTGCGCGTTGTGAAAGCGCTTGCATGGACGTCATGGACCCCGAAGCCAGCGCGGGAAGCGAAGCGGTGCGCCGCAGCTGTTCTTTCGCCTGGATCCGTTCGCGAAGCGACATGCCGGCCGTCGAGGGTGCCGCCTCCGAGGCGAGTTCGGGCGCAGCAGTGTATTTGATCGGTTTCCGCGGCGTCGTAGGGTCACTAATGCCCAATCCGATCTCTTTGTTGCGGTGCGGCGTTGCGAGCGGCGCAGAAAGCGAGGGAAGCGTAGCCAGAGGAACAGGCTTGACTACACGCGCATCGTCGAGTGGAAACTCAACATGCCAAGCTACAAGATCCGCCCCCTCGGGTGGCACTGCGGCAGCAGCGAGGTTGGGCATCGACTTGCTCGTCCGCACCACCGAGTGCGACACTTCCGCCAGCATCGACTGCTTGCCGCCCTGGAGAGCCTCAAAGCCGAGCACGGCGTCGTCGTCATCTTCGTCCGAAAGCGTGTGCGAGTCGAGCTCGGACGGATCCAGATGGAAGGTGCGTTTGCCCACCCTTCGCCCGCCGGACCGCGTCGCTGAGGGAGTCAACAGCCCGCCGGCACCCATCACCACCTCGCGCGGCGGACCTGGCACGCCATCCTCGGTATCGCTCTCTGCATCAGCTGCACCAGCAGGCTTGCGCGACGGCGTCGAGGGTTCGTGCGCCTGCTTTGGAGCAGGAACACTGATGCCGTTTTCGTCGAGCCAGAGCTGGTGGAAGCGCGCGCATCTCTGGCGTAATCGCCTTGCCACCTCGGCCTTTCTGGTCTCCAATCCGTTGTTCCACATGGCGACGACCGACATGCCCTCGCGCGCCTTTGCTGCGCCGAGCGAGCTGCGCACCTTTGGCGAGCTGGGCGTGGGCGACTCTGCGCACACCTTCCTGCGTGGCGAGCCCAAGAGTGGCGACATCAACTGCGTCCTTGCGTTGGCAGCCACGCGCTCGCCTGCGGGAGGGGGCGTGGTCGCCCGCGACGGCATCTTGGGTGTGCCCCTCACCGTTTCGTCAAAATTGTCGCTGGAAGCCAGCAGCGGAGACGACTGGACTTCGACGCCGCCGAATCCGATTTGTGTGGGCGGCGTCCTTTCGCGCACGGTGCGCTTGATCTCGAGCTCGATGCCGATGCCCCAGTCGAGCGCGCGTCGACCGGTGCGCGTGTCGATGCCGCGCGTCTTGCCGATGATGAAGCCGAGCCCACGCACCTCGTCGACAGCGTCGCTGCTCTGGCGCTGGAAGTCGAGCCACACATTGGCGAGGCGTCGCAGCTCAGTGGGGCCCAAGCGGCGCCCACCGGAGCGCTCCACGAGAGGACGCAGCGCCGTGTACGAGATGAGGTTGGGCAGACGCACCGTCTTGGTGGCCTTGCGTGTGGATCCGAACGCAGCGTCACATTCCGAGTCGCTATCCGATGAGGTCTGGACGGACGATTCGAGCGTAGCGCTCGCGCAGCCCGCGGTGGCGAGGTGGACGACCAGCGCGTGCTCCAGCGCCACATGCAGCGTCATGAGGCTCGAGTAGAACGAGGGCAGCGGCAGCTGCGTCGACAGCGCGTGCTTTGGATCGGGCAAATCAGCCTCGTCATCCGCCGGGTCGGTCTCGCTTTCCACCTCGTTCTGCGACGACGATATGGCGGCAAGGCCCGAAAAGGGACCGGTGTGGAAGAGGTCCTTGCGCTGGCGCTGCGAGATGCTGGGTGCACTGCTGGACGATGGGATGGATGCGCCGCGAAAGACAGCCGCTGCATTTTGTGTGGCGAGTGGGGGCAGAGGGACGCCTTTGGGCCGCTGCCTCACGCTGCGCGGGGTGATGTACGACTCGTCGTCCTCGTCTACGATGGTGCGCAGAGCCTTGTCCTTGGGCGTGTCACCTAGCCTGGCCAGCAGCGGGCTCTTGCTCGGGCTACCCAGCGCAATGCGCGTGCCTTTGGCCTTACCCGGCGTGAGCACCAGGCCGTCCTCCTCTTCGGTACCAAAGACCTCGTGCTCGCCCGTGATGAGCCGGCGAGGAGTGGCGTCGAGCGTTCTTGGCGTTTTGGTTGGCGAGGTCGACTTGGGCGGCGTGGTGAGTTTGCGCTTCGACGGGCTCGATGGACCTGCAGACGCACCTGCCGGACTCGACGGCTTGGGCGATTTGGGCAGGAGAAGAAACATCTTTTTCGTGTCCGGGTCGGTGCGCACCGAGATTGGCGACATCTGTGTAGGTTCGAGGAGCGGCGAGAAGCGTGCCGAGCGGGAGCCTGCGCTCGGCGTGGTTGGTGGCGTTCCGAGCAGTGTCAGTGGTGCATCGTCGGTGGGTGCGGCAGAAGCACTCGAAGAAGCGCGCGAGGGGCTGGCCTGAAGAAGAGCTTGGTTCTCGAGCATGATGCGGTCGACTTCGCCCTCGTCCGGCGTCCTGAGTCGTGTGCGAGTTTGTCTTTTTGCGGTCGACTTTTTCGGTGTCGCGGGTTTTGGCACCGACGGCGCCGCGGGTGAAGACGGAGCAGGCTCGTTTGATGCGGCCAGAGGCTCTACGGCCGTGGATCCGGTGGTAGGCGGAGTGGCCTTGGCGGCATCCTTGGTCGACTTGGACTTGAGCGAGCGTGCGGTGCGACTGATGCTTGCTTTGGACGCTGCAAAGTGCGAGGCGATACCCCTGTTGGGTGCCATGGTGGACGAAGCTTATGCGCCTGACCCGCAGGCTGATATAGTCGGGGTGAAGGATGAATCCGATCCTGCGAACTGTGATTAAGCCGAGAGACAGGCAGACTGAGCAGAGTCGTGGATCCGCAGCAATGAACGACGGCGCTTTCTGTGAGAATGGAGCCGACTGTGCTGGAGCACTTGTGGCGGCGATGATGGTGGTGGTGGGTGGAGCGGCGGTGGCGGACAGCGGTGTACGACGCAGCGTAGAATCCCGCTCAACGCCTTCTGAACCCTGAAAGGCGGAAAGCGAAATTCTGCCGTGTGCATCAGAACGAGCTCTAACAAGATCAAATATTCCGCCTCCACCTCGGATTGGCGCACGGATTCCATGCATGCATGAAAGCCTCCTCGTTCAACGGGGTTAAGCTTGGCCTCCAACCACCACGCCTCTGCCTCAACAGATCTCCATCCGAGCCACGCTACCATCACACCGACCGCTAGACTATCAAAATCGCAAACGATGACTTCGGTGGCAACTGCACTCGCCGGGCGCACCTTCGAGGAGCTCATCCGCACCGAAGCGCCCACGCTCGCTGCGGGGGTGGGAGCGTTGGTCGACATGGCCATGTTCTGGAAAGCGGCTGGACAACATCGGCATTTCGCCAGCAGCGACGAGTTCGACCGTCAGATGACAGATCGATACTCGGCCATCTATCCCGCCGTCCACTCGGAGCGTCTTCAGCCTGCCTCTACCCCGGAACCGACTCTTGCCGAACAGCATCTGGGCATGATTCTGCTTCTGGATCAATACCCGCGCAATGCGTTTCGCGGATCGCCCAAGCAGTTTCAATCCGACCCCATCGCGCGCAAGTGGGCCGACATCGCCATCCAACACGGCTCCGACACAAAAGTTGATCCCGCACTGAGGTTGTTCTTCTACCTCCCCTATAGCCACTCGGAAAACATCGACGATCACAACAAAGCCGTCCAGCTCGGCCAACAACTCGGCGAACCCTTCCTTGGCTTTGCAAAGGAACACAGAGACGTCATCGCCAGATTCGGTCGATACTGCCACAGAAACAAAGTGCTCGGCAGACAGACGACAGACGAGGAACGTCACTTTCTCGAAAACGACGCCCCCGCCTGGGCGAAGGCCTAGAATCTCAGCGCAATGGAATGGAAAGAGATGGTTTCCAGATTGAGTTTCCCTCCTACTGTGCCAGCTGCGTCAATAGTGTACAACCATGATTGAGACAGTCCAAATCATCCCGCTTTGGGGCCTGGACTTGGACTTGGCCCGCCCACGGCAGGCGACGATTCTGGCCCGCTGGGTCCCGGCGTTGCGGTTGCCTCGCGCGACCCGGCGGCGCCCGCCGCGGCCTTCTTCTTCTTCTTCTTGCCCTGCTGCGCCGCCAGCTTGTTGGCCATCTGGAGCAACTGCAGCTGGCCTGGCGTGAGCTTGGCCATCTGCTTGCCGCCGCTCGCTCCGCCCTCCTGCTGCTTTCGCAGCAGCGCAATCAGCGCCGCCGCCTCCGGATGCGCCGCCAGCGCAGAGAGTGCCGAAAGCGGATCGTCGCCCTCGCCACCCGTCGCGCTCGTACCCGCCGCTGCTGCATTGGGCGTGCCAGACGTGCTGGCGCTCGCAGATACCGAGGACGCGGGTTTGGCTGCCGTCGTTGCAGATTGCGGCGTAGCAGGCCCCGGCGTCGCCGCTTTGGTCGCTGGCGCTGGCGCTGGCGTGCTCGGCTTCGGCACACCACCAGCACCGGCTGCCGAGGTTCGCAGCGGAGTGCTCGGCAGCACCGGCGTCTTGGCCGTCGCACCAGCGGCCGCCGTCGTGGCGACAGCAGAACCGCTCTTGGCAGCTTCCTTGGACCCCAACGCTGGCGTCATTGACGCTTTGGCAGTCGGAGCTGGGCTGGATGCAGCCGCCGCGCTGGCTGAAGGTACGCCCTTGGCGCCCGCTGCAGCGGCACTGCTCTGAGCGCTCGTCGGAATCGATGGCTTGATCGGCGATGGCAACACTGGCTTTGGCAGCAGAGGCGTACCCGCAACCGGCGGTCGGGGGAGCGAGGCTGTCGCTGCTACCGTACTCGGCCCGGCAGCCGCACTCGATGCAGGCTTCAATCCAGACGCGAGCCCGTTCGCCGAGCCGGCCTGAGCGCCAGACGCACCCTGCGCCGCCGTGGCAGTCTTTGCCGCAGCCGAAGTTGCAGTCGACGAAGCCTTGGCGCTTGCAGTCGGCACCGGCGAGGGCTTGGCCGGAGTCGATGCGGGTTTGGCTGCCGCCGCTCCCGCATCCTTCTTCTGCGCCGCAGCTTGCTGCACCCGCATGCGCTCCTTCAAATGCGTCACCAGATACGCCTGCAGCACCTGCAGCGCCTGCTGCGCACCCAGTCCTTCGATCTGCGCCAGCTGCCCGGCATTCAGATGGCCAAACACCTGCGGACTCAAGTAGAGCTTTCCGTCGTGGTGCACGATCGGCGGCGTCTCGAGCAGCGACTCGATCGTGCCCGGTGCCGCCTTGGGCTTGTCGGCCGCAGCGGCGGTCGCAGACGAAGGGGGCGTTCCGATGATAAGAGGGATCCGGATCGCCGGCAACGAGCCCGCAGCTGCGCCTGCAGCAGCTCCCGCAACGGCTGTGGCAGCAGCATTACCTCCGGAGGCTGCCTGCGAATCCGCACCGGGGGTCGAGGCGCCACCCGACAAAAGGCTTCCGGCCGGTCCAGCATTGGCGGGCGCAGCGGGTGCTGCTGCCGCCGCCTTGGCCGCCTCCTCCTTCTGCTTGGCAAGATTGGCGCGGTGCTCTTCGGCGAGCTTGGAATCAGACATGGTGTAGAAGATGCCCTTGCCCGGCTCGTCGGACCTGCGTGGGATGCGCGTAAAGTCGCGCGACGAACCGATCGCATGACGGATGGAGCTCTGCCAGTCTCGGCCCGTGTGCCGACCGTTGCGCTTGAACCAGATCCATCGGTTGGCAATCCACTCGTACACCTCCTGCAGCGTGAGCTTGCCGCCCTTCTTGGCGCAATGGTCCGAGCGCAGCGCTTGCGAGATGAGCTCGATATTGGACAGGCCCGGCTTGTCCTCCGGCCCAGGCGGTGGCTTGGGCGTTGCAGGAGCCGGAGCCGCAGCGGCACCGCCCGTCTTGTTTCCAGCATTGGTTCCGGCAGCAGCAGCAGCGGTGTTGCTTGCCGGCGTCTGCTTCTGCTTTGCTGCATTGGCGAGGCTGGCTGCCGAGGCAATGATGCTCGCCGTGGTGGGCCACGTGGATGCGTCCGATGCCGAGGCATTGTTTGAGGAAGTGCCAGAGTTCGGCGCCGCCGTCGATTGCGCACTCGCTGGACCCGGCGTGGGGAGCGATGAGAACGTGCCCGAGACGCCGCCGTTACGACCAGCAACTGCCGAAGGGATCATAGGCAGAGGAGATGCCATCTGGCCGACAGCATGTGGCAGGACCGCAGCCTGAGGCTGTCCGAAGTTTGGCATCGAGCCCGAGACCGCATTGGCCGCAGCAATGATGGTGGAAGCCGCATTGGCCGAGCTTGGATCGTACGGCATAGAGGACGGATGCATGCCCGGTGCGCCGTACGCGCCCGGGAACGCACCCACAGGCATCGACGCAGCGCCTGGACCGACGCCTGGCGTCTTGTTGGCGGGCTGATCCGGAGCCTCGGAAGTGGCAGAGGTCTCGTCTGCGGCTGTTCCCTTCTTCTTCTTCGGCTTGGTCGCCTTTGGTTTGGCGGGCTTGGCTTTCGCTCCGGCTTTCGAAGCTGGCGTGGTAGCCTCTGCAGTCTTGGAGACCGACTTGTTGGCTGTGGTGGCCGCAGCTTTGGCTGGCGTCGGCTTGATTGCAGCGGATGCCTTCGATGCAGCAGTTGCAGATGGTGCTGTGTCTGCCGCTGCTGCTGCGGGTGTTGCTGCCGCGAGTGCCTTAGACTGAGCTGGCTTGACATCGACCATGACGACATCGTCATCGTCTGCGACGGCGCTCGCGACTGCGGTGGCGTCCTTCTTGGGGCTGGCAGATGCGCGTGAAGAAGCGTCGGCTCGGGCTTTGGCAGCCTTGGCACGCTTCGCGGCGTCGAGAGCCTCGATGCCGATGGGAGTTCCCACCTTGAGCGCAGGCTCCTCATCTGCCACAGCGTCGCCTCGCTTCCTCTTGCGACCCGCGACGCCTGCACCCATGGCCCAGGCGGGCGTGGGAGACTCCTTCTTGATCGCGCCGTCTGGCGCATCTGCTGCCGCATCATCTTCGGAAGCCTCGCCATGGTCTGGCGCTGCAGTGGCTTTGCTGCCACGGGCCGCTTTGGCCTTCTGGGCGCCCTTGAGTCCCTTGACGCTTTTGCCTGGGCGCTTTGCGGCGGTGCCTGCTTTGGCTGTTGCTGGAGGAGGAGGCGTGGTGATTCCATCGTCCTGGTCTTCGTCTGCGCTGTGCTCCTCGCCCGCACTCGGTGTTCCGAGGCTGTCGCTATCGTCGCCGCCGGGTCTGGAGTCGGGCAGGGGGCCTTTGGTGGGCATCTTGCCGCGGGTGAAACCTTTGCCTTTTCCTTTGCCCTTGCCGGCGGCTCTGTTGGCGAGAGCAGCGGCTGTGGTCTTTGCAGCCGGCTTTCCTTTGGCTTGCGCCTTGCCTTGGCCTTTTTTACCTGCATCTTGTGCATCTGGCTCCTCATCCATAGGCTCGTCCGCACCCGACTCGTCAGCGGAGTTGGCGACTGCAGATGGCTTGCCCACTCTGGATTTGGGTTTGAGGACCAGTCTGCGCTTCGGCTTGTCGGCTTCTGCTTTACTGGCAGAAGACTTTCTGCGGCCGCCGGTCTTGTTCGCTGTAGCGGCATCCTCGCCGTCATAATCATCATCCTCGCCCTCCTGGCTGGACACGGAACTGGAAGAGTCTGCTTCTTCGTCGTCTTCCTGGTCATCTTCGTCCTGGTCGTCGGAACCTTCTTCGCTGCTGAGATCCGAGAGCGAGTCGGACTCGGAGTCGTGAGCGCGTTGGCTGTCGCCGTCGTCACTGTGGGCTGCTTCGCCTGGTGGGGGCGGGAGGACAAAGTAGAAGACGCGCTCAGCGATCTGGATCTTTGTGCGTTTGCCGAGCACAACGAGGCCGCCCTTTTCTACCCAGACGTCGTCGACGAAGGCGCCGTTGCGTCCGACGACCATGAGTACGAACTGGCCATCGCCGTGCTCGGGTTCGGCGCCAAGGCTAGCCTGGTAGAGATCGGATGCGGAAGCCGGATCGGTGCCGGCGAGGTGTGCGCCGTTGACACGGTTGAGGGACGCAGGCGAAGTGATGCGGTAGGGAGCGACGTTCTGGTGAGCACTCGTAGCGCTGGAAGCACGGCTGTGGGCGGGGGTGCCGTTGAGGAAGGCCGTGTTGGGTGGATGGATGGGACCGGTGTAGTAAAAGATGCGTGCGTGCAGCCTGGAGATGGACTTGAGCGGGCCGAGGTCGACGTCGACGTCGCCTTCGGTCTTGGATTCCGAGGTGATGTGCGCCTGAGAAAGGCCCGAGGCGGCGTTGGGCAGTTGCGGGGGTTGGGCGCCGGGGCGCTGGTTGGGCTGGAGCTGTCCGGGACGTCGACCGATGGTGACGTCGAGCGTCTGAATGTAGTAGGAGAAGCCTGGGAATTCGAGCTTTGCGTAGGCCTGGATGGGGCCCTGATCCTCGCCGTCTTCGTCCTCGGGTTCGAGATCGTCGAAAGCGTCGTCGTCCCAGAGCATGTCCTGGTGTGTGAGGGCCTCGTTGAGATCGACGGCGCCTCGGAAGGCTTGCTGGGCCGCGTTCAAGCCAGCAGAATCGGTGGAGAAGTTGATGGCGGAAGAAGGGTCGAGGTTGAGGCCACCTGCATACGCGTTTATGAGGTCGGTGGAGCTGCCATTTTGTGCCGCCAGGTTGGAGAGATGAGACAAGAGTCCGTTGCCCTCTGCAAGCGAAGCCAGCAGCTTGGCATCCTCCTCGTTGAGGCCAGCAGTGGCTGCCTGAAGCGAAGCTGAGATGGAGTCGGAGTCGACGATAGCCGGGTTGTCACCGAGCTGGGTGGGCTCGGATCCGGCGGCGTGCGTGATGAGCTGGTTGAATTCGGCTGGATTTGTAGAGACAGACGACGACGACGCGGCCGGGAGGACATCGAGAGTCTTCGCCGAGGTGGATGCGACGGGATGAGGGTTCTCGATGCCCGGCGGCGATGGTTGTCTGCGCGTCGGCGACGGCTGCGGTGCCGGCGACTTTGCAGTGTCCGCCATGGTGGAGTGGTGCAAATGCACGCTCGGCGGTAGGAGCTGAGCTATTGCGGATGGATTGCTAGGCCGGGTCACGGGCTACGACTAGAGCAGGGAGACATGAGCGCTGTCGTGGTGCGTACGGGTGTGTCCGGGTGGGGCTGGCTATGAAAGAGGCCAGAGTGACATCTCGCGGCGTGCGATCCGGGTGAAGTTCGATGCTCGGCAGGGTATGCTTGCGGTCTTTTTCCGGTCTCGATGTGGGTGAATGCAGAGTGGCGCCGGTGATGGATGACGATGGAGTCAAGGACGAGTGCTGAGCCAGGATTCGCTCGGATGTGGAGTCGAGTGTGCAGACGACGCGTGGATGAGCCGATCGAAACACTGCGGATGGAACCGAACGATGAGCAGATGGTGTGGGATAATGCTGCGTCGACGTCGAGAGCGCGGGATGAAGCCGAAAGTGGGATATCGCGAGCGTGATGGAGATGATGTGGTGGCGATGCAGATGTCGACGACGGCACTTCCGAAATGGCCTCGATAGCCTGAACCTCAACCTGACGCATCTGCCCGGCTGCACCAAACTCCCCGCCTCTCCATCCGCGTCGATTCATCATCGAGTTCCGAATTCCATGTTTTTTTCCTTTCCTTTTTTTTTGCGCCTGCCTCTGGGGCACGGCGGCGCGTTGAGGGTGGTGGGGCCACTCTCGAACCCTGAGCAAGTTTTTTTTGGCCCTTTTTCTTTTCTCCCGCTCAGCAGCGCGCGAACGCGGATTCGAATCGCGCGTGGCGCGAGGAGAACAAACTGTGAGTAGCGATGATCAAACACTGTTTGCCTCGCCCCCCACCGTAGCCCACCGTTGCTCCCGTTCCAGGCTCTTGCACCTGTCCTTTGCATCCAACATAAGCAAAGGCGCCTTGTGAGCCGCGACAACGCCCAACAGTCTCATCATGCCGCTGGAATGAAGGCATTCGACAGCAAACAGTGTTGCTTCCTCCAGGTCCCGAAATCTTGGCCAACAAATACGCCGCCGCCGCCGCCTCCACTCGCAGGGTCCGCCACTGCCAAATGAGAAAAATAAAATACTGGGTGACAACTGAAAAAAAGGCAAAAAGTTGGGTGGGCGCGTCCGAGTCTTTCTCGCTGCTCTTCTCGACACATCACCCCGACCTGCTCACACCTCTTGCTTCCTGATCACCAACACCCGTTCCTGCATCCATCCACACGCAAACTGGGGTGGTCAGGTCAGCGCAGATACACCCACCGCAACATCTGCTGGGCGCGCCGCTCCGCCATCGACCATGCAGATTTGGTGAAAGATCCACTTCCGTTCGCTCGTTGACGGCCGCTGCCTCCAGTCATGGCTCGCAGCCGCGTCAAGCTCGACCTCGGCCCGCATGGCAAGGTGCTGGCATCCGTGCTCGACTTCAACGATGCCCGCAACGTCGCAGCCAGCCGATTCGGTGTCGAGCCCCAAGGCGTGCAGCTCTACGTCAGTGATGGCGAGGATCTCTGGGAGCTTCATCCTTCCGCCTTCCAGGATGTCGTGGCCGAGAACGGCGTCATCGTAGCCAAGGCTTTGGCTCGACCATCCTCGTCCACGCGTCAAGTACAGCCACCCGCTCCGACCACACCAACTACTACGAATGCTCTTACACCTCGAGTTCCGACAGCAGCCCCCAAAGTCGAGCATCCTCGCGCGGAAGTGTCATCGTCGACCACCACCACTCAGTGTCCTCGCGCTTCCTCGGTGGCCAGTACCTCGTCCACGTCTAGTTCCAGCTCCTCCTCCTCGTCTTCCTCGTCCAGCTCCGCACGCAGCGTGAGCTCTTCCTCGTCTACATCCTCGTCGTCGTCGTCATCTTCGTCTTCATCCTCGTCCTCAGATGCCTTGCCTGTCCACGATCGCCGCTCCGAATCCGTCCAGGATGTGACTGCCATCACCGTACCCGTCCGCACCGTCATCGGTCCCAACGGCCTGCCAGTGTCGTCAAAGGAGCGCTGGGATCCCAAGACGCATCGACTGATGTTCGAAAAGCTCAACGAGATCATCAGCTCCGAGACCATCTACTACACGCGCAAGTACACCGAAGAGCGCTACCGCATCTTCCAGCTGCTCATCGACAACTATGGCGATCTGGGCATCAAGGGCAACTTCCTCCGTGGACGTACCGCCGCCGCCTTGATCTCCAGAGTTTCGGGCGTGTTGCGCACCGCAAGGGAGAGAGGCGAGAAGATCAAGCAGCCCTTCAAGTTTTTCTTCCCCAACCGCAAGGATGACGATGTGACGGCACGCGCCGTGACCGTTCCTGCCAATGCTGCACCGGCTGAGACCAGCGCCAGCGGCAGTGGCAGAGCGACTGCACAAGCAGCAGCCAACGGCAGCCGCGCCCAGACCATGCCGCTTCAGCCCAACGCTCCACGCAATCCACCAGCATCCAAGAAAGGAAAAGGAAGGGCCAATGCCGCTGCAAATCCAGCCACACCATCTCAAAGAGCTACAGCTTCCACGCAGACGGGCACTGCGCAACCCAGTGGGAGCGCCAACGGAGCAGCCAACGGAACTCGAAAAGGAAAAGGAAAGGGTAAAGCAGCCCAAGGTGCCAAGTCGAATCCTCCCGAGATCCGTAAACGCGCCTCGCAGGCAGCTGCATCGACCGCCCAAAAGTTCCCACTGCCACCCAAGCCACCCAAGCCAGCCAGACAGCCCGCCAAGCAGCCCGCCAAGCGGCCCATCGATGCGCCAGCGACGCCCAACACCCCGTCTCGGAACAAGAAGCAGAAACAGCAACAGAATGGCAATCAGGCCAACGCGACGCCGACCCGCGCTGCGCAGGGCAACACACCGCAGGGCAACTCTTCGCCTCGGCAACCCGCCAGTCAAGCCAGCTCGGGTCGAGAACGATCCCGATCCGAAGCTGCTCCATCGCGGTATCGGGATCGATCCGCCTCGCCTCGCCGCTACGAACGCGATGATGATCGGCGTCCCGAACGTTCGGATCGCGGACGCGACTATTCGCCGCGCCGCGAATCGAGTGCATGGAACGTCAAACGATACGATGGTGGAGATTGGGACCGTACCGATACCGCTCCGGATGCGCGCGGCGGATCTTGGCGTCCAAGACAGGACGATACCTGGGAAGCATCTGCTGAGCGTTCGGCAACTCCGACGAGGAGTCAGCGCGGGGGCCGGAGTCCCAGTCGGTCGCGCGGGAACGACCTCTTCCGCGCGGTCACACGCTCGCCTCCGCCAGACGCACGTCCATCTCCGGCTCCGAACGCGCGCGGATGGCGCCGACCTCCTCAGTCGCCACGACCGCCGCCCTGGCGCCGCGACGAGAACAACGCCAACGGCGAGAGGCGAACGGCGGTGGAGCGTGCGCTGGTGAGTCTCGCAGCCGCAGGAGCAGACACGAGCTCGGGCCACGGCTCGCCGTACGAGGGAGACCAAGGCGATGCACCGAGGCAGCGCACTTGGGGCAGCAACAACCGCACATGGACGAGACCCAGTTACCCGACCGACGGTCGACGCGAGTCGCATGGATTCCGTAGTGACACGCCCTCGCGTGGGCCGTCGCGACCGGGTCCCAGCGACAATGCCGACCGTCGCAATGGGTATGGGTCCCCGTGGACCAGCTCGTCGCAGGGCGTAGACCGCTCGGCTCCACCTCCCCCGCTCACTCCTCCGCGAAACGACTAGAGGCCCCAAAACGCACCTGGATATGGCTTGCACCAAAGCGAAGCGAATAGATTTGGCGTAGTGTCCACATCTTACCTGTTGTTCTGTCAGCCAGAGTGGTCACTGACAAGAGCGAGGTGGGGATTGTGAAGTGAGATCCCGAAGATCGGCGCCGGAGCTGTGATCTGCTTGCATGGTGGAATGGGCCTGGAAGAGAAGCGAGATGCATTGCCGTTGCCATCGTCGCGGGTGAATGAACGGCGACCAACTCGGCGCAGAAGCCAACGATTGGCTGCAGCCTCGGTCGCTGGCCGGAAGAACTTTCGACGCGAGAAAGACCAGCGGAGGTGAGATGCATGACCACGAGCGGGTGTGTCAGGCCGACTTGGCCGATGCTGCCTTCCCTGAAGACTTTGCGAGATACACAGTCGACTTTGACATCGACATGCCAATTGGTCAAGTCTGGAGAAGAGCGAGCCGAAATGGATGCGGAATTTTTTCGCCCTCTTTTTTTTTTTTTTTTTCTCTATTTCTTTTCTTTGGCTGAGGGCGGCTCTGCTGAGTCCGAAAGAATCCTCCGAACCAAAGCTCGAAAAAAAAAGGCGCTTTCGGCTTCTTCATCCGAAAGAGGAGCGCCGATCCTCGCATCCTGCAGCTGTCTAGGTCGCAGGGATCGATGTGTTCCACTGCACAACACCAGCCTCAACCTCGGGATCGTGTTTAGACAAACCCAGCCATCGTTACCCACACGCTGCAGTCACACTGAACGACGGCACCACCAAGACGGTCTCCGTTTGCTGTCGGCGTGTCTGCGAGCCATCGCAAAGTTGGCTCTATTGTCTTGCAATGGAGGCGCTTGGCAGCCAACGCGGGTCGGACTTAAGTGGGCAACACCATGCACGGCGAGATGAAGCTTCGGGGCTGAGTATATTCTCGGGACGGATGGCCTGGATTGGAGCGTAAGATGACTGTCGAAGATAAAAAAAAAAGCCGCGGGAAGCAAGGTCGAGTAGTGGCTCCAACGGCAACCATTTTTTTTTTTTTTCTTTTTGGTAAATTCCAGCGATGATGCCACCTTGCGTCGAGCAGCCTCGACCTTTTTTTTGTGGAGTGCCTCTGGCGTGCCAACCTCGGACGTAAGAAAGGCGTGGATCAGAGTGGAGACTGGCCGGAACAAGTCACAGTGGCACGCACTCATGCCTTGGCACCACTCGGCTGCATGGCTCCAGGACGATCCTTTGGGCTCGATGGCACCCTGAAAGTGAAAGTGGGTCCGACTTCATCCGGTCCTGCTTCCTGCACTGTGTGATGAAAAGCGAAAGCTAGAGCCAACTTTGCGAGAGGAGAAACTGAAGCTGTAGTGAGTGAGGACACAGGGCGTGGACGACGTCGAAGTCAAGGGCGGCTGCGGATGTCGAGGCAAGCTGACGTGCATCCGCGGATCGCAGCTTCCGAAGACGTCCGCCGAGCCGAGGCGGCGCTGCTGCATTGGCTGCACAAGTTTGCACCCTGGATTGCATGACTCTGCGTGACTCTCTGGGTTGCCGATTCGCCCGGCTGTCGAGCTCTAACTCTGTGGACAGCCGTGAACTTGCCTCTTCCGGTCGTAAGCTCGAGCTAGCTTCCGGTGGACTCGGCCAAGGCAACGGCTCAATTGCGCTGAGCCCTGTGGGACGGCCAGCCGGTATAGGGTTCCGCGTGCAAAGAGTGACGTTGTACTGCCGAGGCACATCCGCGTTTCGAGGGTCTTGGCAGTCATCCCTCCTCGCGCTGACTCAAAAAGGCTGAGCTGGGCAGCCAGCCATATATGAGCGAGCCTCCCAACGGTGCGGATGCGGGATCGCTGCTGCTGAGTCCTTTGAGTCCCTTTCCTTTACACCACCACACCACCTCTGTACAGCGTCCGCCATCGCTCGGAACGTCGAGCAACGTCTGTCTCCCTTTGGATCGGATCAGCCCCGACTCTTTCGACCCCATCCCGCTGCTCGACCTAGCATTCGGAGCAGCCGAAGTGCGATAACTCTTCCGCTGCACCCCCGCCTCATCTGTCTCGAGCAGGGGGCTGCGATTCCGTGTCCTTTCTCACGGCCGCAGTTCCCTCTCTCCTGCTGGCCAGACCAGATCGAAACGTGATCCGCGCAAATCACCACTCTTTCCACAATGCGGCCCTTTGCATCTTCCAAAACCGGCTCCTCGAAGCGTCAAATCGTCTCTCTGTTGGCTACCTTCTGCCTCGTCTCGGCCGCCGCTAGTGCGTCACTCCAAGGCGCCCGCATCGAGCTCTCACAGCCGCCAAGCGAGCGCCAGCTCTCATCCTACGATGGCCGTGCAGAACCGCGCTACATCCGTGAGCTGCCTCTGAGCCCACTCCTCAAGAGACACGGTGACGACGAGCACGAAGACGATGCCGATGAGGAGCAAAAGTACGATGCACACACGCACCTCGAACCGGAGCAACACGGGATGGAACACGACGACGGAACTTCCATGGATCACCAGGACCCGCATACTCACGCCCACGATGACGCCGGCCACAGACATGAAGATGTAGCGACAGCAGCGGCGGCGACGCAACACACGCACACCCACGAGCACGGTCATGACGCCCATAGCATGCACATGGACGGCCCCAGCCCAGATTCGATCCCTGACGCCTCAATCGCAGGCTCCGAGCTGCGCGAGCTCCCGGTATGGCATTCGCATGGGGGCCACGGACACTCGCACGGCTCGGGTCCCGTACGCGAAAAGCTCAACGAGACGCTCCTTTTCCGCGCCAAGGGCCCCGACCCGCTCAGCTACATCGAGTGGGACTTTGCCTACGGTGTCGGCTCGCTCGCCCAGCTCCAGCGCTTCACTGCCGATGCCGACGTCCTCGCCGGCACAGAAAAGATGGGCGTCGTCGATGGACGATGGAGGAAGCTCTTTGACGAGAACGATGCGGATCAACGCAAGGCCATCGCTCAGGACATTGCCTCGCGCATTGAGGATGCCCAGGGCCAAGAGCCCGGCCGACACCGTGGTCTGCTCGTCCTTCACGTCGTGACGGCCATCGTCAGCTGCTTTGTCCTGCTGCCCATGGCGCTCGTGCTGCGCGCTGCCCACTCGTCTCTCGCTCCCCTCGTCTCGCTCCTCTACCTCGCTCTTCTCGGCGGCTCCATGTTCATCTCGATCATCTACAAGGCGCTCACGCCCAGACTCTACCCGGACAACGCGCACGGCTCCATGGGCTGGGCCATCCTGTGGATCTCGCTCATCACGCTCGGATCGGACGTCTTCCGTCTGGTTGGCCAGATCTGGTCCGCAGTAGGCGCGCTCCGCTCGCACAGGCGCGCTCAGTCCAATGCGTGGCTTCCCACCGGCGGTGTTGCCAACGCCACAGGAGGTCCGCAGTCGTGGAGGGATGTTGTCGGCACGATGCTCGGCCGAGGACAGAGCCACAATCTGAACAGCGAGAGCTACGATGCGCTTGAAGAGGAGGCTATGCTTTCTGAAGAGGCGCAGAGCGACGCGCACGAGCTCGACGTCGAAAAGCACATGCACCGCCATACGGCCGCGCCGAGGCGAAGCGGCTTCAGCTCGCGATCAGGATCAGGCTCGGGCTCGCCGCACCGCGTCCATTTCGACGAGGACGGAGAGGCAGGGCACCGCACGCATGGTGGCAGCGCCGAGTCGCTCGTGGAGCCAGTCAACTGGGTCGGCAGCGGCAGTACCGCTGTGAGCAGCCCCGAAGGCGGGCGCCGCAGCAACCTCGCTGGCGGTAACAGCCACCTGGGAGCCGATCGTCTGGTGGCTTCGCCTACGACCACGGCGTGCAACACGCCTCGCAACTCGATCTTCGGGCCCGACTCGACTCTGCTTCCCCCGCTCAGCCTCAAGTCGGTCTCGCTGTGGCGCAAGCAGGCTCACGACGACCAAGCCCGCGCGCCCCAAGATTCAAGCCATCCCGAAGCCATGGGCTACCCTGCCACACAGCCGCGAAGTAGTCGCCTTGACACCTTCCGAACCGTGCTGCGATACGCGCGCGTAGTGGCGGCGCGTTCGCTGCCCATCCTTGCCTTTGCAACCTCGTACACCGGTCTGGCCGTCTACACGGGCTCCTGCCGCTCGGGCTACAAGAACGTGTGTCTGGCGCACGGCATCAAGGGCGGCATCTTCTTCTGGTTTGGACTGCTCACATTCGGACGCTATCTGGGCGCGTATGCCGACTGCGGATGGGCGTGGAACAAGCGACCCAGTGCAGCAGCCGGCGTGCGGGGAGGCGGCAGCAGCCAGCGATTGGCAGCCTGGCGCCGCAACATGCCCAGCGCCGAATTCGTCGAGTGTCTGGTGATTTTCATCTACGGCGCTTCCAATACCTGGATGGAGCGCTTCGGAGCGCAGCCGGGCGACCCGTATACGATCAAGCAGATCCAGCACATTTCGATTGCGGTCATGTTCTGGTTCGCCGGGCTGATGGGCATGCTGCTCGAGACGCGCTTTATTCGCAACATGCTTTCGTTCCCGATCGCGTACCATCACGTGGCGGCTGTGCCGCTGCGCGAGGCTCGTCGTCGTCACAATGCATCGCGCATGCGCGGTGGTGGTGCTGGGAGAGGCGCACGTGTCGGGTACGACGAGGCGGACGAGGAGCTCGAGCTGCTGGTCGAGGCGCAGACGCAGCCGGCGTCGTACTCTGCGTCGTTCAACCCGTTCCCTGCGCTGGTGATCGGCGTGACGGGCGTGGCGATGGCGGCGCACCACCAGGACTACGTTTACGAGGTGGAGATCCACATGCTGTGGGGCGAGCTGCTGGCTGGCTTTGCGGTGCTGCGATGCCTGACGTACTTCCTGCTGTGGCTGCGACCGCCCACGGCGTCGGTGCTGCCCTCGCGTCCTCCCACCGAGGCGCTGGCCGCATTTTCGCTGTGCTGCGGAGGGCTGGTGTTCATGCTGAGCAGCGAGGAAGTGTCGTTTGCTGCGATGCGCAGCGGTTACGGCGACTTTATGGCCATCCTCAATGTGGCGGTGGCGGCGGTGGCGCTGCTCTTCTGCTGGACGACCGTGCTGATGATGCTCAAGGGCTGGGCGGTGCGCCGCGAGGTCAAGAGGAGCGTGTACGTCGCCGAAGTAGTGCCTGACCTCGGCGCAAACGCTCTGCAACTCAACGTGGCTGCCAACGAGGATACCCAGCCCAGGCACATGCGCGCGAGCGTCGCTGGCCGAAATGCGGCGGCAGCACCCGTCGCTACCACTGCCACTGCCGACCCAGTCTTTGTGCTCGAGGATGAGGAGGATGAGTAGTCTCACAGAGGATCAAGTGCTCATTCTTCGAGCCCACACAATATTCACCTTTCCCATTTGATACCAGGTCTTCTGACCACCCTCTTACCCGGCGTTGCGCTTTGGCACCTCGTTGGAGCCTTTGCAGCGCGCACATATGATATGCCCCTTCTCTAATCTAGTGTATGCTTTTGACCCGCATCGAGCCGTGTGTGTGTGCTTCTGGGTCGCTACGACCTGTCGGCGGTGTGAACGGTTGGGGCACAGCGTGTGGGGGGATGAAGCGGTGGGGCTGCGTCGGAGAGATCCGGCATGTTAGCGGCGCAGATCCCACAAGTTGCAATGGTGGGCGTGGGGTCTTCCTTACAGCAGCCTCCACCCTTTCGATGCCTCGAGGTGGTGGCGTTCCATTTTGGAGCGTGAAACAAAATAGACAAAAGATGCAAAGGAAGGGTCGTGCAGCGCAGGGTGGGAATCGGAGCTGACCAACGTGTCAGGGCCCTGCAGGAGCAGCGTAGCTTGGGCCCCACTCGTGGCTTTGAGTCAGCAAGGCAAAGCAGCAGTTTGAAGCCATCTCTCCCCCCCCAGTGGGCTCGAGTGGGGTCGCATTACAGCGATGCGGTGGATCCGATAGGCGTGAGAAAGGGCGAGGCCTCGGAAGGGCCGCTCGGAATGACGATGCGACGATAGCAGACCAAAAGTTGTTGGGCATCAAAGCAAATCAATCCCAACTGTCATTTTTTCTTATTTTTCTGTTTTGGCGATTTTTGTGCTGCCGCGGTCCCCACATCTTCGGCTCGCTGCTCAGCCACGGCAAAGCACAGCGCAACGGCATTCACACGCTGCTGCCAAAATCTGACATCCGACAGCCCGGCGTCGCACGTTACGAGAGTCCGATGCAGCGAAATGATGCACTTTCCCACCTTTCAACGTGTGCTGAGGCCGCTGCAGCATCAGCCCGCACCTGCATGCCTCCGCCAAAAGCTCCGACCGCCTCCTTGTGCAGGTGCAAAGTGTTGCTCTCGGCGGCTCAGCAACCCACCGTCATCGCATCCCGTGCCCAGACAGACCCCACCGTCTTGCCATCACCCCTCGCCCTTCACCATCACCATTGCCGGCGACCGTCTTCGGAGGCTTGCACGACCAGCTCACCGTTCGCTTGCTATCTGCACACAAACGCGCACAGCATACATCACAGGCCAACACCGGATCGATCGTCAGTGCACCGCTCCGACCGAGTGGCCATCACAGAGAATGGTCCGCACGCTCCAGCATTCCAAGTAGCTTCATACCCGGCGCTCGAATTGAGCCGCTCTCCCCAAGCACAGACATACCGACTCTCACCATGCTCGATATCTTGCGACCAGCACCCAACAAGGCTCGTCCTTCCCCACAACGGCCCGCCTCGCCCACTCTCTCTCCGGCATCGTCCACCTCCACCCTCAAGGCTTCCTCATCCTCTCGTACAAAGCCGGACCCTACATCCACCTCGGCCTCCGCAGCTCGATCAAAGGGTCAGCAGGCGCGTCGTTTGAGCATAGAGACCGCCGTCATATCATCGCATAGGTATCGCTACAACCGTGTGCAGCAGCCAGACCAACCTCTTGATCTCGATCAACCTCCCTTCCGACGCTCCACATTTGCTTCCTTACCTTCGCATCACGCAAAGGCAGCTCGGACCGGCGGCAAAGATGCTCGCTCTCGTGACGGCTCGCTCGTCGCACCCTCGACGCCCGAATTGCGTCCCTCCCAACGTAGCAGCAGCAGCAGCAGTCGCAAGCGCTCGCGCCCTCAGAAGCCGCTTCTCGGCGGCCTCTACTTTTCCGACCTCATCGTCGTCGCCTTCTTTTACGCAGTCAACCTGTTGCGCACCTGCGGCATCGCAGAGCTCGTAGACGTCGCCTTCAAGGCTTTCGCCTACGTCTGCACCCGCCTCCCCTTTGACTTTTACCAGAGATGGTCGCTCAGCCGCCCACCTTCCACCCACTTTGCCTCCTGGACACCGCTGACCAACCATCCTCCACCACCCAACCACCGTCTGCGACGAGATTTGGACGACCGTCCTACGCCCGCCTCGGCGACGGCTGTCATCACGTCGTCCGACGAAGAATCTTCCAGCTTGGATGCATTCGACCAGGACGAACAGCTATCGCCTTTCCACCATCTCGTCCTCCTCCTCGTCCGCTTCGCATGCACCAGCTTCCCTCATCTCGTGCCCCGAGTCCTGTTTGCAGAAGAGACCATCGGCCCCCTGGTCCGCTGGAGGACGGGTGGTGGTGCCGCTGGCATCGTCCGCGAATTCACAAGCGACCATACCCCGACAGACAGGTCACCGACCAACGCACAGACGTCCACAATACAGGATGCACCCAAAGCTCACTCGAAAGCAAAGTCCAAGCCACACTCAACGCATACATACACCCGGCCTGGCTTCCGCGCCTTTTGGATCGGCGCCGACGCCCACGTGCCCGTCGAGGTCAGGCGCTCAGACCCCTCGTCCAGATCCGCCACCACCTTCCTCTATCTCCACGGAGGCGGCTTCTCGCTCGGCTCCGTCGCCTTTTACGCCGAAGCGCTCATCCGCATCATCACAAAGGTGTGCAGCCTCGAGGAGCGCGACAACGATGCTCGCTGCGTGGCCGTCGAGTACGATCTTGGGCCCACATCGCGCTTCCCCGGGCCTCTGCTCCAGTGCCTGCGGTGTTACGCCCATCTCATCGAGGTCGAGGGCATCGATCCGGCCTCCATCACCATCGCCGGCGACAGTGCAGGCGGCAACCTCGCCATGGCGCTCCTCCTCTGTCTCGATGGTCAGGCTCGCAACGAGCCCGGCCTGGCCGAGCGGGACTGGAGCAGCCTGCCCATGCCCGGAAAAGCGGTGCTCATCAGTCCATGGGCAGACCTGCGGCCGTCGTCGTCGCTTGCCTTTGCCAGTCTCCGCGAAGCAGCTGCAGCAGACGCTCGCTCTGCCGAGTCTGCCGCTGCGAATCCCCGCCACAAGAGTACGACCGCCCGGGAGCAGCAGGGGTCGGCAGCGTCCGGACGCGTGTCTGCCTGGACCGAGGCGATCGGCCAGCACGAGTGGGACTACGTCGCAGCGGAGGCGCTCATGCACTTTGCGCAGCTCTATGCCGGCGTGCTCAAGACTCCCCGCCGCGTCCGAGGTCCCATGGGATGGGTGGCCAATGTCTGTGCCGTCCTCGCTGGAGACGACGAGGTTGTTCCAGAATCCAAGACCTCAGACAGGAAAGGCGCTGCTGCATCCGCCGCTGCCTCAGTTGGAGCCACCGCGCCACTGGCCATCTTTCGCACGCTTCTTGTGCCGAGCCAGCGCATCGCGCGAGTCGCGCACACCATGCTCACCGAGCCTTTACTCCATCGTACGAGCACCACCAAGTCCTCGCCGAGCTCGTCCGACGCATTCAACCAGGTCGAACACATCCGACCCTCGGCGATCGGCGCGCTGGATCCCATCTTCCCCGCTTCCGAGCGCAAGACCGACCCCGTTCCTAGCACCGCCGATCTGTTCGTGTCGCTTTGGACTGAGCCGTCACAGGACGAGAGCAAGGTCCAACGCGACGCCGAGTTCGAGGCGGCGCGTACGTTACTCGAGACGAGCAAGCTCGTCAACCCGGCCATCGGAGACTGGAGTCGTATCCGCCTGAAGCGAGGCATGCTGGTGCTCTGGGGCGACCGCGAACGGCTCGCAGACGACATTGAGGCCTGGATCGATGCCGTGAGGCAAGCGCAGTCGACACGACGCACTCGCGACGACCGACCAAGCCAGGACCTGGATCCCTCGCACGCCGACACCGCGGAGGGAAAGCATTCCTACACGGATGCTCCGCGCAGGACGCTGCAAGAGCGACGTGCCGCCTCTCGCTCTCCTCACCGCCTCGCCGAGGAGGTGCGCGAGCACACTGCCGACTGGGTATGCACGGCGGTGGAGCACGGTCCGGGCGGCGTGCACGCGTGGCCGTTCGTGTCGATGTACCTCGCGGGCTCGGATGCGGAGCGCGAAAAGGGTCTCGAGATCATCGCGCGCTTTGTGGCCGATCCCATGCTGAGCCCGGCATCGACGCATCCGGGCACGCCGGCGTCCACGGTGGGCTCGCTCGCTGTCGAGCTGCCCGTGGCGCAGGAGCATCGTCCGCTGAGTGTGGCGGTCAACTCGCCACCGCACTTGAATGCGGTCTCGCCCGCGGGATCGATGCCGTCGGACATCAGCTCGCGCGGAGACGAGCACGACTACCCCTTTGCGCCGTCGTCGTACACCGGATCCGAGGGCTGGGACCCGAGCGAGCAGAACGAGCTCGGACTCGAGGGCGTGTATCCGCACGAGACTGTGTGGACGGAGCCGACGCCGACGCCGTCGACGGGCGCCGCCACGCCGGCCAGCAGCGATGTCGAAGGCGCAAGCATTGGGCACGACGAGCTCGCGCATCGCATCGGACTCGGACTCGCGGAAGAGGCGCGCTACAGGGCGGAAGGACCAACGCGCATTGAACCGGTGCACCTGCATCATCCCATGCAGGGTCGCACCGCGTCCTGGCAGCAGGCAAGCAGTGTGCAAGCTGCGCCGGCGCCAAGCAGGTCTCGGCGCGACACTGGCAGCCGCCGTGGTCAACCTGCGGTACTGGGCGGTCCCGTCGCCGGCCGTTCGCTGGCCGAGCTCGAGGCGGATTCAGACCGCAGCGCGCCTCCGTCTGCGCCGTCGTCGCGTCCCGAGTCGCCAGGCTGGCGTTCCGAGAGTGTGGGCTACGACTCGCACGACGACGATCTGGGCGCATCCTCGCCGCCGGAGCTCGACACCGACGCGTACTTTGGCGCGCGCTTCTCGTACGCCGACGACGTGATCCCCATGGATCCGGGCTTCTACGGGCTGTCGCATTACCACACGCTGCGACCCGAGGGTCTGTCGGACATTGCCGAGGAAGAGTCGCAGATGGACACGTCGTCCGTGCTGAGTGGCGGCCCGGGGGGAGGAGCGTTGTCGCCCGGATTCTCGAACCCGAGCTTTTCGCCCGCCGACGGTGCATCGCCTGTGGTGGCAGCGGCGAATCCGGGCCGGTACGGTGCGGCGTATACGCCGTCGGCAAGCGAGATGGCGCGGCTGCGAGAAGCGCTGGACGAGAGGGAGCGGCAGTATCGCCAGCGATTTGCGAGAAAGTTTGGCACACGCAGTGCAGGGCAGGAGCAGAGAAGCGAGATGCTGCGAGGACGCTTTTCCATCGAGGAAGATGACGCTGGATCGATTGGAGACGAGTCGGACGGCGACGTGGACCCTCTCGACATGAACGCGCAGCAGGCAGCAGAAGCGAGTGGCGCCAGCCCGTGGCGTTCGTCTGCGGACCTGCGAGACTTGGCGCCGACGACCAAAGGAGAAGTCGCACGCTTAGGTGAGGCAGGACCCACAACGAGCGGTGTTGCGGCAAGTGGCAGCTCTCTTGTCGACGAAGGGCCGGAGCGAGCGCCATCGCCGTCGCCATCGACCTCGTCGCAAAACTCGGGCGCACGCGACGTGTGGTGGTAGCCGCCAATATAGATACGCACTCGCGCAGTGCACAGGTTTCAGTCTCACGCATAGCATCGTTGTATACACACACGCACAGTCGTTTGAGAGTTACATGTAGATCGTCAGCAGCTGCCACTCGCTTGGGTATGAAGCGGAGATCGAGGAGTAGCTGGTCGGCAGTTTCAGCGCCAAGGTGTTAGTTTGGCGGCGCGATTAGGATGAGGTGCGACGCGTAAATTGGTTGCAGGAGACCCTGGGCGAGACAGGGTGGCGCGTGTTGGGCTCCCCGATGCGGCAAGGAATGGCAGCGCGTGATGGGAGCGAGAGGCGCGTGCGCTGCGTGGCGGAAGGGCGAGCAAGCCACTGAGCTCTAAAAGCTGAGCCCCGACTGAAGACGCGCGCGCGCTGTTGGTCTTTGCGGAGGCCTCTGCGTCGACTCAGCTTTCATTCCACCCACCGTCACCCTTTTGCTCATATCGACCACAAACACACCAACATGTTCGGCCTTTCGACAAGACAGACTCTCCTTCGCGGCACTCGTGTACGTTGATCATCTGCCGATCTCTCTGCTCAACTCTTGTGCAAACTTTCGACTGACGGTCTGAGTGGGTTGGAAATGTAGATGCTGTCGACTTCGGCTGTGCGCAATGACCTGGCACGCATGCAGGTGCTTGGTCGTCTTGCTGCCGACCCCGAGATCAAGACCACCAAGAACGGCAAGGACTACGTGCGATACACGGTTGCCACCTCGGACCCTCCCACCGGTCCCGTCGAGGAGGGCGAGCGTCCCGAAACCACCACGTCGTACCACCGATTCTACGTGTTCGGCGACCGCGGCGTGGACAGGATGAAGAACATCAAGAAGGGCTACCGCGTGCTCGTGGATGCCGAGTTCAGGATCGAGAGGACCCCCGCCGAGGCCGACCAGCCCGCCCGCGACACGCTCCTCGCTCTGCACCGTAAGTGCCGTCACAGCCTGGCGTGAGATTGAATCTTTACCACGGACGGCTATGCTGACTCTTCTGGCCCCTTTTTGTTTTCTGCAATCGCTTGTGTGGATCGACGGCCGTGATTGTGTGCAGGTGGCATCCAGGTCATCTCGAAGCCGCGCGAGGCCACCGAGTCTGCCTAAACCATTCGACCCTAATCTACACCAACTAATGGCATGATCTGAAAGGTCTGGCCGCCCCTGCTAGCGTCTGTACACGCGCCTCACCGCTCATCTGTGGAATGCATGACCACCTCGACCCGAGATGATCGTCCGTGCTGTGTGTGGATGGCCTGAGCGGATCCGTGACTTGCACGGTCGCCAGCTTCCGCGATTTTGGCGTTTGTTAGGGCCCTGGATTGCACAAATCTGCGAAAAAAGGAAGTGTCGTACGTGTCAGCGCCGAAATGCAAGGGCGCGGGCTGAGGTGCTTAGGAAATCCCTTATGGCAGGCCGCGTGACTCGGAGGCGCAGGCGGCAACCCGAGGGTTCACTTGACTGGCCAAACCACCGGCAGGGCTTGCATAAGGGAGCCGCGGGCAAGGTGAGGCGCTCGCCCAAAAATCGTCGAAAATTTCAACCTCGTTAGCCGTGTGCTGCTGCTGCTTGGAGCGGGGAAGAGATGGCAAAGAGCAGCAAACAGCTGCCATGGCGATCCGTAGGCGGGCGCAAGGCGAATCGCCGCAAGATCTTTGCGTGCTCGCTTGTGTGAAAAAGTGGTGCAAGAACAGCGAAAAGAAAGAATCAAGGGTCGAGCCTTTGCAGAGACACACAAGAGAGGGCTGATGCTAGCCGGAGTGAGAGGCGGGCAGCGCATCGGCGACGCTCCGGCTTGCCCCAACGCCCGAAGAAGGAGCATTTCAGATCTGTCGGCCAATCCAACTTCGCGCTTTTGTCCGCCACGCTGACGCTCAGAAGGTGCTCACAAGGCACATTTCGCTCACGGCTTTCTTCCTCTTCTCAACCTCGTCGCATCCGCTTGCTTCCTCACCAGCAGGCATCTCCGAACCTCTTTCCTTACACTCCCACTACCAACCTACTTCCATCGCATCCAAGCCGACACCGCGACACCATGGACCGAAGCCTCTGCCCGCTCAGGCAGATCCGCCAGGCCTGCCCCTACATGGGCCGCGTCTCCATGCCCCAGCTCCGACAGATGTCCACCACGCTCCTCCACCCGGGCGGACCTACGCGCCTCGTCACCCAGGCCCAGCAGTGCCCCGTCATGAGCCAGAGCCTCGCCATCAAGGCCGAGCAGAACAGCGGCGCCGCCGCCAACACCTTCACCCCGACCTTTGGCGCTTCCGGCAGCTCCTTCCTCGCCATCGCCGCCAAGCCCACCGCGGCTGCTGCTGCCGGCTGCCCCTTCTCGGCCCAGATGAACGGAGGCGCCGCCCAGCAGGTTCGCCACTACGTCTCGCGCTCCGAGGCTGCCCGCGCCGCCGTCGCCCAGCCCGACGACATCGAGCGCCTCCACGCCAAGGAGGGCATCAAGCTCGACGACCAGGCCAACGTCGACAAGTGCCCCCACGCTCGCAAGCTCGCCGAAGCTGCCGCCGCCGCTGCTGCTGCCGGCGACTCGCTGCCCCAGCACCAGCGCAGGAAGAGCATCAAGAACAAGCAGGTGCGCACCCCCGGCTCCGGCCTCGGCATGCACCCGGACCCCGAGCCGCACAACCGGCCCGGCTTCCACTACGAGCAGTTCTACCACGACCAGCTCCAGGCCAAGCATGCCGACAAGTCTTACCGCTACTTTAACAACATCAATCGTCTCGCCGGCAACGCTCCCAAGGGCCATCTCTCCGCCGAGGCCGACGAGATCACCGTCTGGTGCGCCAACGACTACCAGAACATGAGCCGTCACCCCGCCGTGCTCGAGGCCATGAAGGAGACGCTCGACAAGTACGGCGCCGGTGCCGGTGGCACGCGCAACATCGCCGGCCACAACCGCCACGTCGAGACCGTCGAGCAGACGCTTGCGCAGCTCCACCGCAAGGATGCCGCGCTCGTCTTTGGCTCCTGCTACGCCGCCAACGATGCCACGCTCACCATCCTCGGCTCCAAGCTGCCCAACTGCGTCATCCTCTCCGACGCCTCCAACCACGCCTCCATGATCCAGGGCATCAAGCACTCGGGCGCCAAAAAGGTCATTTACAAGCACAACGACATGCACGACCTCGAGGCCAAGCTCCAGGCGCTCCCGGTCGACGTGCCCAAGATCATCGCCTTTGAGTCGGTCTACTCCATGTGCGGCACCGTCGGTCCCATCGAGAAGACCATCGAGCTCGCCGAAAAGTACGGCGCCATCACCTTCTTGGATGAGGTGCATGCCGTGGGCATGTACGGCCCGCGCGGCGCCGGTGTTGCCGAGCATCTCGACTGGGACGCGCAGGTCGCCCAGGGTCACAAGCCCGGTCTGCTCAAGGGCAGCGTGATGGACCGCATCGACATCATCACCGGCACGCTCGGCAAGGCGTACGGCAACGTCGGCGGCTACATTGCCGGCTCGAACCGCTTTGTCGATCTGATTCGCTGCTTTGCGCCGCAGTTCATCTTTTCCACCACGCTGCCGCCTGCGGTGCTGACGGGCGCCAACAAGGCGATCGAGGTGCTGATGCAGTCGAACGACTCGCGCATCCTGCAGCAGCTGCGCACGCGCGAGACCAAGGACAAGCTCATCGCTGCGGGCATCCCGCTGCAGCACAACCCGTCGCACATTGTGCCCGTGCTCGTCGGCGATGCGTCCAAGGCCAAGGCGGCCTCGGACATGCTGCTCGAGGAGTTTGGCTGCTATGTGCAGCCGATCAACTTCCCCACGGTCGCGCGCGGTCTCGAGAGGCTGCGTGTCACGCCGACGCCCGGACACACGTCCGACGACGTCGACCACCTCGTGTACGCGCTCACCGAGATCTGGAAGCATCTGGGCCTGCGCACCGTCGCTGACCTGCGTGCTGCTCCCGAGGGCCAGGATGCGCTTGCTGATCTGTTCAAGGCGTCCGAGAAGACGGCGCGCGAGAACCCGCTCTGGACCGACAAGCTTCTTGGTCTTGACGAGCTCAAGGCGCAGGTGCAGGCCAACGGCTTTGAGCGCCGCGCTGGCGTGCAGGTCGCTGATGCTGCTGCGGCTGCTCCGCGTGCCGGCGTGGCTGCCTGAGCGCGCTGTCAGCCTGGCCGAGTGCCCAGTGCCTAGTGTCTGAGCCTCAGTGTGCTCGTTTTCATGTTCACTTTTCTCCCCTCCTCCCCATGTGCGAGGCGAGATTGGGCCGCTGCGCCTCTGTGTGTGGCGTGCTTGATCGAGTCGCTCGCGCAGTGGCAGGACGAAATGCAAGTCCTGTCATTCCCCCCTCCAACCCCTCAGCCTGAAGAGTGCCGATGTGTGTGAGAGAGCTCGAGAGAGGTGAGCTGAGCTGATGGGAGCGTTGGTTTTGTCGTGCGAGAAGGGATGGGGAGCCCAGGGCGTGTGACCTAAGGCGCGCCGATTTTTTTGAAGGCTCTTGGGAAGAACTGGCAAAATCGGGCGCGAAGCGGAAGGACGATTGGAAAAAATTGGCCTTTTGGCCCACGGAGAGATCGCCTCTGGCTGGGTGTCTCTGTGGTTTTGGTCCGGTCCTTCGCGAGGACTTTTGGTGAGGAAGGTTGAGTCGCTTGAGTTGGTGGGAAGACGTCGGGATCGTATGGTGTTGGTGATTGACTTCCACCATCCATCATCACCTTTTTGTTTCAAAAATGTTTGGCAGTGCGGTAGCTTCGTCCTCGAGGACTCTTCTGCGGGCCTCGCGTCCAGCGCTTCGTTCTTCGATTCGAAGCCTTAGCACCACCTCGACGCTTCGCAATGCGGCACCCGTAGATGCCAAGATCTCGGGCATCGTGGACCAGATTGAAAAGTTGACGTTGCTCGAGGCGGCGGATCTGGTGAGCGCACTCAAGACGCGCCTCAACATCACCGAGATCGCCATGCCCGCTGCATCCGCCCCCGCCGCCGCCGCCGCCCCAGCCGCTGCAGAGGAGGTAGAGGAGTCCGCCAAGCCAAAGGAAAAGACCGTCTTTACGCTCAAACTCACCGGCCTCAAGGATCCCACCGCCAAGGCCAAGGTCATCCGCGAAGTCAAGGCTACCAACTCCAATATGTGCGTTTTCATCATCTCCCGTGCAGCTCTCTCCCGTCGAGTGCGCCGATTACCGACCCAAGGAGGAAAGCTTGGGAAAGAAAACAATGCAGAGAGAAAGAGCTCATACTGACATTATCACAACGCCGTGTTTTTGATGCAGGAACCTGGTCGAGGCCAAGAAGTTCGTCGAGTCCACACCCCAGGTGCTCAAGGAGGGGCTCAACAAGGAAGACGCCGAGAAGCTCAAGGCGGCCATCGAGGCTGCCGGCGGCACTGTCGAGCTCCAGTAAATCCTTGCTGGGTATGCTATTCCAACTCTCTCTCTCCCCCGACGACAAGAAAAGACTCTCCGTGTGAGAAACATGGAGATGCACCATACGCACAGACACATGACAATGGACAGCAGCATTGGCTGTGCGACGTTCTTTACGATCTTGTATTGCGGCAGGCGTATGGATCTAGGCCCACGCATCGAGGCGATGCGCGTGTTCTTCGTTGCGCGCGCCCTTGTTTGGGCTGGGCTGGCGCGTGGCGTTCTCGTTGTAGAAGCTCTGGGCGACAATGTCGCGCACCATCTCGCCGATGGCGAGCGACGATGTGAGACCGGGACTCTCGATGCCGAGCAGGCTGAGCATCGCGCCACCGTGGATTTGGTCGACGCTCTGCCTTGCGGGTGAGACGCAGCTCGCGCTCGGACTGGGCAGACCGGGCGCGCGCTGCCACAGCCGCTGCGCACGCAAGTCGCTCGAGTTGTGCCAGAGCAGCTGAAAGTCCATAAACGCCTTGTGCTCCGGCCCGATCAGCTTGGGTCGGATGCCGGCATAGTCGGGCGCAAGCCCCGCCTTGTCAATGTTGGGCAGGTACTCGGTGATGGAGGCGTACATCGACTCGATGCGCGCCTCGTCGACGGTCAGCGCGTGCTTCCAAAAGTCGACCGCCTGCTGCGTGTCGGCCGTGGTCTCGGGTGGGGAGATCCACTCGGTGTCCGGCCCAAAGCGCACGTTGCCGTCGAGGTCGAGCGTGAGGTGCGTGCCGAGCGACGTGTGGGCGTGCGTCCCCTTGTTGCGCGTATCTGGCACGGGGTAGATGAGGTGGCGGATGCCGTCGGCGCCACGACCCTTGTAGGATGCATAGTTACCTTTGGAGTGCCACATGGGGATGGGCGCTTCGTCCGACCCAAGCTCGGCGAGCAGTGAGTTGAGCACCATGGGCGCATTGAGTCCCGACGTATTGATCACCACCTTGGCCAGAAGCGCATCCGCCTCGCTGGAGGTGCCGCTCGTCTCGGACGTGACGGTCTGCACGATCCAGCCGTCGTTGGAGCCGTGGTCGCCGCGCTTGCTGCTGGTGCTCGCGGCGCGCACCTCGCTCGGGTCGACGCGCACAACCTTTGTATCGTACACCACCTCGGCATTTTCGGCGTCGAGCAGCTCGCGTTCGAGGCTGGCCATGAGCTCGTGGCTGCTCACGATGCCCGTTCGCTCGGACAGCAGCGCCCAGCCGATGTTGTCCGAAAGGTGCGGCTCGAGTTCGCGCGCTTCGCTGCCGGAGATGAGCCGTGTGGGCGGCGCCAACGGGCCCAGAGAGGCGCAGTGCTGCTGCAGCTTTTCGAGGTACGACTTGGCATGGTCACCGCCGACGACGAGCTTCTGCGTCTGCTTGTGCGGGATGCCGTGCTGGGTGCAGCGCTCGTACATGAGCTCGCGCCCGCGCAGACAGAGGCGCGTCTTGAGCGAGTCGGCGGGATAGTAGAGGCCGGCATGGATGACCTCGCTGTTGCGCGAGCTGGTCTCTTCGCCAAAGGACTTGTTGCGCTCGACGAGGTAGGTGGTCTTTTCGGGCCATCGTTTGGCGAGCGCGGCGGCGATTGAGAGTCCCACCACACCGCCACCTACGACGAGATGGTCGACGGCGAGTTCGGGCTGCTTAAGCGGGTACTTGGAGCGTGGTGGCAGCGATGCGATCAAGGGACGCACGCTGTTGGAGCTGCTCAGCGTGGCCAAGCCCCGACGAGCAGGCTGGCAGCTGAGCATACGGCGCGAAGTCGACGGCACGTTCATGGTGGTGTGCAGCTCCTGCCTTGATCCTGCTCTGCGCCTTTTCTATGATGCTCCGCGCAGCTTCTGACTCGACGGATGTGCCGAACAAGATGACTCGCCCTCGGATGTGCCGATACGACTACGTGTGGGAGTGTGACAGTGACCATGGAACCAAGGTGATGCTCATCGGAGACATCCGAACAGCATGCGCCACTCTCTCAAGAACGCCGATTTGGAGGCCGGATAGCGAGCCAATTTCTCCAGAGCTGCACTTGGCGTCGGCATAACAAAGTCTTTTTTTCGCGCCAGCCTCCACCCTCTCATTTCTGCGTACCGCCTCATCACAGCGCATGAGGGCGAGGACGAGTGGACAGGCGCGAGTGGAGTTGAAAGTGTACAGTAAAACAAAATCGACGCAAATGGGCGATGATGGCTGCTGCCCGGCGCGACTCAGCCAGCCTGCCAGCCAGCCAGCTCGCTGTGACGGCAGCTCGCCAGTCGGGCCGTGATGCGAGCCAGCCCAGCAAGGGCCCTTTTGGGTCTCAACAGATCGGCTAGCAATCAACCACGCGCCCGCCTCACCGATGTGCAGCTGAGCCATTTCTCCACACGTCGCATCGTCTGCCCTCCATCCATCCTACATCCCATCGCATCCACACCCTACAAGGCAGCGTCACCACTCGACTCTCTTATCGCTCACCTTTCAACATCGCATCGCATCGCATCCGGCTCGTTCACCGACTCTCTTCGGTCAGCTCGCGCTTTCGGTCCATCTCACCAGCACGGAAGCTTATCTAGCGACTCAGCCCGGACGGTCTCGCAATTGCAAGCGGCGCAAAGTTGTAGGCTCGACGACACCGCCGCTACGCCGCTACCATACGCGCATAGAATCTTAATCCCTGCCCCGCTCGGTGCACACGCACATATACATCTGCCAACATGTCGGGCTGGATGAACTTCTTCGGCAAGAAGGACAACAAGAACTCGGCGCGCGATGCGATAGTAGGCTTGCGGCAGCAGCTGCTCATGCTCGAGAAGAAGGAGGAGCACCTCAACAAGAAGATCGACGACGAACTGAAAAAGGCCAAGGCCAACGTCACAACAAATAAGCGCGCGGCACAAGCGGCGTTGCGCCAGAAAAAGGCGTACGAGAATGAGCTGGATCGCATCGCAGGCACGCGTATGACGCTCGAGACGCAGGTCAACGCCATCGAGAGCGCCAACATGAACCTCGAGACCATGACGGCCATGCGCAAGGGCGCCGACGCGCTCAAGACCATCCACGGCAGCCTCAACATCGACAAGGTCGACTCCACCATGGACTCGATCCGCGAACAGATGGACCTCACCAACGAGATCTCCGACGCCATCTCCAACCCTGTCGGCATGGGCAACGACATCGACGAGGACGAGCTCAAGAACGAGCTCGAGGAGCTCGAGCAGGACGAGCTCAACGAGCGTCTCGTCGGAGCCGACTCGGTACCCCTGCATACCCCAGCCGTATCCGCCGGTCCATCACGCGCCAAAGAGGCCGAGCGCAAGCAGGCGGTGGTGGAGGACGACGACGATGCCGAGCTCCGCGCGCTCCAGGCCGAGCTGGCCATGTGATCCACTCCCCATCCTCATAATTGCCATCCACCCGCTGTTCTCCCGGGCGCTCTTGGCCTGGCATCAGCGACGTGGTTGCATCCCTGCTAGTCATCCATCCGCATTGCTCCAAAGACAGACGCCTTACTGCTTTGACCCGCGCTGCAGCTTTCTGATCGAAATGTCACCCAGCCTCCATCTTCTGTCATGACTCACGCCCACGCCCACCCCCACCATATATGCAGTTCACCTGCGCTTCCAGCACGCTGCGTGGGCGCCTCGTTCTGAGCAGGCAGGACCCTGGAGTCCCCAGCCCAACCTGAAAGCGTGATTCTGGTTTCGGGCAACCATGACCCCTTTGAGCGCCTTCCTTGGCTGGCTGGCTGGCTGGCTGGGCATAGCAGAGCCATCGAGTGCCATCGAGTGCCATCGAGTGCATCCGAGATCCATCCGAATCGACCGCCTTTGCAAGCGAGATGAATTTCAGCCCGGCGCGGCACAAAGCAGGGTCGCGACCGACAACGCTGGCGCAGTACTGAACTGATTCTCACAACTCAAATTTCCCATTTTTCCCACTTTCGCCGCCGCTGCTCGAGGCTGAGGCTCAGGGGGGCCAAAGGCAAAGGCTGAAAGAAAGGTTGGCGCGCGCTCTCTTTCCCATGAACCAAAAAAGGCGATTTTAGGCGTCCCGCGATGGTGAACCTGCAACAGTGGACCTGCCAAATTGCTCAATACCGCCCACCACCCCACCATCCATCCCACCCCCAGTCCATCCCTCTTCTTCACGCTCACTATCGCCGCCACATCCGCGCCACATCGTCTCCATAGAAGTGGCGTCGACACCAACGCGCGCGCGCTCTCGTAACGAACCATCACGACCCTGTCCCGACTTATATCTCGCCATACAAACGACGCTCATACCCCAACAGCATAACATGGACGCCCGATGCGACTATAGCATGGCTCGCTGAAGCAGCTCCCTCGTATTCGTAGCCTCGTACCTACATCCGAGCGTGGTGATGGAAGCAGTGCGCTCTGCTTCCCTATATCGATCCCGAATCGCCCTCGGCCTTGAACCCGTCTTATAATATGGACGCCCATCCAGCCAACGCGTCGGCGGCACTCGCGTCGTCCACCTCGCAGCTCGCAGCTCCCGCGCCCATCGACGTGGAGACCACCAACTGGAACGCCGTAAAGATCCTTGCCGTGCAGCACGACATCCCTCTCGCCCTGCTCGAGTCCATCCGCGACACCGTCACCGCCGACCCCGATGCCGACTTTGCCTCGCACGACTTTGGTCTGGCCACTCGCTTTGAAATCACTGCCGTCCGACTCGATTCTGGCCGCGTCGGCTTCCGATTCCGATCTCGTCGTCCCGACCACGCCGCAGCTTCTACGACACTCTCGCCTCAGCCTGTCAAGCCTCGGGCACTTCCAGCACTACAACATGGCATCCCGCGCTCCAGCTCATCCGGCGCGGTCTGGACTCCTGATCCGTCGGATCCAACACCTGTCCCCGCAAAGTCCAACCTGAGCGCAAGCCTCTTTCGACGAACGGGCAACCTCAGCCTCAAACACTCCAAATCCATCCCCGTCCTGCGTCGCAAAGCTTCCGGCGTCTTGGCCCCATTTGCCGCGCCCGAAGCTCCCAATGCAACCCATGCGGCCGAGCTCTCGACCAATCACGCACCAGCAGCTGGTCACGACCATGCCACGACCATGCTCGCGCCAGCCCTCCCAATAACCTCGCCGCACAAGTCGGCAGCAGCCCAGAATTCTGTCGACCGTCTCCATCCATACCGCTTCGCAGCCGCACCGGCTCTCATGGCGCGCACCGGAAGCTCTCCCGTCAACGGTCCCCATGCCAATCGCTACGCCACCGACCACATCGAAGAAGGCGACGTGCTCGGCGCCATTCTCGGTCTCGGTCACGCCGACTTGTGGGCAAAAGCGCTGCCCGACGTGCAAGTCGCGCCCCAGCACCGCGCACTTCAGCCCCAGTCTCGGCGCAGGCGCTCCTCCAGCAGCTCTTCAGGCGCTTCCCGTGGCATCTCCGCCAGCCAGCTTTCACCGCCTCAGCTCCGCCTGCCTGACCTCAGCTTGGACTCGCAACCCTCCAGCTCCCCCAGGGTTCACCAGCTTAGAGAGGCGCAGTCCTTCGAGTCCACCGTCTCCGACGCTACAGCTCGCGGCGAACAGAACGATCCTTCGATCGAACAGAACCCGCTTGATCTGCAGCCTCTCGTACAGACCCAAGATGGAAATTCCAGCCGCCTCGATGACAAGACGCTCATCTTTGACGTCCTTCAGTGCTACCACCGCCCGACTCCCTCATCAGCCTCGCAGGCGTCTGGCTCCTTGCCAAGGTCGCATCGGTCGAGGCTTGTACCACAAAAAGACCTCGCCTCCTCCGAACCTAACTTGGATCGACGCGCTGCCATGGAGGACTCCCCGGCCTCGGACTTCCTCGCTCAGGCTCAAGCTTTGCCCACGTCCGCTTCGCCTGGCGACGATCCACGCTTTGCCGTCTGGGCCGTCAAAGGTGACACCAACGACGGCTCCTTTGTCGTTTGCAATCGATTCGGCCACACCGAGCACGGGTCCACCCTCTCGCTCACCTCGCCCGCCTCCACGACGACCTCCCCATCATCCACCACAAAGCGTCGCAACCGCAAGAGTCAGCTTCCGTTCGGCAGCAGCAGCGATGCCCAAGACGCAACGCCCGAACGCAACGCCCAGTCGTCACAACCCAAGCCAATGCTCCTCGCCGCATCCGCGTCTCGTCTCGTCGCAGAGCTCACTGCCGAAATCGACTTGCACCTGCGCAACGACTTTTTCTACACCTACCGCGCCTTTATGACGCCGCTCGACCTGCTCGAGCTCCTCATCCTCCGATTCGAGTGGGCCATCTCCGATCCCACCTCGGCAGAGGACGAAGCTCGTCGCCGCATCGTCCGTGTCCGCACCTACGTCGTCATCAAGCACTGGCTCCAGCATCACTTTGATTCCGATTTCCTCCCCAACCGCGCCTTGCGTCAGCGTCTCGCAGCCTGGCTCAACGCTATGGCCAAGGACGAGCGCATCACATCGCGCCCAGCTGACATGAACATCGTCAACAGTCTGCGCAAGATCGTCAGATCGCTCAAGCAGACCTATTCGCAGTCGGGCGTCGGCGGCCTCCTTCTGAATGACGCCGGTCGACTCCCGGACAGCACGTCTATGCGTCGCAAGACCGACAGCCTGTCCACCTTTGCGTCGTCCTCGCACGACTCGGAGTCGAGTTCCGGTATGCACATGAGCGTCGCATCCAACGAGGAGCACGCTCCCAGCAGTTCCAGCTCCGTGCCATCGACCACAGAGGACGTCAATCTCGACTTTTCTGAGGACAACGGCTCACACGACGCGCCGCATGTCCGATCTCCGTCATCCGAGCATCAGCAGCAGAGCCCCGCAGCCAAGTCCTCCCGCGTGGATTCCTCGGGCTCGTCGCTCGCTGCTCGAAAGGCGGCCGCAGAGTCCGTCTTGGTCTCGCACAGGCACACGCTAGCACCCGCTACGTTCCTTCCTCCCAGAGCAGCCCCGAGCTCCAATAGCTCGTCGCCTGCACCCATGCCGCATCCCTCCAACGCGTGGTCGCGCGCTTTCGTGCACACGGTCGGCCGTCTGTCAAAGTTCAAGCGTGTACTTGGCAATCGCGGTCTAGGAATGGACAGTGCCAACGACCTCGAGGCCGAGGCCGAGCCGTGCCACGATCTCCTCTTCGCCAAGGGCGGCCTCGATAGCCTTCTGCAGTACTTTGCCATCGAACAAGCTCGACGTCAGTCGTCCTCGGTGATGCGCCAGACGACGCTCCCGCGCCAGCGTCCTTTGTCGCGTACCGAGGAGGCGAACGAGGACGAGGAAGAAGGCGGAGCCAGTCAGATGTCGGAGGACAGCACAGGTCAAGAAGAGACACCCAGCTTGGCGGGTGCATCGACAAACAGGTCCACGCCGGCAAGCTCGATCGATCTTAACGCCCTCTCTGAAAAGAGGGCCTCTATCAGCAGGCAAGACGGCCGGGGCCTCGGCATTCACAATACCGACGAGGATGTCCTGCACCCTGCCGCTTTGGATGCTCATGACCCGCTTGGTCTGGATGCGTCCTTTATCCGCCCGCTGGACTCGTTCGTCAAGCGGAGCACCAAGGGTGAAGAGCCGCTGCACCACGCCACCAGCGAACAGACGCTCCGCTCGGTCTCACGAGCCCCTTACGGCCGCGGCTCTGAGGATTCCGTCTCGGCTGGTCGTGCCTCCATCGAGCACGACTCGGGCACGTCTCGAAAGCCGCACGGCATGCTTAGTCGCGGGCCATCCATGCGAGCTTCGGTCATGAGCAATGGTGCGCCTCGCATCGTCCAGATTGACGACATCGATCTGTCCAGCGACGACGACGACTTTGCGGTCCGCAAAGCTCTGCGACGGCTGCCGGGAGCGAGGGATCTCCGGCAGGCAAACAACATCCGGGACCTCGAGCCTCCCGTGTTGCAGGGCGGACGCGAAAGCTTCGACTCGATGGCATCCTCAATGTTTCGACATCCTGCAGCAACGCGTCAAGTGCACGTCGGCTCGTTCAGCCGCGGTCATGTGCGTGGCTTGAGCGTGGACAGTGCTCTGCACGTGTCGGATCATCTTCTCGGCTCCCCTACGGCGTTGCCTCCAGCCCCTCCCATGATCAGCACGGTTCAATCCGAGATGCTCGATCCCGACGAGGCGTTGCAAGGCTACGAGCTCGTCAAAGGGTTTCGGCTGGACGACATCGAGAGCGACGACGAGGAGCCTGGCGATGTCGAGGCAGCCCTCCGTCGGCTGGAAGGCATCATCGACGAGGATCGGCAGAAGCAGAAGGCGAACCGCGTTGAAAGGCTCTGGCAGCGTTCGCTGGCGCGCAACGCACGTGCGGACGACGCTGACGGCAAAGACGAGGCAGCCTCGCTCGACAAGCGTGCGAGCCAGATGTCGACGCACTCTGGCGCCGATCGCACTCTGTCCTCCTCGCTCACTGGCGGCTCGCTCGCCGATGCAGAAGACGAGGCGTCCAACGCATCCGTGCATCCTTGCGAGCGTTCGTACGACGAGGTCGAGGCGGCTTTGGCAGGGTCAGCGTCTGTGGACGACGCCGAGATCGAGGCGCAGTCTTCTTTCCTCGACCTTCAAGAGAGCCGATCGGCCTCGGAAGCCGAGGACCACGCCACCGCCACGCAGCCTCCTGCGGGTGCACCTGCTTCCGCCGCCATACCTGTCGAGGGCAAAATTGCCCCAACAGCGATTTTTTCTACCGGCCCGGGCGCCGCGGCGAGCAAGTCTGCAGTTGCGGCGGATCGCGCTTCGATGGTCGCAGGCCTGCACCTGTCGCCAGGACGCGGCATTGCGCCTCTGCCTCCCGTGCACCGATCTTTCCTGCTCTCGTATCGGTCCGAGTCGGTGGCGCGCCAGATGTGCCTGATCGAGGCGGAGCTGCTGCGATCGGTCACGTGGGACGAGCTGGCATCTTCAAGGTGGCGCGAGCGCCGTTTTGGCTCCGAGGTGACCGACTGGGAGGCCTTCTACCGCGACCGTGTGCGCGACCGCCTCGAGGCGCAGCGGCTCGGCGAGGTGCACGAGGAGCGCGCCGTCGAGGCGATCGTGGCGCGATTCAACCTGACGTCCAACTGGGTTGCGAGCGAGGTGGTGCTCACGCAGAACATCGACGAGCGCGCGGCGGTGATCTGCAAGCTGATCCGCATCGCGTGGAAGTGCTACCTGCAGTCCAACTTTGCGTCGCTGGCGCAGATCATCTTTGGGCTGAGCACGCCCTGGGTGGAGCGGCTGCGCAGGACGTGGAATCGGGTGGGCTACTTCGAGATGCGCATGTGGAAGGACCTCAACAGCTTTGTGGGACCGCGCAACAACTTCCGCCACCTGCGCAACGCCATGCTGCAGCTTGCCGACGGCACCTCGGGCATCGGCGGCAACAGTGCCAGCGGTACCGCGGCTGGTGGCGGTGGTGTTGGCGAGGGAGGAAGCTCGGCGTCGAACCGTGGCTGCATCCCATTCTTCGGTCTGTTTGTGTCGGATCTCATGCAGTGCGATGCCATGCCGACACTGCTCGACCCGACGTCGCCAACGGCCGCTGCGACCGTCACGACGCGCCCAGATGGCAAGCTGCGGCTGCTTCCGGCCGAGCCCGGCGCGTTTGCGTACCTCGCGCCGCTTCCTCCTTCGGTGCATCTGGAGCCGCTGGTGAACGTGCTCAAGTTCAGGAGCATCGCCGAGGTCATCCGCCAAGTGTCGGCGTTCCAGTGCGCCGCCAAGAACTACGGCGCCATGTTCGAGGCCGAAAAGGGCGCCTACGTGCGCTGCTTGAAGCTCCGATGTCTTCCGGGCGAGCTGCTTGCGCGTCTGAGCCACATGATCGAGGCGTGATCGCCCTCTGCCGTCCAGTGGTGGATTGCCATCAAACCAATATACCCGCTACATTCACTTAGCTTCACAGCCTTATTTCCTCGCAGTCGGGCTCCGTCACCGCCATTTGCTCCGAGTATCTTTCTCCCGACTCTGCTCTTATGGAAGCAGCAAGCGGCTATCCGTTCACTTAACCACACTGTCACTCTTATCCATATCTCCGGGGGCTAATTGCGTCACAAGAATACCCTTTCACCGAAGCGAGCAAGCTTGACTTGAGCATGTACCAAAGATTGAGAGCGAGTAGAGGCAGGGCGAGGCATCCGGTGCGACTTGTGACTGGGGCGAGTCGTTTCGGGCGAGAGGCCAACCGCGCGTCCTGAAAGGGCCGCATCAAAGTCAGACGCGTCTTTGCCCAACGCGCGTCTCTGGTGGGCTGGATGAACGCGCGCTCCGCCGGGCGTGGCGTAAATTGCAAAGACGCGTCGCGAGGCTGAGAACGGTCCGTCGTGTTAATTGCTCGCGCGGAAGGCGGTGGCATTTTTGCAAGGAGCTGCCCATGCGCAGATCAACAGTCGACCAACCTCTCTCTCTGCACGGCTCGAGGGGAGGCCGGTGTGTTGCTCGATCCATTCGCTCCGCATTCTCAATTGCAAACGACCATCTCGATCCGCTTCCGCAACTCCTAAGCAAGATACCCACACAGCAACATCCTACCTTCTCACGCTCCATCACCTCCTACTTCCATAGAAGTCCGATCCCGAGATAACAGGCGCCCCTCACCGCCGCCTCCGAGACCTCTCTACACAAGACCACGGCAACAAACGACATCCGCCGCACCTTGGCACTAGACGAGAATCATGTCGGGCTTCGACGCTGGCCGCGTCTTCTCCGCCCAGGCACTCGCCGGGTCGGAGGCGTCTCGGGCTCCCGATGCTCCAGCACAGACCGAGCAGACGCTGTTCAACTTTGTGCAGACCTTCCGCACGGGTAGCGACTACGTCTATCGCGATCGGCTGCGCGCCAATCTTCTCGCAAGGCAGTACGTCCTCGAGGTGCAGCTCGAGCACATCCAGCTGTGGAGCAACGACCTCGCGCAAGCACTGCGTGACACGCCTTCGGACATCCTTCCGCTCTTCGAGTCGGCGGTCAAGCGCGCCGCGCGCGCCATCCTCTACCCGGTCATCACTCCTGGCGAACCGCGTCCCGATGCACCCGACTGCCAGGTCACGCTGCGCAGCCATGCCAACCTCACACCCATGCGCGATCTGCATGCCGACAGCATCTCGCACCTCGTGCGTGTGCCAGGCATCGTCATCGGCACCACCACGCTCTCGTCGCGTGCCACCCACATCCAGATCATGTGCCGCGACTGCCGTGCCACCAAATCGCTCCCTGTCGTCTCGGGCTTTGGCGGCTTCACCTTGCCGCGCTACTGCGACTCGACCAAGATGGACACCACCTCACCACAGTGCTCGACGGATCCGTACGTCATCCTGCACGACAAGTGCCGATTCGTCGACAACCAGACGGTGAAGCTGCAGGAGGCGCCCGACATGGTGCCCGTGGGAGAGCTGCCGCGACACATGCTCATGTCGGTCGACCGTGCGCTGTGTGGACGCGTGGTGCCCGGCTCGCGCATCATCGCCACGGGTATCTACTCCACCTTCGCAAGCGCCAAGGGCGGCAAGGGATCCAAGGCCGGTGCCTTCGCGCTGCGCACGCCGTACCTGCGTGTCGTGGGTCTCGAGATCGACGCCGAGGGTGCAGGTGGTCGTGGCATGGCGCGCATCTTCTCTGCCGAGGAGGAGGAGGAGTTCGCGCGGATCTCGAGGTCCCCGGAGCTGTACGAAAACTTCTCGGCGAGCATCGCGCCAAGTATCTTTGGCAACCAAGACATCAAAAAGGCCATCGCCTGTCTCTTGTTCGGCGGCTCCAAAAAGGTGCTGCCTGACGGAATGCGACTGCGTGGCGATATCAATGTGCTCATGCTCGGTGATCCGGGTACGGCCAAGTCGCAGCTGCTCAAGTTTGTCGAAAAGGTGTCGCCCATCGCCGTGTACACTTCGGGCAAGGGTTCGTCCGCCGCCGGTTTGACGGCGTCGGTGCAGCGTGATCCGCAGTCGCGCGAGTTCTACCTCGAGGGCGGAGCGATGGTGCTGGCCGATGGTGGAGTGGTGTGCATCGACGAGTTTGACAAGATGCGCGACGAGGACCGCGTGGCGATCCACGAGTCGATGGAGCAGCAGACCATCTCGATCGCCAAGGCGGGCATCACCACCATCCTCAACACGCGAACCTCGGTGCTGGCGGCGGCCAACCCGATCTTTGGACGATACGACGACATGAAGTCGCCCGGCGAGAACATCGACTTTCAGACCACGGTGCTGTCCCGATTCGACATGATCTTCATCGTCAAGGACGAGCACAACGAGCAGCGCGACCGCACCATGGCCAAGCACGTGATGAACATCCACATGAATCGCGCCAACGATACCACGGCGACGGGCGAGTTCGACATTGAGCAGATGAAGCGCTACATCTCGTTCTGCAAGGCGCGGTGTGCGCCGCGTCTGTCGCCCGAGGCGGCCGAGAAGCTGTCGTCGCACTTTGTGGCGCTGCGCAAGCAGGTGGCGCAGGTGGAGCGCGACAACGACGAGCGCTCGTCGATCCCGATCACCGTGCGTCAGCTCGAGGCGATCGTGCGTATCTCGGAGTCGCTCGCCAAGGTGACGCTGTCGCCGACGGTGGGCGAGGAGCACGTCGACGAGGCCATGCGTCTCTTCCGCTCCTCGACCATGGACGCGGTGCAGGCGGGCAACGTGGAGGGCATGACGCGAGGCGAGCTCGCCGAAGAGTGCCAGAAGCTCGAACGCGAGATCCGCCGAAGGCTGCCCATCGGATGGAGCACGAGCTACGGCAAGCTACGCCACGAATTCGTCGAGAGCCAGGGCTACACCAACCACGCGCTCGAGCGCACGCTCTTCATCCTCGAAAAGCGCGACGTGATCCGCTTCACCAACCAGCGCAAGATGCTCACCAGGACTGGTGTGTGAGCCGCCCGCTCGCTTTTCGCTTTCCCTTTGTTTCTGTCTCGGTTGTATCTTTAGGCTTCGCTTCGCTTCATGTCTCTGGTAGTCTGTCGGTAATGCACATCATCTTTGGTTCTCTTGTCTGCGAGATTAACGGTCTGCAGCGTTTACAGAGATTTCGCCACAGGCATGCATTTCGTGACGTTGCATGCAGATGAGACTGGCTTCGGAGCGATTGCAGATACGGTGCAGCCATTGCCCTCCGTCGAGCAGGCGCAGCAACTGCCACCACCTCATCGCCGCCCCCAAGCCTGCTGCAGGCCGCATACTGTAGCGGAGGTGTTGACGCTGCTGTGCCGCTGGCGAGATAAGACGGATGCGCTCCGACTTTGGCATGGCAGCCTCGCCTGGACGGGTTTCGGTGGAACCCCGGAGATGGCGCGGTCGGTACAGATTTCAGAGTGTGGAGCTGATCGGTCAATTTGTCGCAGCCCAGCGCGGCGAAAGCGCTTGCTTGCCTTCCATCTGCACCCTGCCTGCAGCGAGGGTCCGGCTTGGAAAGGCGGAGAGAGACAGCCTTCGATTCGGCTTCACCTCAACCCAACCCAACAATTTGGCCGTTTGGCAGTCTTTTTAAAATTAAATTTTTATTTTAGCGCTCGGAGTTGAACTCCGCTCGTCGGCCTGCCCGGCCCAGCCAAGTCGTTTCCCCAAAGTTTCGAAAGAGACACGACACGCCTTTGCCGCCTCCTGTTCGTTCTCGAGCGGTCTCGTGCAGAAGCTTGCAGACTTCTACAGACTGCTTTGCAATCTTCCGTCGGGCTCTTCGGTACTCTCTGTGTATGGTCTGCGATCACCATGCTACAAGATTGCAGAGTGTCAGACACTGCCTTGGGCCTTGAAGCAGATGACAATAGGCTCGCCTTGCCCATCGAGGTCGTGTTGCATGGTGGAGGCTGCCCGGACAAGCTCGACAGTCTTTCTAGAGCCTGCCTTCGACTTGAATCGGTGTATCGGCTTGGTTGGCTTCCCGACGCTATGACACTTCTTCTTGATCCGAGTGTGCCGCACAGATGCAATCAAACCGTGGCTGAATTGTTGCAGCTGGGCTCCGTGTGGGTCCGACTTTGCAGTCGTCCATATCATATGGGCACGCCACGCCGGAAAGCGACATGCAGACGTGACGGTTCCGTATCACGGCGCCACATTCCGAGCCCCGCCAAGCCTCCCGTTGACTTGATCCGTATCGGGTCACATCCGCGAGGTCGAGATGAACGACAGGCAGATCACGAGATCAATCATCGAACTACGGGATGAGAATCTTCGGTTGTTCCGAGCGGGTCAGATCGCAAATGGCTCGGCCAGTCCCGATGAACGAATCTACTCTGCTGCGACCTGGTGCATTCTCGGCTGTCACAAGTCGTAGGCGCGAGCGGGCCAAGCCGAAGCGGCGTCGTGGCTGCGACTCGAATGTACCGCACGTACGGCCCCGGCAATATGTCCTGGGCCGCCGCTGTCGCCCGCGAGGCCTGACGAATGGATCTGGTTTGTGCTTTGCGATCGCGTGGATCTGACTGGGTGAAAAAGCTTAACAGCGGCCTCCAGCCGAAATTTCAAACAAAAAGGAAGAAGAGGTGGGAACAAAAAATGAGAGAGAGAGAGGGCTTGCAGGTGCGTGCAGAACAAGCGGGCTACACAGCCGAGCTGCCCGTCAGGTCAATTACGCTCCCGTCGCCTCTTTTGCCTTTCCTGCTTTTTTTGCCCCAACCTGCCACGCATCCACGCGGAAGGGCCCCGAGACCGAACGCGCGAGCAGCCAAAATCAGGCAGCCGAGCTGTGTGTTGCAGCGCTCGAGCGGTTTTGGGGCAGAGCTTCGTAGCCGGAGAGAGCGACAGAGCTCAGCACACGCAGCGCCACGCCACGCCACTCCACGCAGAGCGCCGGCACACCTCGACCGAAATGCACTGGAGCAGAGAGTCCTTGCTTTCTGCTGCCATCTGCTGCCTGCTGCCTGCCGACTGCTCTGCCTTTTCGCTTCGCCCACCTGCTGCAGCCGTCTCGCGTCTGAGCCCACTTCACCTCGAATCGCCTGGCTCAGCTCGTTCTCATTCTCGCTCTGGCTCAGGCTCTCGCCCTTTCTTTTGCACCTCCCGCCAAGGCAAAGGAGCAACTGCAGGACGTGTGCAGCCTTCCGTATCTCGATCCACCGCCTCACCATCCCCTCTCTCCGTGACGTCGGCCATCCAATCCGCCTCTCACTTTCACCATCTCATCACCATCACCGCTACTGCCATCGTCGTACTCCGTCACGCCTCCGCTCACGGCTCAAACACGCGAGCTAGCTCGAGACCAACGCGGTCTACTAGGCTCGAATCGCATCGCGCGGTTCTTGCTCAGCTCCTCATCTTGCCTATACGCTCATACAATCATATCCAGCAACCTGCAATAGCTGCACTCGAGCGCTGAGCATCAAACTGTCCACTCGACCATCACAGCACTTTCCAGCCTTTTCGCGATCAGGCTACCACAGCACAGCCGACGTCGACACCGCATCTCGTGATCTGCTGCGCCACCTTCGGCTCCTTCGTCCTTCGACCCGCTTCCATCGAAGTCACTTGGCAGCCTCAACCCTTCGCCATCGGCCATGTCTGCTAGCTTTGCAAGCCCTCCTCGTCACAGCCAGTTTAGCACCCACACAGTCTCACAATCCACATCGCCGCCCAGCCTCACCAACACCAGCAGCCCCACCTCCAGCGACTCCACGGGCGACGAAGACGTGGCGGCGCTCAAGTCGGACACGCGTCCCAGCGCATCGCACCGTCGCGCACGCGAGTCCGGCGTCACTCCAACCCCATCCCATCCCAACTCCGCCAATTTCGACGCCTACTCGCCCAGCATCTGGGGCGCACATCCCCAGTCCATCATCTCTGGCCTCGACATCAACAACATCGAGTCGCATCAGCGCGCTAAGCTGGCTCTCGACGGAATGAACTTTCCAGGCTGGGACGGCAACTTCTCCAACCTAGGCGCCGCCACCAACGACGCCGACCTCTCCATGGACATGGACTCCACCTCCAGCACCGACTATGGCTTCTCTCCGCGCTCCATCCAGTCGCCAGCTTCGTCCCATAACGCCATGCCCAGCTTCTCCGGCGCCTCGCACGCGATGACAAACGACAGCCCAAGCGGCTCCGACTCCAAGACGGGCTCGCTCTCGCACAATCCCACCTCAGTGTCCGGAACCGTCAGCTTTGCAGGCAGCGGCGACGACTCGGACGGCCATCCAGAAGCAGCTTGGAACGGCAAGACGAGCGACAACGACGAAGCCATGTTCGACTCCTTTGTCCAGTCCGGCTCTTTTGGCTCGCCCGCAGTCAAGCACGAAGCCGCCTCTCTCATGGCCAACGGCTCCAATGGCCACGCCTTCGCCTCGATGAACATCCCGACCAATTCGTCGGCAAACATGATGCCGCCGTCGGCTCCCACTGCCAAGCCAGCTGCCTCGCGCGCTACCAAAGCCAGTGCAAATGCAAGCGCAAGTGCGTCCTCATCTCGCAGAAACTCGGGCGAGTCGTCCGAGCCCAAAAAGTCGGCGGGTGTGGTCTCGGCTGCGCAGCGTCGAGCGGGCTCGCAAACCGCAGTCCACAGCAACAACCTTGACGCCGACCTTGGATTCTCGGCTTTCGACGTCGTGCGTCCCAACCGCGAGGGTCTCAAGGACCTTCAGGTACACATCCACGGTGTTCCCATGCACGGTGCCAAGTCGCGCGTGGAGACGCAGATTCGAATGCGAATCGAGCTCGTCCGACCCCGAAGCGTGCCTGCAGGCGGTTGGGAGCGCATCGGCTCCTTCTCTCACATCAAGCTCCCGCCGCTCAGTGGAACCAAGCGCAAGTCGAAAAAGTATCAGAAGACCGATGTTCCTCCCGAAAAGACGCTCTTCGTCGATGCCACGGTCGTCAACGCCACGCCTCCGCACGACCGCGTCTACGTCTGCAAAGGCTGTCGCCAACGCGAACGCAAGCGTGCTCATCGCAAGAAGGATCCCAAGACTCCGCTCGAAAGTCAACCCACCGAAGAAGAGATGAAGAGCCTCGGCATCGATCCATCCGCGCCCGACGCTGTGGAAAAGACGCAGGCCCGCATGGAGGACGAGGAGAAGAAGCGCGTCGTCCTCTTCAACTGCGGCGACTACGTCGACTTTGAGGAGGGCGAGGCCGTGCTTCCCACCCGCATCACGTGCTATTGCCGACACCACAAGGAGAAGGTCGGTTTCTGCGTCATCTTCACCATGCGAGACTGGCAGGGCCGCCTCATCGCCACCGGCTCCACGCCTCCCATCATGATCACGGACGACCACAAGTCGATGGGCATCGCCGCCCAAGCTGCTCAAGCAGCCGCAGCCGCGGCAGGCTCTTCGAGCAATGTCACCTCACCCTCGGCCACCACCTCCTTGGGTGTCGTGAAGCAGGTCAATGGCACCAGCCCTCGAAACCCGCCTCCGCAGCCCTCGCCTCACAGTGACGGCACCGCCGGCGGTACCAATTCTACGAGTGGCAGTGCCACACCTAGCGGCAGCATCACCCTCGAGACGGCGCCCAAGCAGAGAAAGGAGCGCTCCAAGCCGTACGACGGCAACCGACGTCGACGCAACACCTCGGGCAAGGATCTCAACATGACGCCGTACTCGGGCACCGGCCAGAACACGCCCTCCATTTCTGCCACCTCGCCTGTTGCCGTCGGCAACGGAGTCGATTTCAGCTCGGCCGATTTCTGGAACGCGTTTGCCAGTGCCGGCACGGCCATGAACGGTTTGGGCCGCAGCAGTAGCACCAGCACAGGCGCCAAAACTCCTGGCGATGCCTCCAGTATGGGTGGTTCTCCCGCTCCCGCTGGTTTGGTGGGTCCGGGATCATCGCAAGGTCTGCCGCAGCCCCACGGTGCACCTCAGCTATCGCTACCGCTGTCGTCCATGCCTCCTCAACTCCAGGCGCAGCTCGCACAAGGCTCGCTGTCTCCCACCACTCTGCAGACCAACCTCGCCAGCCTGCCCAACTTTGACCTCGAGCAATTCTTCCGCAACGCACAGGCCGGAGTTTCGAGCAGCGTCGACTTTGCACAGTTGATGGCGATGGCCGCAGCGGCTGCGCTGCCTCCCCATCTGCGTCCGAACTCCACTGGACCAGCACCACCGGCACCCACCTTTGCCCAGGCCTCGCCTCCTGCTCCTACGCCCAGCATCGAGCATCCGCCGATCCCGAAGATCTCCAAGCTCATTCCCGGCGAAGGCCCTACCAGCGGTGGCATCGAAGTCACCGTGCTCGGCGAGAACTTCACCGAGGGCATCACGTGCGTGTTTGGCGATGTGCCGGCGTCCAACACCAAGGTGTGGGCCAGCAACACGCTGGTCTGCCTTCTGCCGCCCAGTACCAGCCCCGGCCCGGTCGTCGTCAGCGTCAAAGGTGCCACTCAAGTGCCGCAACCACCTCCGGTCAACGGGCCTCTGCAGCTCTTCACGTACATCGACACGACCGATCGAGCCCTCATGGAGCTGGCGCTTCAGGTAGTCGGTCTGCAGATGACCGGGCAGATGCGCTCAGCCCGCGAGGTTGCAATGCGCGTCGTTGGCTCTGGCGGTGGACAGCAGCCGGGCATGCCGGCCGCGTTCACCGGGTCCGGAGGCAGCAACGGCCTCGGCCACGCACAGGCGCGAGAGGCCGTGGCTGGTCTCTTTGCCGGCCGATCGCAAAGTACGAACTTCCAGGACAGCGTCATCCAATTCCTCTCCTTGCTGGACGCGGATGTTAGCAGCATTCCAGACGCACAACCGCGGATGGATGCGATCCGTCTGGCCAACAAGCAAGGCCATACGCTGCTGCACCTCGCCACGCTGATGGGCTTCCACCGCCTTGTGGAGCTGCTCATCCGCCGAGGCTGCCCACTGGATGCGCGCGACCGCAACGGAGTCACCGCGCTTCACTTTGCCGCCATCCAGGGTCGCGTCACGATCGCCCGCATGCTTCTTCGCGCAGGAGCTCGTGATGATGTTGCCGATGCAAACGGTCTGTATGCCGTCGACCTCGCTCGAAACAACGAGCAGGTGGACGTTGAAATGATCCTCGACAACACCGCCCGCACTGGCCACTGGCAGACGCGCAGGCTCACGTCGCACGCCGCCTCGAGCCTTCACTACGACGAAGATGAGGAGGACCTCGTGTCCGACGAGCTCAGCAGTGAAGCCAGCGACTCGGACGTCGACGATGACAATGTCAGCACCAGCTTTGACGAATACAGCGACGACAGCTGCTCGGTGGCCGGCGATGACGAGGCTGACGCCTTGCCCCGACGCGGCATGTTGACCGACACTGCTGACGACCTGGAAGCTCGACAGGCGCTCTCTGAGCTGCCGACTCCGGTCATTGACGAGAAGGCTTCGCTCAAGGCCCTGGACGCCCGTCGTTCCGAATCCGATGCCAAGCTGTCTAGCGAGAAGCGCGCTGATGACAAGGCGGAGCGCGACAGTTCGGCCAACAAGTCGTGGCTGACCAAGGCCGGCGACACCGGCGCAGACTGGATGAACCGCGGCTTCTTGCCCCAGACCGTGGCGCACAAGTTCGCCCAGCTTCACATGCCCGCCATGCCCGCCATGCCGGCGATCAATGTCTTCCACCTCGGTCTGCCTGCACCCGCGTTCATGCCGTGGTCAGCATCTCAGCGCGCCGACCGAGGCGCTGACGACTCGGATTCGACCGCTGCCAACGAGTCTGCCGCCAAGGGCAAGGCGCGCTCGGATGAAGCCGCAGGCTGGGAGCACGACGAGCGCGGCCGTCTGCTGACGCTCTGGAAGAACATTGTCGAGGAAGGTGCATGGGGTCTCAACCCTCTCTACTCGCCTCCGCCTGCATACGAGTCGGTCGCAGCCGCGGACGATCAGGACGGCAAGTCGGAGGCCGCAATGGGCACGCCGTCTGCGTCCACCAGCCGCAGCGCCGAGAACGCATCGGAAGCCGGCACTCCCATCGCCGGTCCTTCTCGCAGAAATTCGACGCGTCGACGATCCGCGCACGCGAGTGCAGAGGGTTCCTCGTCATCAGCGACGCACGCCGCACGTGCAGCATCCACGAGCAGCAGCAACAGCGCCAAGACCAAGTCTTCCACCGCCGCTGCACGACGTCGCAAGACGCAGCTGCACCTGCGCGACGACGCGATGCTAGTGTGGTTCTGGATCCCCGTCTTGCTGATCGCCGCGGTGGTTTTGCTCTTCTCCAAGAGCTCGAGCATCTTTAGCTATGCCGACTTGATGAGCTACTTGGACCTTCCGGCCGTCGGCCGCAATCGCGAGGCTTGAAGAGCGCACCACCCATGGCAGCGCGTCGGTTTTTGCTCCATTTTCTGATCCCCCATTTTTCCCCGCCACGACCATTTTGTACGCCTGCCTCTGCTGTATTAGTCTCGGCCTTTTCTCTACTCAATGTGTATCATCGACTCGATGCAAACGTCGCCGCGTGTCAAATAGATCGGTTTGTAGTTCTGGCCCACATTGTCAACCTTGCAGGCGAGTCTTGAGCGGTCGGATTCGGTGAGCATCTCAGGGATTCATCTTGCCCAGCTTCGGAGGCACAATTCATGCGGGCAATGCAACCGGAAACATGGGCATGCAATTGGTCAGTCCAGTCCTGACGCCAAATCTCGTGCTCTACAGCCGCCGGGGAGTAAGAATTGAAACTTGGACTGGTCCTCCATCAAGCCTCTGGGCAGATTGGCGGTGGTGTTGCTGCGCGTTTCGCCGCTCCAACGATTGAGCAGTTCGCTCCAGGTGTACGCTTCCGGGAGCATGTCGAAGAGGTCCTTGCCTGTACAGATCTTGTCGAGGATGATGTTGGGATGGAGGAGTTGACGCCAATGTCGGTTGCCAAAGAGGCGGTCGCTGTGGCTGTAAGATCGCATCTTGAACTGGTAGTCGGAGATGCGGTGGAAGCAGGAGGAGCAATGCCAACCAGCATCGAGGAGGATGTTGTCGGTAACCTTGCCGTGGTTGTACCAGGTGTCGGAGGATGTCCAGGCATGTACCTGTGCACGCCATGACTTGGCGGTGGTGGGAAATTCGAACGAGTAGACGTACGATCGCAGGGACAAGTGCAAGGGCAGAGGCGATTGACAGGTGGACAGAAGCTGCACAGCAGCGAGCGAAGGGATCTCATCCACATCGGACATGAGGATCAGACTGCCGTCGGGAGGCTGGACCTGCGAGCGTAGCAGCTCGGTGACGTGCTTGCGTTGCTCACCCTCGATCGCAAACGGCCCTTCGCCCGGTGCCAATGCTCGACCTGCGATGGTGAAATATTGAATCTTGTCGCGATACTGCGCGTACCTGGCGGCATCAAAGCCAAGCTTCTTGGGCTTGCCCGTGAAGGTGGTGTTGCTTTCGACAATGACAAAGGCGTCCACGGCGTCGTAAAGCTCTTTGAGCCGCAGCTCGAGCATCTCGAGCTCGACGCTAAAGATGATCACATCGTACACTTTGGGTCGTTGTGGTGGTGGGTATGGCGTCCAACCGTGGCGGGCGCATGCGGCTGTATCGTTGGCTGGAAGCGACCACGCCGTGTAGTGCTTGATCTCATCGTGCGGGATGGTGTCGTCGAACTTGTCCCAGAGCGGCCGTGTACTGTAGCTGAGCGTATTGCGGAGCGTTCGATCGCGGCTGAACAGGTAAATGACGGACACGGTGAAGCACAGCAGGCCCACCAAGAGCCACCGGCGACGGAGCAAGTTGCAGCTCCGTCCCGTCGAGTGCAGAGCGGTGTACCCTGCCATGCTTTGGTGTTGTGAAGATGACACGATGAGATGGAGTGAGAGGCACAGAGGCCCCACCAGCTGCCCACCCGTACGGCCATCACTGCTGTCGTTTCGCAGCGCTGTGACCCGATTTGTGTGTGCAACATGCGAAACGTGCTTCCCGAATTCGGCAAGCCGGACAGATCTGAATTGAACGCCGCTTCCATCGGAAACGATTTACGCGCCAAGACATACGCGCCGCGCCCAGGGTCCACAAAGGCGGTCCCGATCCCGGCTTCCGTTCCGGGCACATCCACCGGTGTCATCGTGCAACTGTCCAACGCGACACACACTTGTGTGTGGACAGCCGTCACAATGCCCCGCGCAACATACGCACGAAATGGTCGCCGTGATCAGCCGACATCCGCGAGAGAAACGGCCACTCGACCAATCCCAACCAGCGGTGAGGTGGCAGAATTAGTCAACGCCCCACAACCGCCACAAGTAAAACAGGTATCGAGGTCGCACGAGATACTCTATGTTTCAAGCGGTGCCGAGTTGAGAGTCCTCGGAAGTGGGCGACTGGCGAAGCCAAACCTTTTGCCGGTGTTCATCCCGTTCATGCCGTCGATGCCGTCCATCCCGAGCGCGTAGCCACGAGAAGCGTCAAGTTCGACTCCTACGCATCGGAGGCAGCTGTGGGGACGGAATTGACGGGACGCGCTTAAAAGAATACCCACTCGATTTCCCAACCCAGCATACAAATAAAGAGCAAGATCGTCCTGGTCTTGGCTCGGTCGCTCGTTGCTCATCACCAGCAGTTTCATCGACCTGCCACCTTCCTCCGTCTACCACCACGATGACCACGCCTACGGAGCAAGTCCCGCTGTCGGGTCTGCCGGCCAACACGCGCCCGGACAAGGCCATCCGCAACAATGGTCCTCTGGACCTCGCACTGGAACGCTGGCGCATCGTCGAGCTAGCGCAGGGGTGGCCGCTGTACCGCGACGCGCGAGAGTGGGAGAACTTCCGGTCCATCTTCCATCCCGATGGAGCCTACGTCTACACCACATGGACCGGCAAGACGCACATCAACGACTTTATCGAGGCTAGCAAAGCGAGCATGGAAGCAGGCGCCTTCATCATGCACCGCATCCACGGCACTTCCGTCGACTTGCTCGGAGACCGCGCCATCTGCAAGATGAAGGCCACCATCACCCAGCGCTTCGTGCTCGAGGGAGACATCGAAGTGGATGCCGAGTCCGATTGTCGCTTCTGCTTCTTCTTCCAGCGCTACACCGCCGCCGACGGCACGCCGAGCTGGGGCGCCAAGCTCGTCCGCCACTGGTACGAAAAGGACAAGCTCATCCCCGTCGACCCCCGAAAGGTGCCCGAGCTGGACGATCATCTGCTCGCCACCTTCCCCACCGGCTACCGCTACCTCGGCTACTGCCAAGAGATCTCGATGAAGGGCAAGTCCGATTCCCCGCTCAAGGTCAAGCGAGACATGCCCGGACATCGCGGGGCCGAGCACGACGCCCTCCTCCGCGCCGCAAAGACATGGCTCGATGGCGGTCTGCCGGATGACCTCAAGTGAACCATTGCTCATGCCCAAGGCAATCGAGACATGCACGAATCAATAGAGGATGAGATTGTTGAGTGTTGATCGGTGTGGCGTTACAAGGCAGCTACGAGCGACTTCACGCCTCCGGCAATAGACCAGGCCGAGTAGCCGGCATCGCGGGCAATCGAGGTGACAATACGCGATGTGCTGCCCGTGTGGCAGAGAAAGACCAAGTCGAGCTCTGCGACATCAGAACCAACAAGGTGCGCACGCAGATCAGCTGGCAAGCCCTCGTGCTCTTTCGAGAAGAGAGGCTTGAGCTCGAGCCACTGGGCGCGCAGCACCCGTGCATCCGAAAAGGGACACGTGTCCTTGTGCGCAGAGAGCGAATCGAGAGGCACCGAGAAGATCGGATGCACCAAGGCCAAGGGCTGGCATTCGGTTTGATCACGCAGGTCGATGAAGACGGGGACAGCGTCTGATTTCGACGAGTGAGAGTCCGATGAGATGGACGACGCATCTGTGACAGAGTCAAAGATCGAGCCCAGCGAGGTTGACCTGCTGCTAAGCGAAGGCGCCACGGACACGAGCGAGTCTTCAGCATGGATGGCCGCTTCGAAGAGCTTGTCCGCGTGCTCCCTTTCGTACACGTCCGATCCAGTCTCCAATACACTGTTTGACCTGACGAGCCCGAAACGAGAGATGGCATCCGCGGCATCCAGCTCCCAGGCGTCATCGTAGCGGTGGGTATCGACGTCGAGAAGGATGTCGTCATCTATCGACTCGAATTCCGAGGCGTCCACCTTGTTCCAGTACTCGTCTATGTACTGGTATGGACCGTCGCAGCAGATGAACACGGCGTTGATCAGCCCATCGCCGCGCGTCGGGTGGCGGAGCGAGTCCAGTCGCCCCTCTTCTTTGTATCGGCCCAAGTGCTGGTGTAGTCCTTGCAGATTGAAGCCCGAAGAAGGACCGACGAGAAGACCATGGCGGCACAGCTTCAGACTGAGCGTGTAGGCGTCTCGACTGCCAACCCACTCCATCGCATCGATGCTCTCCCTCCAAGGAAAGGTGACGGGTGCCAGGAGAGCCTCGGAGCGTGGACCGGGAACACGGTCGCCAGGCTGCGTCGTCACTCCGACTCGATGCACGTGCGGCTGCAGTTTCTTGATGGCAAGTCCCGTTCCTGTCATGGTTCCCGAAGTGCCCATCCCACTGTATTGTCGATGTTATCAGCGATCTCGTACACTCATATTCTTGGGGCAATGAGCGACACTTACGCTACCAAGATGTCGAGCTCGTGGCCAAGTTGGCGATCAAGCTGGGTGGCGGTCCACTGGGCATGCGCTTGCCAGTTGGCTTCGTTTTCGTACTGGTTAGGGTTGTACCAGCCATTCTTCTTGCCGTGTTCCGCTGCGGCACAGATTCCTCCGCGTACATCGGCTGGCTCTGGCTGCGACGGTCCCCCAAAGACACGGAGCTTCAGACCAAAGAAACGCATGAGATCAAGCTTGGCCTTTGAAGTCTGTACAAAACAATCGAGAGCGTGTGAGCATGGTCGTGCTGGACGGGGCTAGTATCGTTTGGGTCAGGAGAGCTCACCTTGTTGGACAGGTAGGCGGTGACACCGTCGAGGCCAAAAATGTTGGCGATGATGGCGAGCGAGATGACAGTGGATCCGCTAGAGTATTCTACAATGTTTGACACTGAAGGCTGCTCTCCTTTGCTGTCACTACTCAATCCAGCGTCAAGGCCGGCTTGACGGAGCATATTGAGGGCGGGAAGGCTCTTGACATTCTTGGCGGGCAGATCCGAGTGCAGCTTGGCAAAGATGCGTACGCCGTCCTGATAGAATGGGTTGAGAGAGGATGGGATTTCGACAAGCGGCGTTGCTACGTTCTTGTCTGGATCGTAGAACTTGTTTTGGCAGAAACGAAGGCAAAGACAACAGCGACATTAGCATAGGGGTGGATCAAAGAGGGGGACGTCGAGCTGAGCTTACGTCGTGTAGAGATCTGGGCCCGCGAAAGACATTCTTGATGTCTCCTGGTAGAGCCATGCTTGTTTCCGTCGCCTTCGATCGTCACTATATTGAGCATGCTGAGAACAACTTTGTCGGCAGAAAAAAGCGAGGGGCCTTTATACCATGATCTAAACAAGATCTTCTCGCCGCTCAGAGCAACATCAAAAATGGGGAGAGCGAGCCCGCTCCCATCTCGAATGCAGATCTGACCCAAATGTGCGGTGCAAGCAAACAAAGACATCATTCGCCGCCGACGAGCAGGTCACAGGCGAGTGCCATATTGACCGAGTGAAAAAGGCTCCGAGAAGGTACTCACCCACTGGAGTCATCTACCTCAGCGGTGCTCGGCTGCTTCTTGCCGACTTGGCATCTATGAAGGTTCCGAGGTAGTGGGTCGGTGCGCTCTCCGTCGTTGTCGAGCTGCGGCTGTCGATGGAAGAAAAGGATCCGGAATTTGCTGCCATGCCACAACCCTAGCCGTTAGCCGAGCCTTAGCGCGCTGCATGGCAAATTGCACGCTAAAATTACGCAGTAACGGACAGCCATTTTATTTTAGCCGACCCCACTTTCATCGAGAAAAGGAAGGTGAAAGGCGCCGAAGGGCTTCATAGCCCATCGAAGCCCTAGCCCACCGTGATCCGAAGGCAGAGTCGGGGCAGAGAGCAGCCTCTGGTGTCATAACGGGCGACACATTGACATTCGCGAAGAATCTCGCTCAGACGTCTCGCTGGCACGTCTTTGCGCCTCATTGTCGCCACCAACACCACCGACGCATCCATCCGACATCCACCACAACCACCATCATAATGTCGGCCAGCGCATCAGAGACGGCATCAACGACGATGCCTCCAGAGACGTCCGAACAGTTTCCAGCAGCTTCCTCGTCTAGCAGTGCTCATGAGGGCGACGAGAAGAAGAGAGAGCACAATTTCAACGAGCAGACCTTTTACGTGCCGCGCAAGCAGATCGTCGCCATCTTTCTCACTCTCGGGCTCATCGACTTGATCGCGTTGATGGACCAGACTACGCTTGCTGCCTCGTTGCCCATCATCGGCGAGAAGCTACATGCTGGATCGCAGACCAGCCTGATCTCTTCTGCCTACTTTATCACCTCGACCGCGTTCCAGCTCCTCTATGGCCGCATCTCGGATATTGTGGGGCGCAAACCTCTCTTGCTTGCACTCCTCGCACTCTTTTTCGTCGGATCGCTGGGCTCCTCCCTCGCCGATACATACGCCATACTGATCCTCTTCCGTGCCATCGTCGGTATAGCAGGCGGTGGCATCATGACCGTGGCCCAGATCATTGTCTCGGACGTGGTCTCCCTTCGAGAGCGAGGCAAGTATCAAGGCATTCTCGGAGCACTCGTGGCCGTTGCGAACGGCATAGGACCCGTCGTCGGCGGCGCGCTGACTACGCGGACCGAGAACACCGGAGGCTGGCGTAACATTTTCCGCCTCAGTCTTCCCACCTCGGCGGCCGGCATTATCGGCGTCCTCATCTTTATGCCTCTGAAAAAGGTCGATGGTGACTGGAGAGCCAAGGCACGCGCGATCGACTACCTCGGCGCGTTTCTCTCCCTCGCCGCTTCCACATTAATCGTGCTCGGATTCACCTGGGCTGGCGGAAGGTACGAGTGGACCTCCGTCCAAGTTCTGGCCCCGCTCTTTGTCGGCCTCGCCACCGCCATCCTCTTCTGTCTTTGGCAGTACAAGGGAGACAAGCCCTCGCGCCCCGCTCTCATGCCCCGTAAGTACTCTTCGCGCGCGTCAAGAAAGAAAGACGAAGCAAATGCTGACAGCTCATTCGTGCTCATTCGTAGTATACATGTTTACAAATGCAACCGTCTGCGGTGCCTGCATTACACAATTCATCAACGGCTGGCTCTTTGTGAGTCAGGTCTACATGATACCACAGTTCTACCAGGCCGTATACGGCTACGACGCCACAAAGGCCGGACTCATGCTCATCCCCCTGACCGTATCCCAGAGTGAGTGCTCCAAGCTACGCTACGAGCGATGCGCATTCTAAAAGCTGAACTCTTCCCGCAGCCATCACGTCGACCATATCGGGCCTCTTGATCACCTGGACCGGTCGCTACCGAGAGCTGCTCCTCTTGGGATGGACTCTTTGGCCGACAGGTCTAGGGCTGGTTTCAACGCTCAACCAGCACTCGGGCATGGCCAAGCAGATCGGATTCTCTCTTTTGACGGGCGTGGGCGTCGGATTGACGCTGCAACCATCTCTGATCGCCATTCAAGGCGCGGTACCACGCAAAACGATGGCGGTGGTGACCGCGACACGCAACTTTGTACGAAACCTCGGTGGCGCGATCGGCCTCGCCCTCTGCGGTACTGTCGTTTCTTTGTACCTGCGATCCGAGCCGAACGATCCCCTGCGAGCAAATCAGCGCGGCTTTCGTACCGTTTTTCTCATCCTAGCCAGCCTCGGGGCCGCAGGATTGGTCGCCGCCGCGCTGCTTCTTAAGCAGTCGAGCGTCGAAAGACACGACGATGAGCTGCTACGCCAGCAGGCCAAGCATGAACTTCAACAGAGGAAATAAGGAAAAGGACCGATTGTCGAGGCAACCCGGCGGGGCTACCGCTGCGACAGTAGTTAGCCGGACGGGGGCACTTGACATGCGCGCAGCGCCCTTTACCAGTTGCAACCTGAATTCAGGGCCATGCGTGTCGTGTCGCCTTGCGTCCTCTTTTGCATTTGTCCGTACATCACAACAGACCTTTCGCGATCCATCATCATGCAACTCGTAGCAGATCAACCTCGTAGCTGCATACAAGCACGTTCGTAGCTGCGCCCAATCAATCTCGCATTCTTCAGCTTATCAGCCCCGCCTTCTGAGTAGACCCGGTGGGCGAGGGTCGGGTCCCGGATACTGCTGCGGTGGTCGACGTAAAGCTGCATAAGGGCTCGAGTGCCGACAACGCGGGAGGGGCCATGAAATATGCTGGGACGAGCGAGCTGCCCTGAGTAACCTTGCAACGACTGAACGACAAACTTTTACTATGACCTTGACCAAGCAGCGGATGCATTGCAAAGACACTTGTGACCGTACAATCTCCCAAGACCCTCGCTAGGGCCGAGCCAGTCAATGGAACAGCGTTCGTCGTGGTGGTGGAGATATCAACGGGTGGGTCCAGCTCGAAATTGCAGTACACCATGGTGTGATCATGCTGTGCCTGCGAGATTGGGGTGCCTTCGACACGTCGCGTGGTGTGGTAGAAGCTGATATAGTCGAGTGTAGAGGTATCGCTGCCGACCTGCTCATTGCATTCTTCAAGATCTCGGCTTGCGCTTGTTACGAGCTCAGTAATATCTGCGAAGATGTTGAGCCGTTCGCGATTGATCATGTACTTGACGGATGCAGTCGGATAGGCGGTCGAGTTGACGCAGTCAAAGAAGCGAGCAAGGCCAAAAGATGAGATGGGCAAGGGGAACAGGCGTGTCTCGCGCGATGAAGATGCCGATGCTGCAACGCAGAGGTGGACGAGTGCGCAAGCGAGCACATCGAGTGCGTAGTAGATGGACGCCATCGTGGCGAATGTCGGTGCAGTGGGAAGCGCAACTGGAAAGGAACGCGGTGGCGGTGGTAGGAAAGCAGGATGCGAGTTCGAAAGCGCATTGCTTGCTGGCTTTGGTCTGTGCGCACCTCACACTTGCGCGAGAGATCCAACCTTAATGCTCGCCATCGCGCGGATCGCCGAGACTACTTATCGTGTCTGCATACCAAGGCTCGCAATTCTGCCCCAATGCAGGCATTTGATCTCGCATGCTCATGTACGTAATCTCCGATAGAAGACATGAGTAGATCACCCTCTCGAGCACCTGTGGTACGGCGATGCGGCCTCTCGAATACTATCTGCTTTGCTCAACGACACTCTAAAGCGCTGAAAGTCTTCGTTGCCTTTATTTGGGATGACATACTACAAGGCAGTCGCTGCATTGCGCGCGTCTCGATAGACACTCTAATCCATCCATTCGTCACGAGGTTGATGCGGATGGCGTCAAACCCAGCGGATGCCCATGCGTGTTGCGCGATTCATTCCAGCCGAGCAAGAAGCAGATCCAATATGAGACCCGAGCGTGTTCCAGTGGTCGGGGCGCTCCGCAGTTATCCAGGTCATATCATCGTCGCGGACTCCAACTCACAGGGGTTAGGGTTAGGGTTACAATGGTCCCCTTGAGCGTTGGCTTGGAAACATAGAATCTGTCTTAATGGAAGTTGTAAAGGAACCTATTGAGAAGGTGTATGCAGAAACTTGTGGTACCGCGTTCTAAGGTTGCAGAGCTATGAGCCAATAAAGTTTGCCTGCTGAGGGTACCCAAAGTTCAACCTGGAACAACTTTGGTTGACCAGGGTGAACCTGAGTCAAGGCGGGTTGGGAGGGTGGGTCAACCTGGGGTCAAGGGTACCATAGGGGGGGTTGATCCCCTCTTGAGGGGGGGTTGTTTCTTGGTGAACGGGGGTCAACTTAGGGTTAGGGTTAGGGTTAGGGTTAGGGTTAGGGTTAGGGTTAGGGTTAGGGTTAGGGTTAGGGTTAGGGTTAGGGTTAGG